ATATAAATTATCGATATTATTAATCAATCATAATTTACTTCTATTAAATTATAAGACACAGAAATATATAGTTAATTTGATTTATTAAGTTTGAATTTTGAGAATTAAACTAAACTAGATTCAAATAAAGAGAAAATTCTTAGGGAGTTTAGAAAGATCGCCAATATTTATATAAAATACATTAATGAATAAATAAATTTAAAAGATCCAAAAATAGTCGACATTTTGCATTATATGTCATTAGAAATTAAAAAAGTAGCAAATGATTCAATTGAACAGTTCGAAAAATAACATGCAGAAGAAATCAATAATTTTTATGATGATAATGGTAACAATGTTAGATATTTACATTATATTTATTTAAAAAAAGAAATAAAGAAAGATCTAGAGCATGTAATTTAACTGGCTTAGTCAAAAATGATATAATCAAAAAATCATTGTTTTTAATGTTTAAAGTAATGCCCAAATTGTAAATTAGTTTGGATTAAGGTTGCAGGATGTGATGGTGCAACTACTTGTGGAAAAAGGGTTTTTACGAAAAGTGATACTGTTTTGAAAAAATCTTCAACTTAGAGAAGATTTAATTTTAAAATATAAAAAGATCAACTAGTGGTGGAAGAAAATGAGTAAAATAACCAAACATCTAAATAAGATAAATTAAAAATTCCAAGTTTTAAGAAAAAATTTTATGAATATCTAAAGACTAATCTTAATTTTTAAGAGATTTTCGGGAAAATTCTAAGTTAAGATGAACTAGAAAATGTAATAACTTAAAGAATGGGTTAATCGTTTTGGTTTCATATAGAACACTTTTATTCTATTAGGGGGGATGAGTTAGATGAGGAATTTATAGAGGAATTGTATTAAATACTTAATTTATGTGCATATGAAAATAAATAACCTAAAAATAAATATTTTGGATGTGGATATCCATTAGTTTGGTCAGAATTACCTCCTTTAAGTGGACCTGAGTTAAATGAATTACTGACAACTGAATTGATAGATTATTTTTGTGATTAAAAATAATTGATTGCTGATGAGAATTAATATTTAGAGAAGACTTATAAAGATCTTGTTAACCAAGCAATAGATGAATAATTTAAAAATAAGAAAACACTGTAGAAATAATAAAAATAATGAATAAAAATATGCATTAATAATTGATAATAATATTTGTTAAACTATTAATGTATTACATAATATATAATAATATTTCATTGATCAACAGTTCCAAAATATCTGTCTCCAAAATCACCTACTCCAGAGAAACGATGATCTTAAATAGTATTAAGTGCATAATCAACTCCAGCTGTAACAACTTTAACTTTAGGGAATTAATGTAGAACTTTAGAGAGTCCTTTTTCACATGAAAGAATATTCACAGCAGCAATATTTTCTAAATTGACTCCATTAGATTAAAGTGCTTTAATAGCTGTACTGATTCTTCCTCCTGTTGTAATCATAGCATCTGTAAGGATGACCTAATTTAGATTATTAATACTTATTTTTGATCAATATCTTCAGGAAATTTACAATAAATTAACTAAGGATCTTTAGTTTGTGGATGTTCTTAAACTAGAATAAATCCAACTGATGCTCCAGGGAGTACGTTAAGAGCTTCACTTAAAAAGGCATTTCCTGATCTTACCATAACAACAACACAAAATTGTTTGTTTTCAAATTATATTTCTTATGCTGGTGTTTATGTTTGTGATCCTTCCTGAGGAGTCAGCTTTTTACTATGTTCAGATATGGCCTTTTCTATAAGCAATCTAATCAATCTGTCAGAGTACAATCTGAAGTCCTAAATAGGATTGAGATCTAATATACTTTAGTTTAAGTAGTTTAATTACGAATCACACTCAATAAGTGGTCGACTTAGAATTTATCCAATACATAAAGACTAGGAAATCTAAGACGAAATTATTATAATTCTGAATGTGAAATAAAAGAGAAATAAGGTGCTGCACATTGAAATCTTTTTTATTATTGAGCAATTAGAGTGAATCCAATAAGTCCAAGGAATCCTGTTTCGAATATCTTAAGAAGTCTTGAATTCATATATTAATAATTTATATTAATAATAACAATTGTGAGTCATTAAAATTATTGATTAATTGTAATTCTAATAAAATGATCTTTAATTTACAATTAAATATATATGAAGTGGAATTAAAAGGAATTACAATATAAGAAATGAAAATGAATTTGAAATATAAAATTTAGGTTTAAAATAATTACTAATTATTAAAGAAATAATAAATATATATAAATAATTTAAAATTGAATATTTGTATTTATTTAACATACAATATTTAGATCAGAGTTTGTCCAAATATTCGTTAAGGTCTGGCAATTGAACTTTGATACCCTTTCTTTTTCTAATTGATAAGACTAATTCATTAACCTAAATTTATAAATATAAAATAATACTTTTGATCCAACTTCAAGTGGGTTACCATTGACAATGGCCCAGTGATCAAAGACACATTGAGGGAAGGCTTGTCCTTAAGTCATACCTCTTAAATGAGCAGTGAAACCAAAAGATTCAGCAACTGGTAAATGAGCTCTAACCTATAAAAAATTAGAATAATAATAATACCACAGAAAGTGGGGTTCCAGCAACTTATTCTTCTTCAATGACTGTTCCTCTTCTGGTGTTGAGACAGTTATATACACCACCAGTAGCATCATTTGGAGCAGTAATTTCAGCCAAGAAGACTGGTTCTTATAATCTTGGTTAGGCTGTCAATTCACATGCATAATACAATCTTCTGGCAGTTGGAATGATTTAACCACCTCCTCTATGAATAGCATCAGCATGTAAAACACAATCCAAAATGTTGACTCTGATACCTCTTTAATTTTCTTCACAAAGTGGTCCTTCTTTTGTTGACCATTACCAAGCAGATTCCATGGATTCTCTCAATTCATTCATGTATTAAACACCTGAGGTCTTATCCATCAAAATATTAGCACCAGAGTTATCTGGTCCAAAAGTCCAAATTCTCAATGCATCATCCTTGTCCCAATCATATTCTTCTGTAAGAGCTTTGGCTCTAGCCTTTGGCTCATCTTTTGGTGTAACTTATCCTTTTTCAATGGCATCTGGTAAATTTTCATGTAATGGGGTAGCTTAAGCATAAATTCTGTTATGTTTATTTGGTGATTTTGACATGCAAACAATATTTGATGTTGCAGAAACAGTTTCCTTGTATGACACAATTGGATCAGATTTTATAAGTTCAATACCTGCAAAATCTTTTTCTAAATCATTCAAACAGATTTCTACGTGTAATTCACCACATCCAGCAATAACGTTTTATCCTGATTCTTCTGTTGTACATAAAACTAATGGATCTGATTTTGATAATTTCTTTAATCCATCAACCAATTTTGGTAAATCTCCTGGGTTCTTTGGTTAGACAGCAACTCTGACAACCGGAGACACAGAGTATTTCATTGATCTAATCAAATGGCAATCTACGTGGTCTGTGATGGTACCAGTTTTCATCAAATATTGATCAACACCTACCAATCCGACAGTGTTACCACATGGAACATCTGGAATATATTCAACTCTGCTGGCCATCATAAGAACAGTTCTTTAGATAGCTTTTTCAAATAAGTCTTCTTTCTTTCCTACTTTATAATTAGCTCCCATAATTCTGACTTTTTATCCAGTAGCAATAGTACCAGAAAAAACTCTACCGAAAGCAAAGAATCTTCCTCTATCAGTTGTTGGCACCATCTTGGAGACATACATAACTAATGGTCCCTTTGGATTGCATTCTCTCATAGATTAGGCAATAGGATCATCTTATGGTCCTTCATATAAATAGGATGTTCTGTATTTTTAAGCTTTTCTTGGTGATGGTAAATGGCAGACAATCATTTCTAATAATGTATCAGCAGCATTGATCCATTTGGACATAACAGCTTTGAGTAAATGCTTTCCTTCTAATTTAGCTTCTTCTTATGTGAGTTTTAATCCCAAAGTTTCAAACATTTTATTAGCCATTTCCATATTACCTTCCATAACTGCATTAGCCAATTTACAGATTGGGTCCATGATGAAAGCAACAAAGGCTCTCTTCATTGGTTTTCCTGATCCACTAACACTATCCTTTCTCCAGCATTTTCCTTCAGCATCAAAGTAATTGTCTCCCCATAATCTTTCTTATAATTTGAGTGGTTCAACCTTGAATTTGTTGGCATAGATTCTAGCAAATCTTGTACATGAGAAGGCCCAGCATTCTTTTCCTGAACCAAATGAGACTGATCCGAGTTCTGGATGAACAAGGAGATCACCCATATCTTCTTATTGATAGGTGTTGATAATAACATTAACCATATCAACAACTCTAACAAAGTTTTGATACATTGTTTCACCATCATGTTTTAATTCCAAAATGGCTCTATCAATCTTGTTAACCATGACAACTGGTTTGATTTTCTCTTACATAGCTTATCTTAACACTGTTTCTGTTTAGACACATACACCTTCAACACAATCAACAACGACTAAAGCACCATCTGTAACTCTTAAGGCTGCTGTGACTTCTGAACTGAAATCAACATGTCCTGGGGAATCGATCAAGTTGATCAAAAATTTCTCTAAGGTCTTATTGTCATAGATATCATATTCATAATAAAGGGAGACACCAGTTGACTTAATTGTAATACCTCTTTCCTTTTCATCTTCTCTAGTATCTGTGGCTCTTGCATCACCAGCAACTTTTGAAGCTATAATACCAGCTTTGCATAACAATGAGTCTGTGAGTGTGGATTTACCATGATCGACGTGAGCAATGACAGACATGTTTCTGATGTTGTCTTATTTGTCCATGATCTCTCTGATTTGATCAACTGAAAAATTTACCATGTGTTATTAACTTTTAAAAAAAAGATTTAAAATTTCCCATAATTAAAACAAGCATTTATATTATACGCGCATAAATTATTGTTAATTAATCACTCTTATGACATCTCATTATTATCATATTATTATCAATATTTATTAAACGACATTCTCAACCCTTTTTTAGCTTTTACTTCTTTGCACATCTTCAATTTCTTATCAATTAACTTAGTTCTACTTTCTGGTCTTCTTTTCTTCACCTTTCTATCCAAACATCCTCGATAATTTTACATCTAAAACTGATTTACACAAACATCAGGTCTAATTGATTTAATTTTAAGCTATTTCTTATCAACTCAATATATTTATCAACTACTTTTTATAAACTTGTTTCGCATAGGTGTATAATCTTAAAAAATTAATAATCACATGTAAATATTGAAGAACTTTATTCATTTTTATATTATGAACAAATAATTAAAGTGATAAATGAGTATAATTGATGAATTGAGAAAAGCCAAGTTTACCAAGAAATTGGAATAATTTGTCTTAGCAAAAAGAAGAGCCAACAGCAATTTGGAAGAATATCAAATAAGAAAATAAAGTATCATATAAATATAGATAGAATAATTAAAATATATTCCTCAATTGAATAAAGAGTAAATTTGTAGCTTATGTCAAACTTATTATGTTAATCAAATAACAACAATTTGTTAACACAGTTTTTGTGAAAAATGTTTATTTGATCATTTCCTCAAATGTCGTGTAAAATAATTAATGTAAGTATAGAAAAAATGTCCGACTTGCAAAATAGAATTCAAGAGTGATTTTGCTTTTCCTTGTCTTTCATTGGATTATTGGATTGGGGTTGCTTAAAAGAATCATAAAGATTATGAACTTAAATTAAAAGAAGTAGATTTGTGGAAGGAGAAAGGAAAGATCAAAGAATTAAAAGTAGGAATGAAATTAGATATTCTTGATACAGTTTTTATTTGGTGTTTAGGTGAAATAAAAGAGATACGATATGGAAAAGATGATCAACCTAAATAAATATTAGTTCACTATATTGGTTGGAATAAAGTTTATGATGAATTATTAGAGGTGAATAGTTTCCGATTGGCTCCTTAAGGAAGTAATACTTCTCAAAAGAGTAATTAATTAATAAAAGTTAGATGTTCTATAATATTAACAATCAAATGTGGAGACATTATAAAGAAGTCTGCATGTGAGTGGTAATTCAAACGAGAATACAAATGAGAGATCATTAAATGTTCGATAATTAATAAGGTCTCTGGCTAGTTAACTTTTTTAATTGAGAAATGATCTTTTTAATAATTAAAATTGATATAATTAATTAATAAGAAAAGTAACATGCAAAGTTATAAACTTCATATAGTTTCTGAAAATCTAAAGGATAGACATCCATATGTAGAACCTGATTTTAAGGATAGATATGATCCATCTGAAGTAATAGTAATAGTAAAGGATAGGTTTATCATGCAGTGTTTGACCGTTCCATTCCTAAATTAATTGAAATATTGCTGATGGAAAATATAGAAGCTTTTAAATATAGAGATACTTTGATCACATTAAATGAGATGGTTGATCATTAAGAGATGAAGGATTAAATGATATCTTAAGGTAATCTTTCTTTTATTTATAATGAGGATTGGTGGGCATTGCAAGTGCTTATTTACATCATAAAGATATTTAAATTAGAAAACAGGCAGTCATATTATTAGGTTGTTTAGTTAGTATCATGAGAGGAAGAGAATAATTATGTGATCTGAGTTTTGATGGTTTTGCTAAATTATTATTTGATGATTCTAGAGAATAATGTGGATGGGCATTATGTAGAATTATTACTGGAAGAGATGGAGTTGATATTTTATGCAAATCTAATCTCACTAAAAAAATGATCTAATCTTTTATGTAATCTAAGGATTATCCTAAATTTACAGTTTATTTATTGGAAGCATTTGCTAAAATTGTAGAATTTGATAATGGTATCTATTTTTTTCTAAATTGTGGAACCATTAAAAGGTTCATTGAAATACTTTCTTAAGAAAATTATTATGATTAAAAATACACTTAAAGAATTACTTATTTATCTTTAGAAGTTCTTTCTAAAATATGTGCTAATCATGAAGGTAAAGAAGAAGCAATTAGAGAAAATGCAATTAAAGTTGCTAATAGATATTTGGATAGTCCTCTGTAAGAAGAAGCATATTTTGCTACTATTTTGATAATGAATTGTGCTATCAATCTTGAGGGTAAGAAATAATGTGTACATGTTGAAAACGATGAAATAATTTAAGTATATTGATTTTCTTAAATTTAGAAATTAATCTCATTATTAAATAAAGATTTTTGTAAGGATGTTAAGCAAGCTTTAATTAATATTGCAGATTATCCTGAAGGATTTATAATAATAACAAAGTTATTATCTAATAACTATGAAACTTTAGATGATTTACTTGGCCCTAGGGTTGTGATTGCCTTAGCTCAATTAATTCCAAGAGGATTAGACAATTATGATGATTATAAATAATATGGCAGAACTCTTTGCAAATTTCTGAAAGACTATAATGAAGCCAATTATATAGCCTTGGAAGTATGAGTTAATTTGAGTTAAATATAGGAAACCGTTAAAATAGTAGAAATTTTGATGGAATTCTTTTATTATACAGATTTAGTAAGAGATGTCACCGATTCACTATTAAAATTGATTGAAATAGATGTAGACTCTAGAGAGTATGCATTAAACTATTTGGAAACTCATAATGCAAACAGCAAAGAAATTTAAGGAATATCCAAAAAAATACTTGAATTATTCCCACATTGAATATTATGTATAATTTTTAATATAGTTGATATATGAAATACATCATCATTCTTATTATAAATTTGATTCATGTTTCTTTGTTAGATAGGTCATATGTTTATGCCATCTAATTAAATTCTATAAAGCTGGATCAATATCTTTGATTTTCGCAAATTCTTCATAGTCTCTAGGTCCTACAATGAAACCATCACCATTGAGAAATACTTTTTCTAATAATTCTTCATTTAATTTAAGATGAGCATTATCATGTTAATGAATTTAAATTTCAATGTTGGATTTAGGAGGTTTCAAAGATTCAAAAAATTTACATAATTATGGAATTGTTAATTTACCCTAAAATTAGATATTAAATGTACAATTCTAATATTTTTATAGCAATCTCTAATATCTATAACACCAGCATGAACTTCTTCTTCTCCTATGACTCCAGTATAATTGAAGTATTGCGATTAAGCATTTCTAATTTTTTTAGCTATATTCATATCGGAAACATCAGTTTTAACAGTATAACCTTCTAATCTCAATCTAGCTGAAATCTTTATTGCAATATCCTTATAGTATTAAGAAATAGGACATAAAATCAATTATTTGGGTGATAACCAAAAGGGCCATTTACCACCACCTTATTCTGTTAATATTGCAATCATTCTTTCTAATGAACCTAAAATAGCTCTATGAACAATTACAGGTCTTGCAAAACCTGGTTTTAAATGATGATATCCTAATTCATATTTTTTTTCTATTGAATAGTAAAATTTATATGAATACCATGTAATACTTTATGTAATTCATGATTTGATAATCCTTAGCTTGATCCAGATTCTAGTAATTCTTCAGGTAATTTCTACTTCTTATGTAATAAACTAGAAGCAGAATAATAATGTTATTATAGTTACAATTATTAATATTGTTGTTATTACTACTCATACATCTTATCTGATTTAAAAGAATGAATAGATTGAATTTACAATTCGCCTAGCTCATCATTTTATTATTGATTTTTAAGAAGAGGAGTGCTAAAGAGATCACTACAATCTCCAAAATCTGATTAATGAGATTCTTTTCTATGAATATCTATAATTTCTTAAGCTACTTATATTTATTCATTATGAACAGTCTCCTTATCTTATTATACTTCATGAACATCCTCACTAGATCTATATTATAAATTAAATCTCTCAGGCAAATTAAAATCTAATTATATAGTACCACATTAATGTTCTCTTTTATATACATCATATAATTTAACATCTATTTTAGGTCCATAAAATGCTCCATCACCTTGATTTATTTCATACTATTTTCCAAATTTCTTTAATCCTTATTCTAATTGATATTCAGCATTATCCCATACATCCTTTGTTCCCAAAAACTTTTCAGGACGAGTACTTAAATATAATTTGAATTCAAATTCGAATAATGAATAAATATAACTTAAAAAATCTAGACAATTTTTAATTTCATCTTAAATTTAATCCATCCTACAGAAAATATGAGCATCATCCTATTAAAATCTACGTACTCTAGTTAAACCACTTAATGCTCCATGTACTTCATTTCTATGTAAAACTCCAAAATCTGCATATCTTATTGGTAAATCTCTATAACTATGTTAAATCATATCAAACATCAAACAATGTCCAGGACAATTCATTGGTTTTAATCCATACTCTCCTTCTTCTCCCATATTTATAAAAAATAGATTCTCTTTATATTTTTCATAATGACCACTTATTTTCCATAATTAAACATTAAAAATATTAGGAGAAATCACCTCTTAATATCCTCGTATATAATATTATCTTCTCAAAAAATTAATTAATGTATTATAAATATGAGCACCATTAGGATAGAAAAATGCTGATCCAGGAGATAATTAATGGAATAAAAATAAATTTTATTTCTTTCCAATATTGCTATGATATCTCTAAACTAATTCCTTTTATATTTAAATATATTCATTCAATAATTTTTTATTTGGAAATGAAATGCCATATACTCTTTGTAAATTATCATTATTGTTTTTCCCTAACCAATATGCTGCAGAATTTTTTGTTATTGAAAATGCCTTTACATAACTTGTATTAGGTAAATGAGGACCAGTACATAAATCTATTAGATTTCCACATCTGTAAGCTGTAGTCAAAGATCCATTTGGTATTTTATTAGTAATTAATTATCTCTTAAAAGGATTGCTACCAAAAATCTCAAGACTAAATTATATAAAATATCTATTTACCATTCATCTTTTGTTAAAATAACTCTCTAAAATTATTATTTAGAAGAAACTAAATCTTATGCAGCCTTTTCTATTTTCACATAATCATTTTATGTAACCTTAATATCACCTATGTAACAATCATAAAAGAATCCTTATTCTATTGCTGGACCAATACATAAATGACATCCATAAACTTCTTCTAATGCACATCCAAGAATATGAGCAGATGAATGCCAAAATACTTCTCGTCCAATTTTATCATCAAATGATAAAAATTCTAAACTACAATCTCCTTCTAATGGTCTTGTTAAATCCCATATTAAATTATCAGGTTAAAAACTTAATGTTGATGATGCTTGGCTAGATGCCTCTTCATGATCAACATCCACCAAACCTATTCTATTTTATTATCAATACTTTTTTCAAATATAATTTCATAGATTACTTTTGCAACAATTATATTTTCAGCTAATTTCTTGCTTATTCCTTAAGCAATTTAGAGAGGTGTTGTTACCCATTTTTTACCTTAATATTTATTATACATATATAACCTTCAACTTGTTATCCACCCTTGAGTATAATCTTTATAGATGTCTATTCAAATTGTTTTAATTCTGTCTATTGACGTTGATAAATTTCTGTAAATAATTTTAATCTCTTCTCTTAGAATATAGGCTTTCCTATCTTAAAAGGACCACCTATCTTATTACCAAATTAAGAGATTATTCCTTCTGTAGACTCTTTTAATCTTGATCTTTGCTACATATTAAATGAATTAATTTTTAAATTTCGCTGAAATCATAAAATTTCTTTTTACATATAAAAAATTAGTATTATTCACATATCTTTATAGAACTTAAATTTTTATATAAATTAGTAAGTTTTCTTAGAATAGAAATGAAATTTTATGATAATATATTTGTTTGATTTTTTGTGAATATAGTTAAATTAAGAATCAGTATCATCTGATTAATTAAAAAAAAGCATTTTAAACTATTATTGAGAATTGAATCTGAAATTTAATCAATTAAGAAAGCTCAAATTAGATTTAAGATTGATGAATTGATAAACTAAAATGATTTAAGTTGGTTACATAGAAAATAGTAAATGAGAAATAATATTATAAATAGATTTAAATATGACAATTTTAATTAAAAAATCATCTAATGAGTTTTACATACATTTATTACAAGGTTGTATTTTATATAATTCAGGTTCTGTTTAATTTAAACAATAAAAAAAATGAGTTAAGGAAAGAATAATAATCAACCATTTAGTTTTGGAAGTAATGCCTCTGATTTTGATCAATCATTTCTGTTTTAAAGGTATGACATTACTTATAAACATATCATTGCATTTACTGATATCCATATATTATATTTTGATATACCTATGATAATATTAGCAATCAGCCCTTTTTTCAGATGTTCGGACCTGAATTACAGTAGTACATAATGAGATCGCTAATAAATCCAAACCTACTCAATTACAAAAATTAAAATCAATAATTGAAGGATTGCTTTCAATCATCAAATTTATTAAGTAAGAATAAGTATATAGCTATCATACATACATTATATCGTTTATATATTTGTTAGTTTGACTATTTTCTTAGATTTATCATCTTTGATGAATGGAATTGAATTACTATAATATTTACCAAATGTTAGTTAAGCATAATCATAGCTAAACCTATTAAACAATCAATAATAAGGGAATTAAAATCAGAAGATAAAAAATAATGCAGATAATCCAATAACAGTAGATGATGATGAACCAGTATAACCTACTAAGAGATGTTACAATTATTAATGTAAGAATGTTGGAGATAAGAAAATTAAATCAAAGAAACATGATATCTTATTCTTTTGTGACAAATGTTCTAAATTATATAATAAAGGAAATTATTGTGATTTTTGTGAATAAGTAAGATTATCTTCATTTCATTTATTAAGGTTTATGGATCTTATGATGATGAAGCAGGTTGGATTCAATGTGATTAATGTTAGAAATGGGTATCAAATATTATTAATATTATATATATAGAATCATATTGCTTGTGAATAAAAATGTAGAAATTAAAATATTGAAAATGAATCAGAAACTACTCCATATCATTGTTTAAATTGTTCTAAAAACATCAAAAAGATTAAACCATAGAAAAAGCCTGAAGAACTTCCTCCTTAAAAATAACGTCCAATTCCTGAATAAGATGATTCTAGAAATAGAGAAAAAAACATCACTTTTGTGGCTACAAAGGACAATAAAATATAATACAGTAAGATAAATAAATTAAATTAATTAGCTTATAGATTAAACTTATTAGAAGAGGAAATTAAACTAGATTTAGATCTCCTTCGAACTTCGATTAAAAAAGTTAAAAAGATATAATCATCATCTCCAATTAAAACTTTATAATAGTAAATAACATCATCTCAATAATTAAGTCAATAGTCATTAAACTAATAAGAAGTAAACTTTTAATTTCATTTTAAGGGCTAAGAGCAATCACAGTTGAGTAATAGAAATTTGAGAAGAAGAATAAATTAAAAGTTAAATTATAGAGATTTGGTTGGGGAATATTGAAATCACATATATTATTATATTATTAATTTTAACCCCTAAATTCATTTTATTGTTATATTAAACATATAGATTTTTAAATATCATGATAATTAATCAATTTTCTTTATTTTCTCTTAGTATCGCTTTAAAAAATGACAGGACTTATTAATTTATTCTAAAACTTAAATGTATTCTTCTTTTTATTATTATTTATTAAGTAATTCACTTAAAATAATTAAGTTGGATAGACAAACTTCAATTTCTTGGCGATCTGAAAATTATTCATTATCAATAATGAGTGTTTTCACTTTCTATCCAGATTCAAAAGCTTCTTCAAATTTATTTTGACTAAAATGCTAACTTTAGAATATTATACTGGATTAGACAAGTAATCATTAAATTCATTAATTTAGAGGAATCCCCAAATCGATCTTTAGTTTCTTAAATTGATTTAAATGCTTATTCTGGTTATCCATTATAAAGCTAAAAATTATAATTAAATAATTTACATTTAAATAAATCTATGCTAAATATGTGAGAATATCCTCATCATCAAATCTTCTTAAATCTAATAAAGTAGATTCTGCCAAATCAAATCTTCTTCCTCTCAAGTATATCATAAATTAAAGAAATAGTAATTCTTATTGAAATGCATCTTTTGGTAATTCTAATTGAAGTGCATATTATGCTTCACAAGAATTTACAGACATATATGCACATATTATTTAAATTATTTTTTAGTTTTATTGAGGAATAATGTCTTTAAGTTTTTTCAATACATCTTCAATCTATTTTCGATCTTCATCAATTGTAGTATCAGCTCTTTGTTATTCTATTTATGGACCCATAAATCTGCTAACAATATCTGTTATCTCTAATAGTTTAGAAGAAGGTTTCTTTGTTAATCTTATTGTTTTTGGTTTCAATTCTCGAGCTGCAATTAATGCTCTTGATACCAAAAAATTATAATAATCATCATCAAAATCATTCTATTACCATATTTCTAAAACTTTATTAAAATTCCCTAAAAAATAAGCTATCTTTGCTTAAAGAAGTACTTATTATTCCATCTAATACACGTAAATACTAATTTAAATTATTCTTAATAATAATTCATTAATATATATATAATTATTTACATAAAACATAAAAATTCAAAATAAACTTATAATAAAATCTTATTCATTTTTAGGTAATTCATTGAGTCTCCATCTATTTGTTTCATTTCCTTAATAATTTTTTATTATTTATCCATTAAGTATACTATACTCAATAGCTTAGAAAACAAATAGTATTCTTTCTCCTTGAAATTATAACATACTAAGTTTCTATAATTGTGTTGCAATTTCATTTTCTTTAAAATTATTTTTTACTATGTTTTAATAATTCTTATCTAATTTTTCTTAATATAATTTAAGTATATATTTAATTGGGTTTTCCTTATCTTCTCTTTGTTCTTTAATCAATATATATTCATAAAGATGAAAATACCTATCAACATGCATTTCAAGAAATCGTTTATAATCAATTATTACAGAATCTTATCTTTTTTAACTTAAATTAAAATATAAAGTAGCTATTTTAGAAATAAGTGAATTCAATATTTGTTTCTCAAAATATTCCCAATTAGTTTTTTTCATCCAATAAAACAATAATTCCCTTTTTGGATGTAATAAAATATAGGCAAAACCAATAAATAGAAATTTTTATAGGAATTCATCAAATTCTTAACAATTTTGAAAAGCCCATTTTGTTATGACTTCATGAATTTCTTTTTTAAAAAATGCAAAATCAGCCATCTAATGATATCCATTTAATAAAGCAAAGGCATCTGCTTATTCAATTTCAACTATAAGTTTATCATTAGAAAAATAAGTTTTCATTTAAATCAATAAAGGTTTGATACTCAATGGATGACTAACTTTGTCATTTCTTATTCCAAAAACTAAAGTAGCACATTACTAATTAGGATATATCATTAAATAATATGAATAAAGTGTCCCAAAAAAGTTATTTGTGGTTATTTTATTGTTCAATATTTATATTGGAATAAAGGTCCTGTACATTAAATCAATAAATTTATCTATAGCTGTAAATTAAGTGAGAAAATGTAAATTTAATGGAGTTTATTTAAAAATTTCTTAGTTTAATGTATTACCCTCTAATATTTCCAAATTTATTAGCTAAAATCTAGCATATCGTTCATCAATTAACATCAATGAGTTTCCTATTATATAAGAAAGGTAAAATTTAGCAATCATCATTTTTCCAAAAATTATTTCAATTACTATGTCTGTTGGAGCATATTCTATTTCACGAATACAACTTTCATTTAATTAACCAACCTCAGAAAACATTCTTTTCATCTAATTTTATTATTGGAATATTTTTAAAGTTAAACTTTCAATCAACACTCCTATATCACATTCTAAAAGATCAGATTTTTAAAAACTAATTATATTTGAATATAATACCTTAATTTTAAAAATCTTCTTGAATAATTGACTATATATTTCATTTTTGTTTTTTTATCTGTAACACAATAACCATTTTTACGAAGAACTAGCCTATCCTTTGAGATTCCTCTCTCTAAAATGTCCAATAATTCATCATTTGTTTATTCATAAATTAAGTGAAATGAATTTCCTTCCATCTAAATTCTAGGTGTAAAATTCATCGAATTAATTAATTAATAAAATCCCATAAAATTTTAGAAATACATTAGATTTTATTTATTATAATGTCATTAATAATATTTGTATGAGCATCGTATACCTTTCATGTGCAATAAGTTATCATGTAAAGTTTGCAGGTACTCTAAATCAAATTTAATTATTACTATCGATAATATTTATATAATTATTATATTATCATAAATAATTAAAATAAACATATATTATAAGTATATAAATAAATAAATCTAAATTGGATCTATGTAATTTTTAAGTATATTTACCTCTCCTTTTCTAATCTTTAGACTAAAACAAAATACTTATCATAACCTAATTTTTTATTTTATTTTTTGTTTAGTCTTCTTTTTATTACCTTAAATTGCTTTGATTGTTTTAGGACTTATGTTAATCCTAAAATTCAATTTAAACTTTTCTATTGTTATTTAGAGAGATAATATTAATCTTGGTTCTCAATTCGAAAATCTAATTTAAAAATACTCTTTATCCAAAAATTTCAGCAAATCCAAATTTACTTTTATCATATTGATTCTAAAATAGAAGTAATTAAATTTCTTTTTCTAAAATAATATTGAAATTATAAAAATCTTTTTTCACATTCTTATTTTTTGTTTGATTTTTTGAAGAACCAAATATTTTTATTAGAGCTTAATTATATCTTTTAAGTTTTTTTTACTAGGCTAATCTATCATTTGATCTCCAATAAATTTTTCAATATCTTATTTAATTGAATTTAAGTCTAAAAAATTTTTGAGTTAAATTCTCTAAAGTACCTCTTTTCTATAGAAATCTTCCAATTCCCTTTTTTTTTTGTATTTCTTAATAAGCTAAGGGAAAAATATATAAATCAACATGTGTTGATTTTGGTTTTTATTTATTATATTCTAATCAATCTATTTTATTCATTATAAATAAAACTTTAATTAATTATTCTTTATTTTCTAATTTATTAATCTTGTGTAAAAGATATGCAATTTTTACCTTTTTTATTAATTTTATTATTAATACTCTTATAATAAATATTTATACATGAAAATAAATAAGTTAAATGTCAAGGGAGCTATATTTTTAATATATAAATAGGAAAGAATAATTTTTAGAAGAAACAAATATAATTATAATGTAACACTAAAATAAACATCTCATTTTGGTAAATAGAGAGCATATCTCATTTGTTCAAAATATTTTGTTAAGATCATCCTATTGGTTTCACAATAATCGAAATCAAATTATGTTTTTTCAGTGGCTTATTCAAATGGTACTCCATCTAACATTCTATCTATAACAACAATACAAATTTTGATTAGGCTATTTTGAGATATAAATTTTACTTAATATTATGATGATAAATTCTTTATCTTTCTAATCTATAAATAACAGCAAAATATTCATGATATCCTAATGTATTGTCATACAATAGTTTTTCATTATCTTCTAATTTATCTGAAAATTTAGAAATTTCTTCTACCAAGATTTCTAAAGCTAATTGCAAAGCTTTTCTTTCTAACTTAAGATCTTAGATCTTGAAAAAGGAATCTAAAGAATGTACATTAAAAGTCCTAAAAATATATTTAAGATAGTAATATTTACCAAAAGATAGATTTACAGAAAATAATGAAATCAATAGGGAATGTAGTATGCTTTAATTTGAATCTTTTGTATTTGCTTAATTGATATTTATGGACTAGCCAAATAGCTTCATGATTTTGTAAATATTTTAAATATTCAATTCTTAAATGAGCATGATCATATTTATTATATTCTAAAGTCATTCCATATCTCATGAGCATCATTCTATTAGATAATCGACCATAACAAAAATAAACTTAAGCTCCTTTTTCGAATTGATCTTTACTAGAAGCTTTCATAACAAATCTATCAAATTTATCTTTTTCCCATACTGGTTTATAATATTCACATTCAGGATCTAATGGTTAAGATAAGATTTATTCAACATTATCTAAAGTTGAATTTTAAGTCTTTGATCTTTTTTATTGAAAAGAAGTAGTTTAATAGATAGGTTTTTTCATGACATCTTTTTAGAAAGCATATAAATTATTTCTATAAGTGTTACAAGTTAATTGAATTCTTTTGACATCTTCTCTGGCCATAAAATAAGCTTTACCTCCATTAATATATTCTTAGATAGATTTTTCAAGTTTGTTAAACATTTATCCAATAAAGAAAATGGAATAGTTATCTCCATAATCTAAATTTTAAAATATAAATGATTTGCAATCTCGAGATAATAGAAATACTTCTCTTTATAGATTGAGTTTAATGTTAAAATCTTTTCTCATTTTAATTTATTAATCTTATAATTCTTTGATTCTTTTATTGAATTCTTCTTCTTCTTCATTTTCTTATTATTTAATATCAAAAGTCCTAGTGAATTCTTCATAGAAATTTTTAGTGGATTTTTCACTAAATTAATCAAAATCAAATTCTTTAAATTAATCATAATTATCTGTAATATATTCAGAATCACTAATTTCATCTTCTGAATGATATGATCCATCAGAAGATGTAACAGATAATTATTCATCTTCTGTTAATTCTTTAATTTAAGTTTATTCACTTTCTTCACTTTTATTAGGATTATCTGCATTATATTCGAAATCATAAAATACATCAGTACATTCATGATTAAATAATTCACAAAATGGTACCATTGTAACATAAGCCAAATATTTACCAAAACATCTGGTAACAAGATGTGTATAGATCCATTTAGCATTATCTAATGTAACAGTTTCAGGTTTAAATAGATTAGGATATTTATCAGTAATACATTTGAGTGTTTCAAATTCAACTAAGAATTCTTAATATTATTTCCTAGCTAATTTTACTAATTATTCATCATCCAATAAGTCTTATTCTTCATGATTCCAAAACACTAAATAATCAATATCCCTAGGTAGATTAGAAATTAAAAGATGCCATTCAGATTCAGGTCCTCTTTAATATTCATACAATATGTATGCTAATAATTAATGATCTTCCCATGATGGGTAGAATTAATTACTAAAATATTGTGGATGATCTAAAAACATCTATTTCAAAGGAGATTCGAATGCATGTCTTGTAGTAAATAAAAGATCTTTTGGAACTGATACTAATGTTTCATTTGATAGAATCTTTTCAGATGCTAAAGTATTACATTAATCTATACCTATAAGCCCTGGATATTTTAATCCATTTTTAGTTTAAAAGATAGCATACTTAACTTTGTTAATATGTACACCTTTATTAGTCAAAGTCTCTATATAATCTTACAGTTATTTAGGTGTTTCTGGAATTATTGCATTAGGATCTGCTTTACGTAATCCTTTTAATTTACGAAATCGTTTGCCTATACTATGTCTTTTCATTATTTTAAATTAATTTTATAAATTAACATGAGATAATCATAGTAACAAATTACAACACTATTGATTGAAGGATCTAATAAATAAGGATAGTTGGGTATTACACAATAGTAAACTGAATTGAAAGAGCATAATTACGGAGTCAAAATATTAAACATAGCTTGTGGAGGATACTTTACGCTTCTCCTATTAGAAACACAACAATGTTGTCTTTTGGGTTAATGATCAATGCTAATTAGGTTTTAACATCACTAAAATGATAGATATTCCAAAAGTAGAATTTATAGCATGTGGTTAATGGCATATTCTAATTAGAACAAATAATGGAATATATTCTTGGGGCAATAATGATGATGGTTAATTAGGTTTAGGTGATTATGAACCTAGGAATGATCCACATTCTCTTTAAATACAAAATGGAAATATAGTATGTGGATCATATCATACTTTAATTTATTAAAATGATTATCTTTATGCATTTGGAAGAGGTAATAGAGGTTAGCTTTTAGTCAATCTAGAAAAAAGTTCTATTCCTATTAAAATTGAATTTTAAAATATCAAATTAGTTGCTGCAGGGGATTTCTAAACATTAATTTATTCTAATCAATTGACTTTAAATGGAAAACCTATTCATTACAATGGAATCATTAAATAATTAGCATGTAACAATGAATATTCTGCCATTGTCAGTTTAGATGGTGTTGCATTATTTTGGGATAAATCTAATACAATTAAATATCATTTTAATAATGTAGAATAAGTTAGTTTATTTGGAAATCGTTCTTATTTGTTAAAAAAGGATGGATCTGTTGAATTAATGGATGGTACTTTAGTTACCAAATAAGCAGTCAGATCAATACATACAGGAGAGTAACATTGTCTTTTTATTTTATAATAAAATTCATATGATTCTATAATAAATGAATCTTTACTCATAAGTGAACATAATGATATGCATTCATAATAATAAGAAGATCGAAACTATTTATTTTATGAAAGAAAGATTGCAGAATTATAATTGAGTTTAGCTAAAAAAGAAAAATAAATTATGTAATTGTAAAATGAGTTAAATGCTTTAAAAAATAATTTAAATGTTTAATAATGAGCATAAATAATAATCTATGATTCAACAACAAGGCTTAGCATCTGTTTTCTATTGCTCTCTCTCTTAATTTTTTTGGTTATCTAATTTAACAGGCTAAGCTTAAAATGTTTTTTGCATTACTTACTTTAACTTGGATTATTCACAACAGAATTGACCATCTAAGATGTTTCTGTTCCTGGTAATGTAGCTGCTATTTATTTAAATAGTAATTCAACATTATTTCCTGTCTTAGCACTTACTTCAATAAAATGAGCTTCACATTATTTTGCTAGATTTGCACCTTCTTCAGTACTTACAGCTCTTTAAATTTTAGTATTATTCATTTACCTATTTTCTAAATCTATCTTGTTTGCCACTATAAATATAATTACATCATTTCCTCTCTCTTATCGAACATCTTCTATCCATTTACTTAAACTTGTAAAGGATGATTTTACTACATTAATTCATCTCTCTACCTTCTACATCATAACAAACTACTGCAACTGCACTATCTCTTATGTAACTTGGAATTAATGATCTAAATCTCTCTTATCCTGCAGTATCCCATAATTATAAACGTATTGTTCTCTCCTCATAATACAAAGTCTTAGATATAAAATCTATTCCCACTGTTGGCTTTTTTCTATTTACAATTCTCTTACATGATCCTTTCCATCAAATGTATCAAACATAAATCTATTTATTATTGATGTCTTCCCCACTGATTGATCTCCCAAAAATACTAATTTATATTTAGACAGTGGTGTCACCATTGATCCTTTTGTATCAGTCATCTCTATATATATAATTTTTATTTCTAATTTAATATATACAAAATTTTATACTATTCATTTTAAAACCATTAATCTTAGATCTTTGATTCTTTAAATCAAATAGTTCTTATGATTTTTACTTCATTATTCCATTTTTATATTAAAACTATATAAGTTTCTCATTATAATATATTCCCAGATTTATTGTAAACAAATATTGACATATTTTTGCTAATATACATAAAAATTTCATTTCGTGTTAATTTCTACTGTATTAAAAAAATGAATTTTCAATCAGTAATCTTAATTCTAAGGCCAAAAATTAGAAACATGAATGGAACAATATATCTTCGATCTTCAAAAAAAAACACTAAATTCCTTAATTATTTGAATTAAAATTTGAACTTTACAAAAAATAAACACTTTAATTTATCATTTTACCTATTGTAAAAACTAATTGAATTGAACACCAATCGTAAAAACAACTTGTGAATGTATAAATTATATTAGTGAATGAAAGTATTTAAAATAAAGGTGATATCTAAACCTTGAGTATTTTGAATTTCAAATCATTTAATTAGTTAATCTTTGAGTAAATTTCATTCAAATTTAGATCTCTATATTCATATAGCTTCAGCATAGGGGATTTTTAATTTTATTCAAAGTTCGTACAAATCCCATTCAAAAAATTAAATTTTCGAACTTCAAAATATTAGAAAAATACTTCAAAAAAGACCACCTTACTTTTGATTTGTATCTCCTGTACATCATTTAAATTTCCTGATGATGATGTGTATCAATAGACTAACGCGGTATCTATTTATTTTTAATACTTTCAATCAGTGCATCATTTCTGAATTTGGCAGATTAAATTATCATTCTTATTATTTTATGAAGATTTACTCTCAATATCAATAATTTTGATAAAATATTTTTTATTTTAATAAATTATGTAATTTTAGTAGATTAATATTTTAAATAATTCATTGATAAATTATCCATATAATGATTTTTTTCTAAATTTTAGAGATATTTTAAGATCTAAATATATAAATTAAAATAATAAAAAATCTGTAAAATAATTAATTCTATATGAAATTAATAAAAATATTTTTCCTATTATAAATATTGAATTTCAAATGAATAATAAGTGACTGGCCACTTTAATTTTTTCTCTTCTACTCAATATCCCACAAACTTTAGCCAGTTTAGGAATCAATTATTAAGCAAATACAATAACGAGGCTTAAAATTAGTAATCCCATATGGATAAATCCTAGGATCACTTAATTTTCATATGATAAGTAAGACTGTTTGATGTCAATGTAAAAAAATAATGATAAAGTAAAAATTGTTATCTTTCCTTCAATCAATAATGACACTAATTTTTCTATTTTTGAGCATTATTTATATTTAAATATAAAGAAACATTAACTTAGGCTACTTACAAATATTAATAAACACTATAAAATTGGCTATTTCTAAAAGGTTATTAAAACAGAATGGAAAAATATTGTTCTGCAAATATCCAAAGTCATAAATTTCCGTTCTAACATTTTTGAGAGATTTTTTTTATTTTTTTTTTAAATACATTATCTAAACTGTTTTAAGATGAACCCTAGATGTAAAATGATGATAAAAAACGCTAAAATTGCAGATAAAATATTTCTAATATTATCCATTCGATTATAATTAAGTTATAGAAAGGATGTAAATAATAAATCCCAATGATTTAAGTGAATGATCATTCTTAATGAATCATAATTACAGTGATATCTTAATCTTAAAATTTTCTTAAGACGAATAATAAATTTAAACATTAAAGTGATGAAAAATTTCATAATTTTAGATTTTTAAGAAATGATAAATAAATTGAATCGCTGATATTGAAAAAGCTTAAAATGTATATTATACATATATTTAGAAATAGAAATTAAAATTAAGAATCCTAAAACTTAAATTATTTAGGGTAAAATATTTGTGAAAAGATCAGCATCTATATTGTATTCTTAAAATTTTCCATTAAGTTATATTTATTAATCTTCTTTTCTTGTTATCTAATCCATATAATCATCCAATTCAATAAGTTTGAAATATTAATTTATTGATAATAAATCCTAAGATTAAAAGTAGATGTAAAGATTTTCTGGATAGTTGATGTTTATAAATCTTAAAAAGGATTAATATTAAAGAATATTAAGTGTTTCCACGAATATAGAACTATCACCTGATAATAAAGAGAAAAAACTTAACGAAACGGCTCCAATCATAAACATTGTACTTGATTTTTATGCTGAGATTGAAGTTTACTTTGTTTCTTCAGAAAGAATTTTAGGTATTTCAAGAAATAAGGATTGATTGTTATTAAGAATTGTTTAATTATTTGAATTAATGACTTCTGGAATCAATTAAATTAATAGAATTGGTCTTATTTAAAGTGGCTATAAAATTTCAATGATAACTTCATATTAAGCAAATAGTAAATCAAATGAAAGATCTTAAATTGATTACACCTAAATATTGAAACTCTTAGTATCTAAATCTTATATGCTTATGTTAAATAACTTCTGTTCTAATGCTTATTTTTCATTTAATCTTACCTCTTGATTAAAATATATTTGAACAAATTACTAATTAAACTTTTAATTTACAAAGATTACTTTCATATCTGCTCTTTGTGAATATGAACATTCATTATTTCTACAAACAGAATTACTTATAGTTTCTGGATTTATAGAATAATTTAAACTTAAACTTAATCCAGAGTTAGTCGTGATGCTGTTAAAACTATCTATTTTAACACATTGATTATCTTTAAATTCATAATTTTCAATACATGAAATACATGTTCCATTATCGCAAATCTTACAATTTTAAATGCATTAATATTCACAGTTAAAGCATCCATCGTACATAATGGTATTTCCATCGTCGCATTATTCATTTTCAACAATTATAAGATCTCCACAAAATGATTAACAAGAATCACCTGTTCTAATAGTTCCTTATGGACAATATTCTTTAATACAAATACCTTGTCTACATTCTTCACAATTAGATTAACATTAAAATTTACATAAATAACATCCATCAAATTATTCATCATTTTCATCATCACAATCTTCAAATTCTTGGATAATGATTCCATCACCACATTATGGTAAGCATTCCTTTTAGTAAGAGTAAAAGCCTTTTTCACAATTAAAACATTATTGTAAATTACAATTAAGGCAATAAGATTAACAATTAAATTTACAATTATTACATTCATCATCTTCAATTTGATTAGCGTCATCACATTATTCATTTGAAAATGGTATCAAAATACCATCTCCACATTCAGGCTCACAAGAAGAATTATCATCCATAATATAACCTTAAATACAAGTTTAACAAATTCCAAATAAGCAATCTAAACAATTCAAATCACATTAAAATTTACAATTAAAGCAACCATCATAAGGTTTAATATTTTCATCCTCACATTCTTCTTACATACCTAATTTTTAGTCTCCACATCTCTCTATTTCAACATTATTATAAATCATATGATGGAAAATAGTTTCGATACATTTATTATTAAATAAATAACTACCGTTTTAACATAGACTACAAGTTCCTTATAAACAAGAAATACAATTATTATCACAATTAGAATTACTATGATCATCTTGATAAACTTCTTCTCTAATATCTCCTATTTCAAATAAACATAATGATCCAAAATATCCCTATACACATTCGACACAGATAAATTCTTGGCAAGATTTACAATTTTTTGGGCAATTTTAATATTTATCATGTAAACAAGTCTCCTGTATTTTTTCCAACTTTACAAGATTTTCACAAGCTTTACTTTCATTTCCAATCTAAATTGAGCAATACTAAAAAAATTCATTAGGGGGTGATTAATCTTAAACACATTTAAAACCATTTGAGAAATTAAAACCAAATTTACAAAGTTAACAAATTCCAAACTCACATAATTAACAGTTTATGTCACATGAATATTTACACTTATTATATCTATCGATTTTATACATTTAATCTATTTTATCATGAATGATAATTTCATATTACTATTATGATTAACATTAAGATTATATTAATTCAAATTCCTCTATAAATAATTAGCAAACTCCTTAAATACAATATAAACATTGATGTTAACAAGTGAATTGACAAAAATGACATCCATCTCCAAATATTAAATTACCATCATCACATTGTTCATCAGATGTTATAATTTAATCCCCACAAATTGAATAACATAAATTATTAATTCTTTAGTAACCAGTTTTACAAGACAAACAGCCTTTTCCTGTTGTATCACAAGATTGGCAAGATTACTGACATTTAGGTTTACAATTTTAACAACCTTTGTAAGGTAAAATAAAAGAGTCTTCACATTTTTCCTCTGTTTTTTAAATAGAATCTCCACATATTGGTAGACAGATTTAATTATCTGAAAGAAAATACCCTGATGAGCATGTAGAACATCTATTGTTGACACAATTAAGACAAATTGAATTTGGTTAGCATTAAAAATTGCATGTACTACTGCAACCATCATTATTAATTGTATTACCATCATCACATTATTCGGAATAAAATCCATAAGGATCTACAACTACTAAACCATCTCCACAAATATTTCTGCAATAAAAAGAAAAAGGAGTAAACCCAGGAATTTCACAACTTAAACAAGTTTTGGTATCATAATTGCATTCAGAACAACCAGCTCTACAAAAATATCTGCAATTTTTGCAACCATCATTATCATTTGTATTACCATCATCACATTATTCACTACCTACCACAAGTAAATCTCCGCATGTTTCTTTACAAACCCAAGGATTAACTGTTGGATCAAGATACCATCCAGCAGTTGCACATTCAAAACACTCTCCTTCAATACATTTTGTACATCCTAATTGACATTAGTATTAACAATTAAAACATCCATCATATTGAATAGTATTACCGTCTTCACATTCTTCATTACCAGTAATAATTCCATCTCCACATACATCAGGACAAGGTAAAATTGTAGTTTAATCACAAATTAAACAATTTATTGGACATTAGTATTAACAATTATAACATAAATCATCCATAATTGAATTATTATCTTCACATTATTCATATCCCTTTATTAACAAATCTCCACATATTGGTTAACATTCTCCAGATACTAATTGAAATCCAGAATCACATGAATTACAAGTATTTGTATGCCATATCAATTAATTATTATTACATAATTTAAAACATTAACTTATGGATTAATCCTCAACACTTGGGCAATCTAAAATTTCAANAATTCCAAACTCACATAATTAACAGTTTATGTCACATGAATATTTACACTTATTATATCTATCGATTTTATACATTTAATCTATTTTATCATGAATGATAATTTCATATTACTATTATGATTAACATTAAGATTATATTAATTCAAATTCCTCTATAAATAATTAGCAAACTCCTTAAATACAATATAAACATTGATGTTAACAAGTGAATTGACAAAAATGACATCCATCTCCAAATATTAAATTACCATCATCACATTGTTCATCAGATGTTATAATTTAATCCCCACAAATTGAATAACATAAATTATTAATTCTTTAGTAACCAGTTTTACAAGACAAACAGCCTTTTCCTGTTGTATCACAAGATTGGCAAGATTACTGACATTTAGGTTTACAATTTTAACAACCTTTGTAAGGTAAAATAAAAGAGTCTTCACATTTTTCCTCTGTTTTTTAAATAGAATCTCCACATATTGGTAGACAGATTTAATTATCTGAAAGAAAATACCCTGATGAGCATGTAGAACATCTATTGTTGACACAATTAAGACAAATTGAATTTGGTTAGCATTAAAAATTGCATGTACTACTGCAACCATCATTATTAATTGTATTACCATCATCACATTATTCGGAATAAAATCCATAAGGATCTACAACTACTAAACCATCTCCACAAATATTTCTGCAATAAAAAGAAAAAGGAGTAAACCCAGGAATTTCACAACTTAAACAAGTTTTGGTATCATAATTGCATTCAGAACAACCAGCTCTACAAAAATATCTGCAATTTTTGCAACCATCATTATCATTTGTATTACCATCATCACATTATTCACTACCTACCACAAGTAAATCTCCGCATGTTTCTTTACAAACCCAAGGATTAACTGTTGGATCAAGATACCATCCAGCAGTTGCACATTCAAAACACTCTCCTTCAATACATTTTGTACATCCTAATTGACATTAGTATTAACAATTAAAACATCCATCATATTGAATAGTATTACCGTCTTCACATTCTTCATTACCAGTAATAATTCCATCTCCACATACATCAGGACAAGGTAAAATTGTAGTTTAATCACAAATTAAACAATTTATTGGACATTAGTATTAACAATTATAACATAAATCATCCATAATTGAATTATTATCTTCACATTATTCATATCCCTTTATTAACAAATCTCCACATATTGGTTAACATTCTCCAGATACTAATTGAAATCCAGAATCACATGAATTACAAGTATTTGTATGCCATATCAATTAATTATTATTACATAATTTAAAACATTAACTTATGGATTAATCCTCAACACTTGGGCAATCTAAAATTTCAAAAATTATAAAATACTTATACAAATATCATTCTATTCATAATAACCAGGTTCACATTCACATCTTAAGCCTTTTAATATTCTTTTTAAGGAGGAATTGCAAGTTAAACAACCATCAATTGTAATTCTAAAACATGTTTGACATGATGAATGACAAGTTGAACATGAATTAGTTATATTATCATAACTAGTACCAATTGGGCATTAACATGTTGTACCAATGTTTTCAATATTAGAAATAGTTTTACAAATTAAGCAGTCATTAGAAGTAGGTCCAGTACAAGTCTTACAAAATAAATGGCATAATTAACATTAAGCTATTGATTAAATTGAATAATATCCATCAAAGCAATTACATTATCCATTCTGTAATTATCGATTATCTGTTGCTAAACATGTTAAACAATAATTAGGATTTAAACATTAATAACATTCAATAGGACAACTAAAACATTAATTTGATTCTTCATATTGATTGTTATTACAAACACATCCTAATTTAGTTTTTGTATAGGTAGGTTAACAAGTTAAACAATTAATTTTACTTGTGCATGTTTAACATGATGAAGGGCAGTTTAGACAATTTAAAGATTCTTTATCATAGTATTAATTGATTGAACATTCTGCTTAAGAAAATTTTACAATACTTGGACTATAAGTACTATTCCATTATGTGCATGTATTTTAATTTGTACATTATAAGCAATAAGGTTAACAATAATGAACAGCAATGTAATAATTATAGAATCCACAATAAGCTGAAATTGGTTCATTGTTAGATCCAAAGCATTCCCAAGTGATTGTTAAAGTATTTAAATTATGATCAATTTTTTCATATACAATATCTCTATAAGTTCCATCATTATTTGTTGTTGCAGTGTTTGTTTATTTCTCAATAGGTGTATTATTATCAATTGAGTAAATAAATTTTCCATCTGAAGGAAACGATGGCCCATAAAGAATATAAAATTCAATAGTGATGCTATGATGTGGCTAAATTGAATTATGACATCTTGAAAATTTAGCTTAAGCCCATACAAGAGGTCCTCCAAAAACTCGAGTTTAATTCCAATAGGAGTAAAATATATCTGATCCTTTTAAGAAATTGACTCCATTTTGTGAAATTAATGTATATTTTTCAAATTAGAAAGGGTCACCTGCATTATTAATATGTTCTTTTACTAAAACTTTTGAATCTAAGTAGTAAATAATAAATACATGGAGTTTCATCATCATAATCTTAACAATATGAATTTATTAATTTTTAATGTAAATTTGAACAAGAGGAAATGCAGCTACCATCTCTATATTTAACAAAGTTTGATTTACAAGTTGTACATTAAAAGGGTACTTCACACAATAAACAATTTTGATGACAATAACCACTAGCAACTTCTATCATAACAATTCCCCATCCTGCAGTTGAAATGCTTTCAATAATTATTTATAGTTACGTATAGTTTCCATAAGCTGAAAATAAAAATGGATATTTAGGAATATCAATATAGGTAATCAAATCATATACAGTCCTAGATGAATAAGTCTCATATCCAGAAAGTTATTTAGTATTATATATAAAGATATTATGGGCTTGAATTCCTGAGGAAGTGTTTAACAATGAACCGATATAAGTTTGGTTAATTTTAAATAATATAGCACAATCAATAGGAATAGCATTAAAAGTAACAATAGTGATTTTTAATCCAATCAAATAAATATTTTAATTTACAGAAATCTAATTCATAAATCTGTAAATTCCAGCATTATATTTAAATATACCATATAAAATAGTAGTTGAATTTAATTCAAGGACTGGAGTTGGACTAGTGTCTAAATGAATAGGATCATAAATTATAGACCATTTTATATTATGAGTTGAAGTTATTGGTGTATTAAGGTATCCTATTTCAATAGATTAATCTATTTAAATATAAAACTTACATGGATAATTCTAACAGAATCCATTAGAATAAAAGGAGGAAGTTATATGACAAATAGGTTTACATCCAATAGTTTTCATAAAATATTGATTAGATGGACAAGGAGGACAAATATTATCAATAGGTGTTCCATAGTAACAACCAGTGCATTAATTAAACTCAGGACCTGTGCAAAAAGTGCAAGTCATATGACATTGGAGCATTGAAANTATCTGATCCTTTTAAGAAATTGACTCCATTTTGTGAAATTAATGTATATTTTTCAAATTAGAAAGGGTCACCTGCATTATTAATATGTTCTTTTACTAAAACTTTTGAATCTAAGTAGTAAATAATAAATACATGGAGTTTCATCATCATAATCTTAACAATATGAATTTATTAATTTTTAATGTAAATTTGAACAAGAGGAAATGCAGCTACCATCTCTATATTTAACAAAGTTTGATTTACAAGTTGTACATTAAAAGGGTACTTCACACAATAAACAATTTTGATGACAATAACCACTAGCAACTTCTATCATAACAATTCCCCATCCTGCAGTTGAAATGCTTTCAATAATTATTTATAGTTACGTATAGTTTCCATAAGCTGAAAATAAAAATGGATATTTAGGAATATCAATATAGGTAATCAAATCATATACAGTCCTAGATGAATAAGTCTCATATCCAGAAAGTTATTTAGTATTATATATAAAGATATTATGGGCTTGAATTCCTGAGGAAGTGTTTAACAATGAACCGATATAAGTTTGGTTAATTTTAAATAATATAGCACAATCAATAGGAATAGCATTAAAAGTAACAATAGTGATTTTTAATCCAATCAAATAAATATTTTAATTTACAGAAATCTAATTCATAAATCTGTAAATTCCAGCATTATATTTAAATATACCATATAAAATAGTAGTTGAATTTAATTCAAGGACTGGAGTTGGACTAGTGTCTAAATGAATAGGATCATAAATTATAGACCATTTTATATTATGAGTTGAAGTTATTGGTGTATTAAGGTATCCTATTTCAATAGATTAATCTATTTAAATATAAAACTTACATGGATAATTCTAACAGAATCCATTAGAATAAAAGGAGGAAGTTATATGACAAATAGGTTTACATCCAATAGTTTTCATAAAATATTGATTAGATGGACAAGGAGGACAAATATTATCAATAGGTGTTCCATAGTAACAACCAGTGCATTAATTAAACTCAGGACCTGTGCAAAAAGTGCAAGTCATATGACATTGGAGCATTGAAACATATAAATTTTTTATAGAAACTTATCCATTTCCTGTTTGAGGATAATTAAACTTGATTTTATTATAGAATTATGAAGGTATTGAAAAATTTAATGTCCTAACTTCAGCATTAATGTTATCACAAAATCCAGTAATTAAAGCATATTATGTAGGTGGAACAAATGTATATTAGTATGTAAATGTTCCTATTGTGATAACAACAATTTAGTTTAACGAAGTACCATGAAAATAAAGATCAAAACTTATATAATTTTCATTTTAAAATGAAAAAGTAAAATAAGTTTCAGCATAATAATAAGTTGAATTTAAAGTTATGTAGCTCGTTTATGGAACCGAGCAGGTGATAAAATTTGCGGTTGATTAATCTAATTATTAAAATAATCCAGAAGACGTATAAGCTGAGAATCCATTTGATTGTGAAAAAGTTTCTTGTTTAGACAAATAGTTTATCTAGTTAATCCATTGTGAATATGAGGCCTGAATCAGGGCAAACAAATTTATGATAAAATACATAATAATAAATGATCCTCTAGAAAAACATTTAAAATATATTCAAGAAAAAAATGCATTTAAATTTTATTTGACATAGATTAAGAATAAAACTAATATTATGTTTTATATTATTAAACCAAATGAATCATTTGTTCTAAATCATGTGAATAAAACGAATAAATAGTAATATTTTTAAGATTAGAATATTTATTATAAATTGTTTCCCAATATAGTTCTTATTAAATATTTTATAAATATTTATATGTTAGTTATTGATCATTAATGGTAAATCGATGATGAATTTAAACATACATCTATTAGATTTATTCTGTATATAAGATATCAGAAATAAATAGAGAAAATAATTAAAAGATTTAATCTCCTATTTATATATGTTGAAAGAAAATCAACTATATAAGTTAAAAATATCAAACATTTAAGTATAAATATATATAAATGATGTAAACTGAATTATTTTAGTTGCTTTTTTTTTTTAAGTAGGTAGAAAAAATTTATTTAAACTCTTTTATATTTGTAAATTATTTACTAATATATTTATAAACAATGTTTTCACACAATAAAATAAATTTTATTCCTTTTTTCTTGTGATTTTGAAAATCCTAGATGAACGATTATAGTATTTATGAAATTTACTTTTCTAATTTATAAATCTTAAGGTAATATTGTAAAATAATAAAGAAATTATCATAATTAATTAATGGAGGATATAATTTTGGGAAAGCAAATAAAATAAAAAAAATTTGAGTAAATTTTAAATTATTTGATTAGATTTATAAAAGTTTTTGGCTATTTAAATGATGGAATTCAATAAATTTTGAAATAAGGATTTAAATAATGATATATATTACTAAAAGAATACACAGCTTAAACCAGGAGTATTTGTGAAACAATATTTTTCCCTTGTAAAATGAATTAATTTATTAATATTAAATAAGAACTTAAGAATTAGTATTGAAATAATTACATCAAAATATTCGATATAAGTGTTTATAATAAAGTATAAAAATGATGAATTCTTATTATTTTAATTGATTATATTGTTTTATAACTTAAACTATGAAATTTAGATAAAAGGCTGAATGCACTTAATCACTGCCTCAGATTTCAGTATAAAAGTAATATCGTTACTTAACTGAAAAAGAGGAGGAAGAAGATTTGGATTTGAGTTTTGAAATAAGTTCTAGCAATTTGAGAAGTACAAAATAGGGTTTTTATAAATTTAACAAAACAACAGAGAGAAATTTAGAATAAAACAAATTGTTTAATCGAAATAATAATTTGAAGACAACTTTGTCATCTTCTTAATTACCATAAGGAATTTATGGATTATCTAATAAACAAAAGAATGATGGTTTACATTTAAAGTATAATTATATTATTAATAGTCATATGAAGTATGGAGATAAGTATATGATAATGATGGCAAGAGGATTATAGGAATAGAATGATATAAAAGAATATAATTTAAATGATAATAGGATGACATAATTGAGTTCATCGGAAGTGATAAAGAGTACAAGAGGAGCAACAAAATTGAGTTTATCAAAAAACAAAATAGGAAATGGTTGTTTTGAGATAGGAAATTCATTAGTTAGTAGAGAATGCAAAATATAACAATTAAACTTAGAAGACAACAAATTATAAGAAAATCTTATAATTGATATCTTAGAAAGAATAGCAGATAATAGATCATTAAAAATTCTAAATTTGAGTAAAAACAACATTTCTAATTATTGTTTGAAGGCTTTATCAAATATGTTAGTATAGTATAAATGGCTCGTTTTATAAACATTTTTTTGATATTATTTGTTTAGACAAAGGCATTTCATTTATTTTTCCTAAAAATCTAATTATGTTTTAATCATATTAATATAAATTAGTGATCTTTTGCATAACTAATGAAGATATATCTGAGTTATATCTTCATTTTAATAGATTGAATGGGATTGCTGCTGTTTAGATATTTAGTAGTTTAATGAAATCTAATCTAAAAGTTTTAGATTTATCATAAAATTCTCTGGGAATAGGATATGATTGGTCATAAAGTTTTAATAAGATGGTATCAGCAAATAAAGAACTGATTCATTTTGATTTATCTTTCAATAAAATAGATTACTTTATAACTTGTTAAATAGCTGAGGGATTAAAGAAAAACAAAAGTATAATTGGATTTCATTTCACTGGTAATAGTGGATATGTAGATACTAAAGGTTTTTTAGTTCCTATTGAAAAAGGCATAGTAGAATAAACATAACATTAAATTGCATAAAGGATTTAAGGGTGTTAATATATTAAATAAAAGAGATTACGATCTTATAGAGATGCTAAAATAAGAGATTGTTGTTGGATTTGTGAAGGTTGGAGACAAATAGAATTTGAATGGAATCCAAAAACATCTGGACCTGCTAATGATCCAATGTTCATACACTTATCTTATTTGAATTATGATGATTTATATTTAGGTAAGGTTGAATCAGGATTAAAAGTTTAAAGAATGGTACCTCCAGGAATGTGTTATTACTTTTTTACAAATGATAGTATGTAATGTGTGGCAAAAGATTAAATGCATAAAAGATGGCCATTGCCATTAAATAAAGTAAAAGTATAAGATAAAGAAATTGATGTAAAACTTTAACAATTAAATTAAATGAATGTTGTAGGAACATAAATAATTGATAAATATTATATGCCTATAATAAATGTATAACCAAGATAGGAAGATTTACTTTATGTACCTGAGAGAATTGATAATCGTATTTTATGGACATTTCCTATATCATTATTTAGAGATTGGAAATAAGATAATGAGGAATTAATAGAGAAATGTTTTATTAATGATTGGAATTAGAGTAGAATAACAAAATTAATTAAAGATGAAGATGATAGAAATGCTTGTTATAATTTTTTATTAGGAAATTATTAATAAATAAAAGATTCATATAAGTAATATAGATTTATAAAATTTAGGCATTATGCATGTTTATCACCAATTGGAGATATTTGGGCTATATCATCATTAATAAATCTACAATTATTAAGTATAGTAAGAATGACAGAAACAAGTGAGAAAGGGAGTATTAAATAATAAGATATGGAATTAAAATACTTAGCTACAATATCAGGAACAGAGAAAGGAAATTATAGAAAACCTGAAAGAGGAATGATTAGATTTTAATTCTTAGAAATGTTTGTAAGAATAGCAGAAGATAAATATATTAAAAATGGAATAGCAAAATCATTTGAGGAAGCTCTGAAATGGATTTGGGAAGATCATTTAAAACAAGAATTTATAAAATATAATACACAAATCTTTCGAGATACTAGATATTGGAATGAATAATGTGATCTTTGTATGAAACACTATAAAACAATTCTAGATAGTATTTTTATTCGATATAGTGTTAAAAAGGTAAAACCTGGTCAAAAACCTTTTATGAGTTTGTAAGAACTTTAAGAAATGTGTTCTCATATTGGTTTAAATTAAATTGAAACATTTGGACCCAATACACCACTTTTTGCTTTTAATAAATCTATGATGACATAAATTGATGAAATTAACTCAGATAGAATATTTTAAATGACTTTTGTTGAGTTTTTAGAAGCATTTGCAAGAATAGCTGAAGATTTAGATAATAGACCTATTGGATTACATTTAAAAATTGAATAATTGATTTGGAAATGTTATGTTTTATTTGCTGATCTTTATGCTTTACCTACTTAGAGTTATTTTTAAGATGAATGGGATATAATTAATAATTAATCCTTGAAGTAAATTATAGATGATGATATAGATGATTTTAATTGATTTCATATAATTTATCACTAATTTTCTAATTCATGTTTTTAACAAGTGTGCCAATACAAACTTACATTATTTTTAAATACTTTTGGACAAAATTAACAATCAAATACAAGTTATGAATCTTATTAATGTATTTCTTTGGAAAATCTATTATAATGTAATTCATTTTCTTAAATAATTTTAAATTTATTGTTTATTTATTTTTGTGGTTCTTCTTATTAGTTTTGTATTACACTTTTATTAGGTGTATTTTCATCATCTTTTTTATCGTCATTTTCATGTACTTTTACTTTTTATTTGAAAACACAGTTTTAATAGTAATTTTGAATGATTTGCATTTATTGTAAAGTGATTTAGTTACATTATTCACTAAATTAATTCATTCTTACAACAATTTGTTAGTGTATTGATATCTATAAGTAAAAAAATCATTGTATTATTTATTTATGAAATTTAATTGATTAGATTGTGAAGAGTTTTTTGGTGATTAGTTATAATTAAAATGTAAAACTAAAATATTAAATCTGTTACATCGAGATAGGAAGTAAAACCAATTAAAGCTAATATAACAAAGTATGACATACCATAGAATAATTTAGAGAATAATTTCAAACTTTAACAAAACTCTATAACTTAGGGAGATAACAAAACCAGAATGTTGAACGTGATCGTAATTAATAATAACAGCAATTATCTACCTAAACATAATAATAAACAATTACTCCTAGAAATAATACACCATAATCATGTAGAACTGCATCAGATGTATTCATTTATAGTAAACTAAAAAGATGAAATACTTTTTGTATTAGAAAAGTAATCTTAAAGAATAAGGAAAGATATAAAATAATTCATAAGTATTGCCTAAAACGAAAAATAGTTTGCATCGTAATTTTTCTTAATTGGAAAAGTCAGCAAGTGCTTTACTTACACCATTAATTTAAACAACGACAACTCCATAATCAAAATAAAAGAAATATAATCTTATGTCAATTGATTAAAGATTTTAATCAAATCAATTTGCTTAATAAATTGCATAACAATTAAAAAAGAAAAATGATAATAATAAGAAAGAGAATTTAAAAGTTAGTTTAGATGATTTTATTACTCAAGTAAGTAGACCTACAAAAACATTAATCTCTCCTTTTAAATAGACAAAATCATTGTCTCCATCAATAAGAGTCGGGTCAGCTAAGCCAAAAAGTATTGATATTAAATTAATTTAGAATAAATATATTATATTACTTCGTTAGTTGAAGCATTTAAACATTCTTATCCTCAAAATTCTGAGTAATAATTATATAAAGATCATGCAGTTTAGACATTTAATTGTGTTGGTTTTTGTATCAATCTTTAAGAATCAGATTAATAAACTATACAATCTAAATTATTAAATTTACCACCAAAATTGAATTGCAAATGTAAAATACTACACTATAATAATATTAGATTAAAAAACAGTAGTTTTTGATCTTGATGAAACTTTGATTCATTGTAATGAAAATTAATCATTAAAGGCAGATATTTATTTACCTATAACATTTCCTTCAGGTGATACTGTCTAAGCAGGTATTAATATAAGACCATATGCGAAATGGATACTATAAGAATTAAGTTAAATTTGTGAAGTTGTTGTATTCACTGCTTCTCATCAATGTTATGCTAGTTAGGTGATATAATATTTAGATCCTAAAAATTAATTACTTTCAGCCTAATTATTTAGAGATAAATGTGTTTTATCACCAGATGGTGTACATATAAAAGATTTGAGAATATTTAATAGAGATCTTAAAGATATTGTATTAGTAGATAATGCTGCATATTCATTTGGAGTTCATCTTGAAAATGGTATTCCTATCATTCCATTCTATGATAATAAAGATGATAAAGAATTAAAGACTTTATTTGACTTTTTAACTGAATAGGTCTTACCAGCACCTGATTGTAGATTAGTATTATAATCTACATTTAGATTAAGAGAATTCTTAAAATATAATGATCCAAAACTAGCTATTGAAAAGCTATTTTGATTATGCGATTAATTAATTTTATATATATATATATACTTATTTAATGGCATAATTGGAAGATTATTTTGATAGATAAAGTCATGTACCATAAGAAGTTACTAGATCTTTAAGATTGATCAAAGAATTAGATGAGAAAGTTACAAAAATTCATTTAAAATTAACCTAATTAAGAAAGTAATACAAATAACAATAAACTGAAAAAACAAAATTAGAAATAGATTAATTGTATGAAGAAAGTGTAAATTTATCTTAAGAGAAAATAAATATAAGTGATAAAGTTTATGAAGTAGTTGATAATGCTGTTTAAGTAAATAATTAAAATAAATAAAGTAATTAGATAATGATTTAAAGAAATTTGAAGAAAATTTAAAATCAAGTATGGCACCTGATCATAAAAGAAGATTTTTAATATTGAGTAAATATTAGAAAGAAAAAAGAAAGAAAATTAATTAAGAGATTGAATAAAGCAAAGAAATATTTTAAAATGCAAGTTAAAGTGAGCCATTATATTGTATATGTTAAAAACCATCTTTTGGATAAATGGTTATGTGTGATAATCAATTATGTTCAAAAGAATGGTTTCATTTAGAATGTGTTAAATTAAAAGATTTTCCACCTGAGAATGAACCTTGGTATTGTTCTATTGAATGTCGTAAAGATGGGAAAGGACGTATAAAAAAATGATAATTTTTGTTTAGTTCTTTTAACACAAATTGATATCAAAATAACAATTTTCAACGAGGTCTTTATTCTTACAATTCTAATTGTAAAATACAACCATCATAACTTTTGCCATTAAGTTTCTCAAGTGCAATTTCTGCTCTATTTTTATCTTAAAACTTCAACATAACTTTTTATATCAAAGGTTAATGAGAATTTTATCCATCTTGAGAATATACTTTTTATTTTCTTCTATTTTATAAGAAATTAATATAATAGCTGAATCTTCCTTCTTCTTATTCTAATTATTTTTTCAACCATCCTCTAAAATCATCTTTGGCTCCTAAAAATATTAAAAGAAATAATAACTTATGATATCTAAAAAGGTTTCAGCATATTCAAATTAAACAAGATTTGATACAATAACTAACCATTAAGATGAAGCAGGAGCTTATTCAAATACAATAGCTTAACCAATTTAACGAGGTCCTATCATAATTAGTATAAATACCAGTTTATTGATTTGTTTAAGTTTTTTATTACTCTTTATCAAAACTGACCACAAACAATTATTTAGGTGGAGGGATAATAAAATTACATTCTTCTTAATTATTTGCAGCTTAAATTCTTAATTCAGCTTCTACAAGCATATCTCCTTCTCTAAATTATCCTCTTGGAATAGAAGATACTTCTCCCCACTTTTCCCATTGTTATCTTTCTAAGACTCCTGGTCTAACTTAGATTTCTTTGTAAGTAAGTTTTACTTTAGTTTCTCTATCATTAATTGTTTTAGAGACAACTTCTTATTTGTATTCTGAATCAGAGTCTTCTAATATTTATTATTATTTCATGAATAAATAAATCAAATTTTTATTTTTATTTGTTGTCAAACTTAATTATAAATATAAAATATTGAATCACATAGGCTTTTTTGAAAAAGTCATTAAGATTTTTCTATCAGCCATTACTTTACCATGATTTTTAGATAAGAATAACATAGCATCTTCAACACTTTTAAATTTAATAGCACAACTATGTTTTTATTTTGGATCTTCATAAAATCTAAAATATAAGATTAAAAAATACTTATAATCAACTATTTCAGTTTCCAAAAAAGGTTAAATACTTTCAATATTGAGTAATTCATCTGATAAATTCATTAAAAAGATAGTATCATTTGGAGAAGCAGCTATAAATGAATTTTTTGGTTTATATCTATTAGTAGCTTCAGATCCAATGAATCTTTCTTCATATATTGTTTTTTCAACCAATCCTAATTCTTCTAGTTCATCAAGGAAGGTAATTTCTTATAGAATAGAATAAGTAATCTAAGATATTATAAATTATATTACTTAAAGGGTTTGACCTTAAAACATAATATTATTAAGTTTCTCTATACATTGATCAGCACATTTCTAAAGATGATATTCAACCAATAATGTAGATTTATCTTTTTGATATACCATTTTATCTATATTTCCATAAATACTAAAAATGTTATATAGCATATCAATTGTGGTAATAGAATCATCAAAAGATTTGGCTACAATGACTCTAGATTTCTCCTATTAATCAATAGTATAAATATTATTTAGATTGTTAATTTAATTTTACAACTATTATTATTATTACAATTATTATTATTTTTATTAATTTTAGATTTCCATCAAAGCATTAGCTGATTCTTACTTAATATAGTTTATATAATTATCAATCAGTTAATATTATAGTAAATATTATGTTTGTAGAAGTTTTCCTAATTGTATAAATTAATCAATCCATTAGTTGGAGATCAGATTATTTAAATAATCAGGAACTTAGAGATCTAAACTTTGAGTTTGCAATCTCATTTAGAGTACTTATTGTTCATATAATCTTTGTTATAAATGTTATTAGTATTAATAAATTGATTATTAAACATTTTATTGATAATTTTTAATGGAATTTTAATTGGGGTTTTATTCTCCTTGACTACTTACTGAAGTCTATTCATCGTCAGTTGAATTATAAGAATCTCTCTTTTCTTTTTATTTTGAATAATCTAAAGAATAATTAATTTATAAAATACCTTTGCCAGCAAAATTAGAATCAGAAAATGTTACATTTTCTAAATTGCTTGGGTATAATTACATTCTTAAAGAAGTATCACAATTCAAAATGTTGTTATTACATAATTTTATTAAGTTTTAGGCAGCTTCTTTGTTTTTGGTTTCCAAGAAGACTTTCCAAATTTAAGTTTTTTCGAATATCAAAATCTAAACATATTTAATATGTTTACTTTATCTATTTAACCATATTGACAGAAGTGTTTATATATTTAATCATGAGTAATTGTTAATTATTTCTTATTTTGGATACAAAGAAGAACGACCTTGGTTAATGCCATTTTGGTTTTGTTATTTATTATTTTTAATCATTCGTAATCTAGGTTAATGATTTAACATTAACTTACGTTAATTCACAACGATAATTTTAGATAATTAAAATTATATAATTTATATATTCATTATTTTATATATATAAATAAAAATGACATTAATAAATGACCCTAATAATTTAAATTATTTATGCAAAGTCCGAATAACCTTGTATTATTAGCTAAAATGAAAAAATGTCGTAAAAATATGACAAAATTAAAAGATAAAATTGATTTACTAACAACAATCATTGATCGATAATCGATTAATATTTAAAATGATTTTGAATACAATATCCCTCCTTAAGAATAAAAACCAGAAATAATTATAAGTGAAGATACTAGTGTTGAGATAGTTTTAAGTTTAAATGAACCTTAACCTACCAATTAGTAATTAGATCTAAAACCAATAGCAAAGAAATTAATTTCTAGATTTTATTACCATATAAATGAGAAAATGAAATAAGGTTCTTTAAATCAATTATAAGCTTTAAAATTAATGTGTAACAAACAGTTTTAAGATAATCCTTACAAACAACTCTTTTAAGGTTTCTAAAAGTTATACATCAATACTGAATTAAAGTGCAAATAATGTCATAATTCATTTAACAGTATTTAATAAAGTTCAAATCATGTACTTTAAGATCATTTAAATGATTTATCAATCTTTATTTGTATCTAATGTAAATTGACATTTCAGAATAAAGATAAATTAGAAAATCACATAATTCAATAACATAATTCAATTAAAACTAGTACTAATATCTAAATTAATTAATAATAATAACAGGATAATTAAGTTAAAATACAACCTATCATTGAAATCCATAGAATCAATTAGATTTCTGATCCAAATTAAACACTTCATGATATTCCATCTTAACCAATTATGTAAAAGATTTTTATTCCATCAGAATATACTCCATCAAATAATTATGTCAAACAATAAGATTAACCATAAATCTAATAACAACCTTAATAATCCAATATCAAAATTATTAAATAATAGTTTCCAATTGTATCTGATATTATATAAGAAGAATAATTAATATAAAATAACTTAAATGATTAGATGCTATAAAATAATCATAAGAAACCATAAAATATCAAAATTAAATTAATTACTAAAGTAAATCAATCACCCAATCATTGAAAAATAATTCATTTATATATATATATACTTAAAGTTAATTTTTGAGTTAAAATGAATAAAAGAATAGAGAATATTATAATTTATTCTATTTATTTTCATTCTATTTTTATTTTATTATTATAAATCTTATCAATCAATTATATATTATAACATGTATTTTTATAAAAAAACAAAATGTTGTATTTGTTCAAAGGATTTAAAGGCTCTGTAAATATTAAAAATATTATTTTTAGAAAATTAAGAAAAAGTTACAGATGCAAAATGTGTCATTAAGATGTTTGTAAAAATTGTAGTGAAAATAGAGTTAAAGTATCCAAAATTTTTATTTAGTTATTTGCTAAACCAAATGATTTCGTAAAAGATTTTAATTAACCACAACGTGTGTGTGATAATTGTTTTTAAGATTATTCATATTATTAAACAATGATATGTGAAAATGGGATCAGATGGAATTCTAGATCTAAAATGCAATAAAAATGGATTGGAGAGTAAGAAAGAAAAATAAAAATGTAAAGAACTATATCTGAAAGAGATAAAGAAATTATAGATAAGGCTGTAATGACAGGAAGATCTGATGAACTTTAATTTAATTATAGTTTAAGAGAGTTCATTAGTTAATGTTAAGAAGGCTATGATTAATCATATATTAGAGAATCAATAATAAAAGTCTTATAGCTATTTGTTTCTCATTATCCAATAATTGGATATTGTTAAGGAATTAATTAAATAGCAATAATTCTATTATGTGTATCAGATGAAGAAGGAGCATTTCATATTATGAATCATATATTTAAATCTATTATTCCACCAAGATTTTACTCTAATTCATCTGGAGCAATTTGGATTGGTAATTAAGCTGAACTTTACTTTTTGAAATCTCTTTTAAAAAGTATGAATTTAATAAATTATGATCAAATGATAAATTTTCTTGATATTTCAGGACCTTAAATGTTATTGACTCTAATGTTATAAGTCTTAAATACAAGTTCTTTATTTGTTACATGGGAAGAAATGTTTAAAAAGAACTCCTATATTCCTATAGATTAGGCAATAATTCTATCTTTAGTTAAGACTACTGCTAACAATCTCGATTTCACAAAATAAGGACTTATTGATGAAATAGGAAAGAGTAAATATTGTTATATATACCATCTATAGTCATTAAATATAGTGATTTATTATAATTATTCAGTAAAGAGAGTACTTATTTTAAATCATTTGAAAGATAAGAAGAGATTGAATAATATTATTCATAAATAAGCAGATCTTGGATTAATGATGATAAATAAATAATCTTTAGATTAAAGAAAATAACTAATTTTGATACTGAAGAAATATTATTAATATAAAATGAATTTAAAAAGTATTGCATAGAAAATAGAAATGTATCCATTAATCTATAAGAAAGACAAAGTTATAATTCATTCTATGCTCTTTCAGATAATGATCATTGTATATATTAATCAAATTTACATGTATAACAAAGTAAATTATAAAAATATGGTATTAATAAAGAAGCATTTCTTAAACTCATGGTATGATTATCTAATTATATAGATTAAATTAGGAATCATTTCATCAGAATTACACAAAATATAAATTATTAGATAAATATAAATATGAATTAGTTTTTTAATTATTTGATGAAAATAAATCAGAATTATTGGATTTTAGAGAATTCTTGACTTGTTTAAGTGTATTATTGAGAGGATCATTTGAACAAAAATTAAAGATGTTTTTCACAGCACATACTGAATCATGTTTGAAAGATGAAGAATTTAAGACTTTATTATCCATAATTATTCCTTTAGATTTATAATAATAAGAAGAATACTAATAATTTTTGAATAGAATACATATGTCTTAATATAGCTATTATGATATGTTAAAGGTATTATAAGATGAATTTGTTTTGAATAATGAATATAAAAGAGAGAGAAGTTAAACTTCAATAATTATTGTTTAATGTTTTTCTTAGATAAAAAATAATTGAATTTTATAATAAAATATATAAGAGTATGTGTAATAGATATTGATATATTAATTGAATATTTTGATTTTGTATTGTACTAAAATATAATTAATGATGTTAATCAACGATTAGTTTTGGCAACTTTCTCTAATTCATCTCTCTTTTTAATAGTGTATGACTTTTATCCATCTTCATTGGCTGCTGCAATTAATTCATCAGCTAAGGCTTCTGCAATAGTTTTCATCTTCTTGAATACAGATTCTCTAACACCTTTGGCTAGATTATGAACAGCCTTTATTTAAATTGAATTGAATAGTATACTTCATTAACTCTTCTAATAGGAGCAACATCAACAGCTTATTATTTGGCAACACCACCTGTACCAACTTTAGTAAAATCTTCTCTAGCTCCTCCTCTTTAGACAGCTAATGATAATACTGCAAGTGGATTCTTGCCTGTCAATAAATGTACTATTTCAAAGGCATGTCTAATTATTGCTACAGCCTTCACTTTCTTTCCTGTATTTCTGCCATGAAACATAAGTGCACCAGCTAATCTCTCAACTATTGGACATTAAGCCTTTCTAAACTTCTTTCTTTAATATCTATTAACATTATCATCCATATTCTTTACCTTCCAGCAGTATGAGGAACAAACACTCTTGATTTTGATGTTTGAACTGCTATATAATCTTTGAAGCATTAATCTGTCACTTGTACTTCATCATAATCCCATTTTCCAAATAATTTTGGTTGATTTGCAAATTTAACTGTGGCTACAGATTCTTATTCAGCCATAATAATTTTTTTTAAAAAGGATTTTTATTTATTTAAAATTTCATATATATTTATATACATTCATATATATATTATAATTCTTTAAGATACTTATCATCATTTTAATATATCAAATATTATAGAGTATTTCAATTTACTTACTTGTTTAAATTATTCATAGATCTTCATCATTAATAAATCTTCTAATTTTAGAGATAATTTCACATCATTGTATTCAAGAGCTTTCTTGAATTCCTAAACACTACAATGATCTCCCTATAATTACAAATAAGATATTATTCTATTTTAATTTTGTTTCATCATCTAAACATCTAAATGATTCATACTTAACATAATTGACTATACAGAACTTTATGCTCATCATATGAAATTAATTCATATCCTTTTATGAGATTTTTGAAGATACTTATTGAAATCACTATATCATTCGTACAGTTTAAATCATAATAAATCCATTCCTCTTATTCTGGTTCTATAACGAATCTAGCAATCAATGTTGCTTATTCATCATTCAATTCAAAAGGTTACTATTTCAAAGTTTCAATTAAATCTGACAATGCTAAACATCCTTTAACAGATTTCGAATAAATATACTAATCTAATCTAATAAAAGGAATTTCATTTAATTTTAATTTTATTCTTAATTCTAATAACATTTAAGAGATTTCATGATAATTAACTTTCTAAATCCGTTTCTTATTTATTATTACAGAAGCATGTTTTTTATTTCTATCTGATGATTCATTTGGTTAATCTATTACCGGTAGAGATTTCCTTTTATCTTCATTCTCTAACTAAAAGATTTAGTCTTTTAAAGTAGCTATAACTAAGTGTAAATTATCAATATCTTTTTTATGGTAAAAATCCTTCTATTATAATTATTGCTCTAAATCAATTATTTTCCTCTCCAATTCAGCTATCTGCTATTACTTATTAATCAATATTTATTCCTATCTCTGAAATGATATAAATTATAGATCCAATTGTTATTACCATTATTTATTAAGATCAGCAATAGTTTTCTTAGGATTACTATATTCAAAATGAGTTAAACTTAATTCTCTGTCTTTTTCTTAAACTAACTTTTCAAACTATTATCTTTTAAAATTATTTTGATGTAATTCAGTTTCAAGTTTTTTAATTTTTGTATTTTATTATTATATATGCTATTAATTATCATAAAGTTATTATGATAGATAAATATTATCTTTGTTTAACTCATCATCATTTGCAAATTAACTAGATTAACAATCAAATATGATAATACCTGAGATGTCTTTAAGCTTAATATTTCTTTAATAATTCCTCATATTCTTATTAAATAACTTAATATTAAACCTATTATAAAATGGATTAAAATACTTGCAATTCAGTATATCTAGTTTTTCTAGTATCTCTTTTTAAATCTTCAATTTATTGATTTTTTTATTAAATAGTATTTTATAATTCTTTGATTTATTTAGAATAAGCAATAAGAGAGCATGTTTAAGATGAAAAATTAATAATTTCTTCACTTAATGTTTTAGTGTAATTACTATATTGAGTTTAGATCTACGAATCATTATGAAGTTTTTTGTTGATTTATAATGCTTTTTCTTATTTATTGATTTATTTCTAATTGAATTAAATGAAAAAGGTTACTTGGAGATGTTGAATTTCAAATTTAAGTTTAGTATTGTCATCATTTAAGACATTAATTTATAATTTGAGATGAATAATAGTTTCTTCTAGCTTTTCTTTATCTTTTGGTTTTTTTAAGATGACTTAATTGAATAATATAAGAGATTTACGTTTATGGTTTGTAAAGAGATGTTAATTACATTCACTTTTACATGCTGATGATCTTTTAGGAGATGAAATACGAAAGGGTGAATTCATATATAAATTAATTAATTATATAATCATATTATATCAAAATAAAGAATGGATTTACAACATTCTAAATCTTACGCAGCATTAAATTAGTAAAATTGCTAACTTTTTAAACCCAAGCCTCTCTAATATAAATAATAGATGGGTAAATTATTAGAAGAATAATGAAGTTTAGTTACCTACTGAGACTCCAAGATTACAATTATAGGCTCTTACTACACCAACATCATATGAATGTGATTCTAAGTATGATATCTAATTTATATAGCCCATATCTAAATTCTTAACTTTATTCATTTAAATCATATAGAATCTCCACTGAAATGATAAATGGATCTCCTATAGATTAAATATAATTAATATTGAGAGAAAATGAGAATCTTAAACGATCATTAAACTAAAAATAGTAGATTATTGAATCATTAAGTCGAACTCGCAAACTTAAACCAAGAATAGATTTTAATGATTTAAAAAAGAACTCTAGATCTCTTCTTTAACCTTAAAGTTAATAGGAATCCATTAAACCTAAAAATATTGAAGCAAAATAGTCAGTCTCATAAAATTATAATAAACGCATTAAATTACCTAAAATTGAGGATTCCATACCAACCAAAGAAGATGACTGTAATTTCACATTTGCCAATAATTTTTTCAACAATAATACTTGCAAAAATTAAAAGATCAACTTCAAATAAGTTTTTACATAGTCTCATTTGAAGAAAAAATTTTTCACTTGATAAATTTATATTATTTAATGACAGAATATAGTGATCAAATTATGACATCTTAAATCATACATGATGTTATTAAAAGAGCACCAAAAATAGATTCAAAAACCATCTCTTACAAAGTTTATTACAAAAGTACAGACATTGAATCTCATTTGTATATTTTACATTATTTATTTCGAATGTATTAGTACTTGGGATACTGTTAAATACAAATATGAATTCATTAAAATTGATTTAATTAATGGAACTGGAATCTCATGAATTTACAAGAAGGTTATTCTATTATTAAATTATAGATATTCACATTTTGAATGGTTATAAAATCAATTAGAAAATAAACACATTGGTAGAATTATACCTAGTCTACCTGAAAAAACTAAAATTTATGATAAAGATAAAAGGTTATTCCATTTTAATATTTTAGAAAATATGAATTTCTATATTACATGTAAAAATTACTAGATCATAAATTATTAAAAAATGTGAATGTTTTATAGAAATTTTTTAGTAAAGAATTAAGAGTAATACAATATGTTATTTAAATAGGATTTTAATGATTTTTAAGATTATATCAACAAAATTAGTGAATCAAATACGATTTTAAATACAATTATGCTTACTGGAGTTTCATTTGTAAATATGTTTTCAAAATGTGTGAGTTTTGGTTCTTCTTAAGTTTTACCAAGACTTCCTGATAAATAAGATCAATGTTTTGATGAAGGTAAAATGTATTTATACTCAATCTTAAGTTTTAAAGGAGATGTTATAGAATAAATAATAAACTGAAATAATATGTTCTGATATGTAGAAAATAGTTTAAAAATTGTTTATGTAATCTAAATCACTTATAATCAGTTAAGATATTTTCAGTAATAAAATTAGATGTATTTAGTGATTGATTGTTAGTAAACTGAAGAATTTATGAGATTAAAATAGATTACCAAATTGTATGAAACATTTTATATCCAAATGAAATAGAGGTTAATTTATTAAATTGAAACATGCATTAGAGATTATGATTCAGTTCTGAAAATAATAAATTATTACAGAGAGTTGAAAGATTAAATTCATAAAGATTCTTAATTAATTAATAACATTAATAGTAGTAAAAGTAAATTAGAGGAACTCAAATAAGCGATAAATAATAATAAATAAAAAGTTGAATAACTGCAAATGAATTTTATAGATGATTTACCAATATTCCGTTAATAGTAGTAAATATATTTAAAAGAAATCTAATAAAACTTTCACTTAGAGCTATCACAATTTTATTTTTCAATAAAAAACTTAAAATAATTATGATATATTAATTATTATAGAATTCAGTTATATTGATATTGAATTTATTTAATTAAGTTATTGATATATTTGAAAAATGTCTAATAACAATCAACAGGATGAATCTTATGATGAAGAGTAGGAAGATGAAGAAATTGAAACTGTTTAAGAAAATGGATTAAAATAGTTATTCAAAAATCAAGGTATGTTATGTTAAATTAACTTAAAAATAGAGTAATTCATGTAATAGATCAATTATCTAAATGAATAAGCGGTGCTAAAGATAAAACTTTAAAAGTTCAAAGAAGCAATGAAGTTACTATAATAATCAGAATAAATGTTGGAAGTATGAAACTATTTTAATTTGTAGTATGCAGCAAGTTGTGGGAAAACGATAGATAAAAATTTAATAATAGTTGTTCTTTATAATTAGGCTTGTGGATTTTAATGGTATATGAAATAAATAATTAATAGTTAATGGGTATTAGACAAATGTTCTAAATATTTATCTGGAGTAATTTATAATATGGAAGAAAGAATGAAAGAGGAAGAATAAGATGGTAATAATCTGACAAGTGCATAAGAATGTGATGCTTCTTTAGTTAAAAAGAAGGCTTTTCTTTCTAGAACACTATTATAACATACAGCAATCTTAAGTTAATTAGGAAAGTATATATAAAAATAAATTAAGACATAAATTAGCATTATAATCAGCTAGAAAAGCAGCAAGTACAATGAGAGAAGTTTTTAAGATAGCTTTTTAATTTTGTAAAGATTGGTTAAATAAAAATGGATCATTAGGATCTGCAACTACAGCCAATTCTAGTCTTACTATGAAATCAAAATAAAAAAATAATAAATTTTAAATGAAAGATGAAGTAGAATTTAGTAGATTAGTTATTGATGCTAGTAAAGATATTCTTTAAGATATGTCCAAATAATAAGATCTAGATAATATTTCTAATAATGAATAGCTTATTCTAAGAGAAGCCAAGAAATAATTATATTTTTGGAGAAATAATCCTGAAAATAATGAAAAACATATTCGTAAAGAATTGAGATTAGATCAAAAAGAAGAAGAATATCGTTCTATTCTTGGAGTTTAAAATGTATAAGAATGGATTCAAACCTTTAATATAGGTTTCATTATGCATATGACTCCTTAAATTTATGAAGATTTCTCATCTTAAGGAGAAATGCTTTATGAGATTTCAAAAAGATTATTGTTAGAAAAAATAATCTATTTGTCTATCTCATATTTTACTATTGCAACAGAATTAAGATTTATTGAATTAGATAAGGCTAAATAATAAGGAATTAAAGATATTAATACTGAGGAATTTAAATTAAGTGAGTTATATCATCTCAAAGCAGTTGAAATTGCATGTAAAAATATTACTTGTTCTTCTCCTTATATTAATCATTTAATTACCAGTTATCATAAACATTATAATTCTAATTTAGATACTATCTAAGAAGAATCTATGATGTCTATGATATCAGAAGTTAATTATAAAGAATAAAAATTATAGAAACTTAAACAAATGTAAATTTAAACACAAAGAGAGAACCAATCTATACTCAAAAATTTAGCTGAATTAAAATTAAATGATTCATCTTCTACTGGAAAATTAGTTAGCTCATTTTTGAATTAATAATCTCCTCTTAAATCTAATAGAAATATTAGTGATAATGTTAAACCATAGACTAATTTGATGGAATAGATGATTGTTAATAAAAAACGATAATAAATGCCATCAGATATGTCTCCTAAATAAAAAATATAGTTCTTTAATGCTACATCTAATAATAGTTGTGAAAGAATTAATGAAAAGGTATTAAAAACTTAAGAAACATTACCTATTTAATTATAACCATATAAATCAGCTAAAACTACTTTTAATAATCTTATTAAACCAACTTAATATACTTCAGCATCTTCCAATTAAAATAATAATGGAATTTTAAAAGCTTTTTTCTTTGATAATTGTAGAACTGAAAGAATCAATTCAAGTTCAAATTAGTCTCCAAAACGAGTAGGAAGATCACCTGAAAAATCACCAGATAGATCATAATTATCGTTAAAACCTAGAGCATCTATTATGACAAATAAAACTCCATAAAATAGACCTCGAACAGATACTGTATAATGTAAATTTTATAAATATATTTTATAGAGTGTCATATCAAGTTTGAAACAATATAGTAGTTATTAAAAGGGCAATCTGGAAATAACTTAAAAAGAAAATGAATATAACTTAGCATTCTTCTTAGTTTTTTGTTTTTTGGTTCTTTCACAAATATTTATCTATAAATATTTATAAAAATTCTTCAAGAAATTTATTTAGCAAATAAAGTTTCAAAATTTAAAATAAAAAGATTTTGCTGTGATTTCAAATGCAGAATTTTTATTGCAGGAAATTTACAGTTACTTCTGTAAGTTAAGTATTGATAAATTTCATGCATTCTTTTCGGTTCTTTTTGTTATTCATATACTTAATACTCTTATTGTTATAATAAATTTACTTATTTCATTTTATAGGATGCGTTTTGTATTTAAATGTTTACTAGCATAATTTTATAAATTTTTCTAAAGATTTCTTTAGATCTAAAAATGACATAAATAATTTTGTTCTTTTATTCATTCTAATTTATTAGCTAAAAGAATTGAAATCTTTAACTTCAAACAAGATAGATTCTAATTAAAAGCAGTAGTTTCTGTGGTAACATCTTATAATTGACTATAAATTCTTTGAATTTAACCAATATTTCTGCTAGAATCATTATAATCTATTTGAATTTTATTTTAGTTCTTTTACTTTTCTGTTTTCTTATTTAAGTGTTTAAACATATCATCAAGATATTTTTATATTTCTTTTAATTTTAAATTGCATAAAGGTTTAAAAAATCTAAAATCTTCAATAAATATATAAAAAAAATCTTTATTACTTTTTTATATAAAATTCTAAACTTTTTAACAGAATCTTTTTGTAATATTTTATACATTTAATCTATCTCTATTAATTCATATATTCTGTTTAGCTTTTTAATCACGTTATATTTAAATTGTTACAGTTTAAAAATGAATATCCAATAGATCTTCTATATCATAAATATTTGTTTTCAATCCGTTAATAAATTAATATTTAAATTCTGCACCATATATTAATCCAAGAAGGATTATTGTTAAGATAAATTCTTATAATAAAAATAGTTTTAGATTTTATAATAATAATTAATAAATTTGCATATAACATTTTATTTCATTATTAAGCACATTAGACTCTTTATCCTCCATGTCCTCCTCTTTCATCATCATCATCTTCTTCATCCTTTTTACCACCTTCTGGATTTGAATTTACATGAGCTTCATCATATTCTTCTAAATATAATGTTTTTTTAGCATCAAGTTTTGGTTATTATTTAGGACCAGGTAAAACCTTGTTATAAATATTTATAATTACTTTTTTTAATTATTCTATCTGATCATTTTTAAGTTATCCAGGAAGAGGGAATTCAACCTCAAATCTAATATGAAGATCTCCTTCACTCATAGCATCTTTGTAACATGGCATACCTTTCTTTTTTACAGTCTTTATTTATGCTAAAAAATAATAAAAACATAAAAAATACCTGGTGAAATAATTTCTCCTGCTTTAGTTGAGATATGTAGATTTGTTCCATCTAAGAATTTTAATGTAAATTAAGTTCCTGTTAATGCTTCAACTAAAGTAATTTTTTTATTAATATAAAGATCTGCACCTTTTCTTTCATAAACATCATGTTTTTTAATTTTAATTCTAATATATAGATCTCCAGCCATAATTCCTGGTAATTCATCACTTTCTCCATAAAATTAATAATCATGTTCATCTGGTACACCTCTTTCTAATGGAATTTCAATAACTTTTTCTTAATCTACAACTTTATTTCCTTTGCATTTTTTGCATCTATCTTTTTCTGGGAATATAGTTCCATCACCACCACAATCTGAACATGGTCCTGATGATTATGAATACATTCCTGGTCCAATCATTTATAATTTTTGCACCATTCCTCTTCCTTTACATGTAGTACATGTTTTTGCATTTGCACCACCTTTACCTTCACATCCTTCACATACTCTTTTTCTTTTATGAGTTAAATGAATCATTTTTCCCTCAAATACTTCTTCAAGTGTAACTTATTATTCTCTCATCTTAGCTTTCATTTTCTTAGGTCCTTATTCTTTTCGGCCTCCGCCTCCACCGAAAAAATGACTGAAGATATCTCCCATATCTCCTCCACCTCCACCATTTTTAACACCTTCCATACCAAAACGATCATAAAGGTCTTTTTTCTCAGGATTTGAAAGTATTTCATATGCTTCTGTCAATTTTTTAAACTAATTATTAATCAAATTAATTAAATACTTTCTCTGGATCACCACCTTTATCTGGATGCTCTCTTATAGCTTTCTTACGAAAAGCCTTTTTTACATCATCTGTTGTGCTTTAAGGAGCTACTCCCAATAATTCATATAATGTTTTATTGTCTACTTCACCTTGACTACCACCTGATGATTCTTCTTCTCCCATACCACCAAATGGAAAACCTCCAGGAAAACCACGAAATCCACCTGAGAACATCTATTAAAATATTTAAAAATAGTTTTAAAATTTTGATAAATTTTCATTATAAAAAAAGAGATGTTTCTAGAAACTCTTATTTTAATATTTTTTTTAATTTATTTCCTTTCTTTTTTTAACCTACTCTCTCTTTTTCTACTCATCTATACAATTTCAACATTTTTTTCTATTTTCAAATTGTATAACAACCTTAATACACTCTTCTATTATTTAATGTAGATTTTTAATATATCTCTACTTTAATCATTTTACTATTCTTTCTCATCTCATATTCAAAACATATTATTTTCAACTTTACACTTTCAAATTTATGCTAGCACTATAATCATACCCTTTTAGAATTTATAAATAAAGATTTAAACTAGTTGTTTTTATTCTTTAAACTTCAAATTTTGAAACTAAATTTAAATTATTTTTTTTTATAGCATGAACTTGAATTTAAAATGTGTTTTACTTTTTCATCATAATATTTATACATTATCATATTGATTCTAAAATTCCTATCTATAAATTTATATATTTTTATAATGTAAGATTTTAAAAGAACTAAACTTGAGAGTTCTTGTATTAATATTTAAATTCACTTATATTAGATAATTCTTAAAGAACAGATGATTTTACAATCATTAATTGCCAACCAAGTTTTTATAAATAACCTTAGTAAAAAATTACTTAATTTGATGAGCAAGCAAGTGAAATATCTGAATATCAAGAAAAGTATATGTTTAATTAATCTAGCAAATCGATTTCACATTAATAGTAATTGCCTATTATTTAGTAAAATATTTAAAAATCAGAATATGAATCCTAAATTTATGAATCAATTGTAGATTCATAACCAGGATCGGAAATTAAAGCTCTAATTGAATAGAAAAAAATCTAAGATTAGAAACCAGTATTATAATGATAAAAATAGATCTATTTAAATATCATGGTTGTTGGTTAATCTGGATTGGGGAAATCGACATTTATTGATGTTTTATTAAAAAAAAAGCTTGGAACTGGACAAATTATTAGAGATTCTACTCTTTAAATATAAGAAATTTAGGGTAACTAATTGTTTACATTTTAAAGGACAAATCTAAATTAACGATTTTACTTTAAACATTAAATTTATTGATACTCCAGGTTTTAGACATTAATATGGTCTCAAAGCATGGTTAAAATTACTTTGTAACTATATTCATAATCAATTTCATACATATAAATTAAGATAGACTTAATAATATGAGAGCAAAGAAAAATTTTAATAATTATCTTAATAAGATTTAGATGAAAGAGTTCATGTTTGTTTTTACTTTTTTTCAGGTCCTAGAATTTTAGCAGAAGATTTACAAGCATTAAAAAAGATAAGTGAAATTGTGAATGTGATTCCTATCTTAGCAAAAGGGGATTCATATACAAAAAATGAAATTATATAATTGAAACAACAGTTCAATGATCTAATAAATGAATATCGTATCGATTTATTTAAATTTCAATGCAATAACACATCTCCAGAAAAAAGTTAATTTGGTGTCACTCCACCTTATGTTATAATCAGTTCAATTGAATAATTTTAAGTAGGAAATCATTTGATTTATGGAAGGTACTTAAAATTATAAATCCTAGAAAATTTCCTTGGGGTATATGTGATATTTTTAATCCATAACATTCAGATTTAGCAATAATATATAAATTATTAATTGGCCATTATTGTTTAGAACTAATTAAATTAACAGAATATCTTTACAACAAATATGAACAAAAATAAAGAGAAAAAATAAAATCTTAATAATAGAATTAAAATTGGTTCAGAAGCTTGTTGCGCTTCTTTTTTAATATATGAACTTTATAATGTTATAAACAAATTTAATCTTTAAAATGTATCATTCTAATACTTAGGATTCTATCTATTAATCTTAAATTTATTTATTATTAAATTCTTTCTCTTATTTTAAGTATTCTAAATTTAGTCTATTAGTGTTTCCAGGCGAATATTTAGTATTCAATTTATTACTTAAATTTATGGGAACTTTTTAATTATAATCTCTCTCTGCTTTGTCAGGGCTAAAATTTGGCTATGTTTTTGTAATATAATTATATTAAGAAAGTTTTTATTACTAAAAATCATCGAGCTTGTATCTAAAATATCAAAATACCTTACCTTATATTTTAAAATCTCTTTTATGTGATAGAATCCTCAGGTTCAATAAATGAAGGTTTTTCTTACTAATTCTTGAAATATTATTTAAAATTCATAAATCCAACTAATCCTTTTTACTCCTCTGATGATAAGGGTCTGTGATTTATAATATTGTTTTATCTAAATTCTTTTTCGTGAAAAAATAGTTATGATATATACTATTGAAGATCACCCTTCATTCTGTTTATTTTATGACTCTTTCTTTCTTCTTATTATTTCTCTTCATAGGGTGATTTAATTTTTTATTATTAATTTTCTTATTAAATTTATTAAGGTTGAACACGAACAGTATAGGATCCTTTTTGAGGAGAAGTCTAAAGAAGTGGTTCTTTTATGTATGATTATTTATATGACTTTATATTATTTGATAAAGAACTTCTATTTGAAAGACCGTTTTAAATAAGCATATTGCTATTTAATCCAGTTTTGCTTCTAAAATGATTAGTTTGACCATCAATATAACTTTTCATTATTTTATTAGCTGGTTATTAACTTTTTCCAGCATCCTCATCAGATTTTAGTTGTAATTTATTGATATAAAGGTCTCCCTATTATTTCTCTTCATTTTTCTTTAAAAAACAAATAGAAATGCAATCTTATTCATCTTAAAAAACATCTAATTTGCTTTTTTATTTTTAACCTTCTTCCACAAGAGTATCTAATTTTTCTTATAATTAGCTAAGTGATTCACAATCACTAGCTAATTTTGATATATTTTTATTTGAAATCACATCTGTCTTAATCTCTTTTATTTTTTCCTTATCATCTAACATAGCTAACAACTTAAGTTTTTCGTTAATTATTTATAATTTATGCTCGTTTTATTTTTATTTGTATTCCCAATTTTCCCAAACTCTACCAAAATTAGCTTCATTTAATTCAACATCTTTAAAAAGCAAGGACCTTATAAATAAAGGATGAGATTTACAAATCTAATCCTTTTGAATATTCTTAAAAATCTTCAGCAGTTAATGATTCCTTTCCATCTTTTTTCAAAGCTTTAAATGCTTCTTAGAAGCTTTTAAATTTAGAACTTAAGTTTTTTTTTAAAGAAATCCAATTAGACAGCATCTCTTAATTCTGTAGAATAGATAACTATTATTAAGTAAGTTATTCAAATTCAGACATGTTAAATTAATTTTTATTAACAAATAAATTATTATATATAAAATAAAAAAAAAAATAAAGAACTTATAAAAAACTAAAAGTAAAAAATTTATAATTAAAGAAGATTAATTCTATAAATATTAGAAAGATTAATAAAAAATATGAAAAATAAGTTTTATCAATTAATTGGACCAATATATCTATGATTTTTGAATTCCCCATTATATGTTATATTTTCTTTTGTAATAAACTTACCTTTTCCATTCATTTTATCCTATAACCAATCTCCAACATATTGATCACCATTTCTTACAATAAAATTAAATAATTACCCAAATATGTATTATCCTTTACCACTTTTTTAATCTTAAACCCATTCTCCATCATATATATCATCAGTTAATGCATGTGTATATCTACCTCTGCCATGCTTTTTTTCTGCTAACCACTCACCTTCATATCTATCACCATTTGCATAAAGCATCACCCCTTAGCCTGTTCTTTAATCTTTTCTAAACTACCCTGTGTAAATGTCTCTAGACGAAGCATACTTAAATTCTCCTTCACCATCCTTTTTTCCATCTCTAAAATATCCTTTATAATGATCTCCATTTTCATATTATAAAATTCCAAGCCCATTCCACATATCATTCCTAAATTATCCTTTATATATTGATTATCCATTGCACATTGTATAAACACCATCTCCATTCTTTTAATTCCTATCCCATTCTCCTTCATATGTATCTCCATTAGGGTATTACATCTTAGCTTGTCCACATAATTATCCATTTACCCAATTTCCTTCTACTCTTGCTCCGTCATTAAATTTCATTATTCCAAAACCATTTCTTTCATTCTTCTTAAAGTCTCCAACATAAATATCTCCATATGCATAACCAGCCTCTCCCTTTCCATGTCTTTCACCTTCTCTCCAATCTCCATCATAATATTCATCTGTGCTGTAATAGACATATCTTCCTTTCCCATGCTTTTTATCATTTTACCAATCTCCATCATATGTATTTCCATTTAGATAATAATATTTCCCATGTCCATGTTTCAAACCCTCTGATAATATTCCAGAATATCTTTCACCTATGTTTATTAACAATAATACCGTTCGCAAATAAATAATGTCCTGAACCATTAAACTTATCATCAAACCATTCACCCAAATAGATGTCACCATTATTATAGTAATATATCCCATATCCTAATCTAGATCAAATTATTTCTTTTACCACTTCTTTTATCGTTAGAAAGCTATCCTTCATATCTACTTCCATCAACAAACTTTTTTATTTTACAATCTCCTCTTAAGTTTCCTTTTTCATCATATATATAGAGTTATTTAAATTCTTCTATAAGTTTTCTTCTACTCTATTTTCATTAAGCTAAATACTTCTAACTGTTATTATCTAAATCCTTCTATGTTTTTAGCAGGCTTATTTTCTAAGATATGTACGATATTAGATTACAAACCACTCTTTATTTCTGACATATTAAATTGAAATTATAAAATTTAAATAATGAGATCGATTCTAACCAAAAGGGAAGAACCCTAAAACTCGAAACAAATATAAACAATACTTTATCTCAAATTCAAAATTATTAATTTAAAATCGATAGGTTAATTTCTAACTCATAAGATATCTGTTATATAAGTAAAATTTCCATCAAGATCTGTATAAAAAAAACAATAATACAACGATTTTAATGTATATTAGATTTATAAATATATTAAAAGCATTATAAATGTATATAGATAGATTGGCACAAAACAATTATGTAATCCAAATAAAGAAAATGTAAATATAATTATTGTTGAATAAGAAGAAACTTGAATAATTCATTCTTATCAAACTTAGATGTTTGAGAAATCAGCACTTTAGACTACAGATAAAGCTTATTCGCTGATTCCTAATTCTCTGGTGAATTCATTCTTTAAGTTGGTGTAGGTATCGGTTTCTTCTGCATAGGTATTGTTTTCTAATTCTAATTCTGCAGTGTATTATTTTCTATCGGCATCTCTTTAATCTCTGAATTCGGTCATTGAATCAATCTTTTCTATTTTTTATAATATTAATCAATTACCATTGGTAGCTGTCAAATCAACATTGACTCTGTTAATTTATCTTTGGAATTCAGCATATTCATCGTCTAATTATTCAAGATATTCTTCATGATCAGCTTAAGCTTAAGCTTCTGCGGCTGTTTAAGCATTGATTGAGTCAACAACTGCATTTCTGAATTCATTAAGTGCATCAACAATTTAACCGATAATGCCTTAGTCAGAAAAGTTTTAGTTTGATGCTAAAGAAATAAGAGCTTTGATCATTGGAGCCATCTTGGATCTTGACTTAATCTTAGCTTCAATATTTTTCAATGAATTTTAGAATCTTTTAACTTAAAGAAGTGATGGGTTTGTTAGGGTTTCAAGAAGAGCAAGAGCATCATCAACAGCAGCTGTTGCATCATTCAATTCAGCAACTTAAAATTCGAAATCTTCATGTTCTTATTCTCTTACTAATACTGCTTCATCATAGTTCTTTCTATTAGCTTCTTGATTTTCTTAAATTTATTCGATTCTCACTTAGAGTTATTATCTTCTTGGGAACAATAAATTATCTAATGTGTCTTATGTATTATTAACATCTAACAAAATTATATTTATTATTACCAATAACAGCATCTTAAATGTCTTATTAGAGGCTAACAACTAATGCATTATGCTCGTTGGTTCTGACTTAGAAATTGAATTCTAATTCTTCTAATTCCTCTTCAAGATCATTAATAAGCTCTTCAATAGCATCAATCAACTCTTAAACTGGACCTCCAGCCATTGAGTGGAGTTCGACTAAGTGAAGTAAAGCGCTTCCATATGTGCTCTTTTTGAGGTCTGTTGAAATTTTGGCTAGATTTCTCTCCTATACTCTGGCTGTGAAGGCTACTGCAATTAAGGCAATGAGCAATATTGTCTTCATAAGATAATTATTGTTATTGTCAAAACGAAAATTACATAGTTAAACAATAAAAACGACTAGTCTTCATTAATTAATAAACAATTAAAAACGCTATACTATTGTATATTTTATAATAACATTAGAAATTAAATAACAACTATTTTTTATATCCTTTATTCTAAAATCAAAATCCTTTAACTCAGCCCATAAAGAATTAAGAAACTTATTTAGAATAAAGAAAAACTAGATAAAGATTGTTAAAATTAATAATAAATACATACGGTAAAATATTGTGAAATATTAATCAAATGAAAATAAAAATACATAGTCAATCTATTATATGTTAATCAAAATTTTTATTTGACTTGAATTGGAATGTATATTCTTACACTCTATAAACTAAGAAATAAGATAAATTAATAAAAATAGACTCTTTTGATTTTAACATTTGTCTAAATTTTTTTTTAACGAAAAGAATGAATATCATATATAAAATATTGGAACTTCCTATTATTATATAAGCTATAATTTTTATTTTATTTTTCTAAAATATTAGGATTGTCGGGTTTTTCGACATTTATTTATGTATGAACTCTTCTATTTTATAAAAAATTTAACATTGAATAAATATTATCGAACATACCAATTTTAACAAATGCTGAGAATGTAGAAAAAGATGGGATATGATTTTTAAATTGATTTACTTTTTCGTTAGAAAAGAAAAAATTGCTAGTTTTTGTTGAAATAAATAAAAATAGATTTAAAAAAAAAAAATAGCAAAATTTTAAATACATTTAAATTCAATCTATAAGGTTTTAGATTTCATTAGAGATAATTATTAGACTATGAATTCTTTAGAATAATAGAATTTTTTATTAAAATAAAGTTTATTTAATTGATTTATATAATTTTAGAATAAGCTTTCTTTCTACTTACTAATTAGTAAATAACATTTATAATAAAATAAAAAAATTAAGTAATAATGAATAAATTTATTAATTCAAAGGATTTCTTGGTTTCATTTTAAATATACATCATCGCTATAAAGTGGAAACTTGACTAAAGCAATTAATTTAAATTTATTCATCTATAAGTTTCTAGTAGATAATTTTTCATTTCATGATTGGTAATTTTTCGAATACATTACAATAGATGTATGTGAGATATTTTTAATGAAGATAAAATAAGAAGGAATTCTATTTTCTTTTAGGGTGTGTAATAACTTTAAAATAATGATAGGTTCTTAAGATTTTGCTGCTATCTAATTATATTTTCTCATACATATTTTCTTTAATATTTTATTTAAAAACGGATAGATATCAGATGAATAAAGTTTTCTTAACACTTCTGTTAATTGCAATAGCTAATACAAATGAAGTCGAAATGAATTCTTAACACTATAAAACTCGAGAGAGAAGTATCCAATGAGTATATATCTCAAGGCTTGAGTTTTTAGGAGGCCAATGATATTAATACAAATAAGTTTACATGCTAAATGGGTTTTAATTTCTATGATTACACAATCGTAGAGTTATCAAAATGGGCTGATATAATTGAACATAAAGATTAATTGTAAAGAGATTTAACAGTTATTGACTAAATTATTAGATTAGTTGACAAAGCGAAGCGGATAGACGATGTAAAATAATAAAGTAAGAATCTAGAATTTATTTAGAAATGTTCTTATAAATAACAGGAAGTCTTTCAAATTCTTTATTAGATTTATCACTTGCTTAATTAAATCATTAATGGGCAAGAGGAAATTTAGATCAATGTATAGAATATATGCGATAATTCCAAAACACTGTAGGCTCAGCTGAGAGAGTTTCTATGGCAAATAAAATTATTGATTATCTAGAGAACTTGAAATATTAAATAAGTAGAAATTTAAATGAATGCTCTTCATATCAATAACCCGCAAGATTAAGACAAAAAGTAAGAGATTTATAAATGAAAAAAAGAGAATGTTAAGCAAATTAAAGCAGAAAAAATGATTGGAATTACAATAATAAATATGAATATTATAGACCAAAAAATTATGAATAAGAATATCGGTCGACCTAAGGTTCATCAATCAAATAAGAAGAAATTACTAAAATTATTCCAAATAAATATTAATCACAAGGCCCAAAGCCTATTTTTTATAATGACGACGAAGTTTGTCCACAAGGTGAAGAAGATGATTCACCAAAAAATATAAGCGAAGAATAGGGAGAAGAAATGTTGTCAACAATATCTCCTGAAGAATCTCCCGAACCAGAGCCAGAGGAGTAAGAGGTTGAAATAGAACCTAGTCCAGATAGTAATTAAAATATAGGAGAAGATGGAGAAGAAACCTAATAAGAAGATTCTACAGAAAATAAAAAAAAAGAAAGAGATATTATTATCGAAAGAGATTTTGGACCAGATTCCGAGCATCAAAATAACTATGATGAACCTGAAGAATGCACATTTGGTGAGGAATCGTAAATAGAAATTGATCCTAGTAATAATAATAATTAGGATTCAACAGAACAAGACAAGGATGTATAAAAACCAATTAAAAAGCCAAAAGATTCAGAATAGGAAACTAAAGAAGATGATGACTCTAAGACATCAAATGAAAGTAAAGAAAAAGATAAAGATGAAGTAGAAGATAATGAGGATGAAAATGTAAAAGGAACGGAAGATGAAAAAGATAAAGATTCAGAGAAAGAAAAAGAAAAAGAAGATGAAAAAGATGAAGGTAAAGAAAAAGAAAAAGAAAAAGAAAAAGAAGACGAAAAAGATAAAGAAAAAGAGGATGATAAAGATGAAAAAAAAGATGACGAATAAGATAAAGAAACGGAAGATGAAAAAGATAAAGAAAAAGAAGATGATAAAGAAGACTAAAAAGATAAAGAAGATGAATAAGATAAAGAAGAAGAAGAAGATTAAGAAAAAGATAAAGAGAAAGCTAAAGATAAAGATAAAGATAAAGATAATAAAATTCCTTTAGAAATTCCACCAGAAGATGATGAAGAAGCTGTTGAAGGTGAATTAGTTAAAACTGAAGGTGTCGGGGCATCATCAGATGGGAGAGTAGGATCCTAATAACAATAAAAAGCAACAGATACAACTTAAGATAAAACCACAGATAAAACTTCAGATAAAACATCAGATAAAAAAACAGATTAATCAAAAGATAAAACCACAGATAAAACATCAGATAAAACAACAGATTAATCAAAAGATAAAACAACAGATAAAACATCAGATAAAACAACAGATTAATCAAAAGATAAAACCACAGATAAAACATCAGATAAAACAACAGATTAATCAAAAGATAAAACAACAGATAAAACATCAGATAAAACAACAGATTAATCAAAAGATAAAACAACAGATAAAACATCAGATAAAACAACAGATTAATCAAAAGATAAAACAACAGATAAAACATCAGATAAAACAACAGATTAATCAAAAGATAAAACAACAGATAAAACATCAGATAAAACAACAGATTAATCAAAAGATAAAACAACAGATAAAACATCAGATAAAACAACAGATTAATCAAAAGATAAAACAACAGATAAAACATCAGATAAAACAACAGATTAATCAAAAGATAAAACAACAGATAAAACATCAGATAAAACAACAGATTAATCAAAAGATAAAACAACAGATAAAACATCAGATAAAACAACAGATTAATCAAAAGATAAAACAACAGATAAAACATCAGATAAAACAACAGATTAATCAAAAGATAAAACAACAGATAAAACATCAGATAAAACAACAGATTAATCAAAAGATAAAACAACAGATAAAACATCAGATAAAACAACAGATTAATCAAAAGATAAAACAACAGATAAAACATCAGATAAAACAACAGATTAATCAAAAGATAAAACAACAGATAAAACATCAGATAAAACAACAGATTAATCAAAAGATAAAACAACAGATAAAACATCAGATAAAACAACAGATTAATCAAAAGATAAAACAACAGATAAAACATCAGATAAAACAACAGATTAATCAAAAGATAAAACAACAGATAAAACATCAGATAAAACAACAGATTAATCAAAAGATAAAACAACAGATAAAACATCAGATAAAACAACAGATTAATCAAAAGATAAAACAACAGATAAAACATCAGATAAAACAACAGATTAATCAAAAGATAAAACAACAGATAAAACATCAGATAAAACAACAGATAAATCAACAGATAAAATAACAGATAAAACCACAGATAAATCAACAGATAAAACAACTGATAAAACAACAGATAAATCAACAGATAAAACAACTGATAAAACTTCAGATAAAACTACGGATAATGATGCCAGTGAAGAGGATGTTTATGAGTAAATAGAGGTAGACGAGCCTGATGGAAAAGGCGGCATGCGAAAGGTAAAAAAGATAGTGAAAAAAAGAGTAAGAAGGATAAAGAGAACAAGTGGCTAAAATAGTGGATCAAAAAGTTCAACATCAAATGAAAATTAGTCCAGTAAGGCTGCTGGAAGTAGTAGTTAATCAACATCAAATTAATCTCAATAAAAAACTTCTGAATCTTCAGAATACAAACCTCCTAGATATGGAGATGATGCAAGCGAAGAAGATATTTTTGAATAAGTGGAAGTTGATGAACCAGATGGAAAAGGAGGTGTGAGAAAAGTTAAAAAAATGGTAAGAAGAAGAGTTAAAATTACAAAGAAATAAGGAGGATCATCAACATCATCCAAATCATCAACCTCTTCCTCAAGTTCCTCAAGTTCTTCAAGTTAATAAAAATAATCTATTTAATCATCAAGCAGCAGTTCATCAGTTAAAGCAACTGGAAGTAGTTCATCCTCTTCCAGTTAATCCTCATCATAAAATTCTGAATCTTCAGAATACAAACCTCCTAGATATGGAGATGATGCAAGCGAAGAAGATATTTTTGAATAAGTGGAAGTTGATGAACCAGATGGAAAAGGAGGTGTGAGAAAAGTTAAAAAAATGGTAAGAAGAAGAGTTAAAATTACAAAAAAATAAGGAGGATCATCAACATCATCCAAATCATCAACCTCTTCCTCAAGTTCCTCAAGTTCTTCAAGTTAATAAAAATAATCTATTTAATCATCAAGCAGCAGTTCATCAGTTAAAGCAACTGGAAGTAGTTCATCCTCTTCCAGTTAATCCTCATCATAAAATTCTGAATCTTCAGAATACAAACCTCCTAGATATGGAGATGATGCAAGCGAAGAAGATATTTTTGAATAAGTGGAAGTTGATGAACCAGATGGAAAAGGAGGTGTGAGAAAAGTTAAAAAAATGGTAAGAAGAAGAGTTAAAATTACAAAAAAATAAGGAGGATCATCAACATCATCCAAATCATCAACCTCTTCCTCAAGTTCCTCAAGTTCTTCAAGTTAATAAAAATAATCTATTTAATCATCAAGCAGCAGTTCATCAGTTAAAGCAACTGGAAGTAGTTCATCCTCTTCCAGTTAATCCTCATCATAAAATTCTGAATCTTCAGAATACAAACCTCCTAGATATGGAGATGATGCAAGCGAAGAAGATATTTTTGAATAAGTGGAAGTTGATGAACCAGATGGAAAAGGAGGTGTGAGAAAAGTTAAAAAAATGGTAAGAAGAAGAGTTAAAATTACAAAAAAATAAGGAGGATCATCAACATCATCCAAATCATCAACCTCTTCCTCAAGTTCCTCAAGTTCTTCAAGTTAATAAAAATAATCTATTTAATCATCAAGCAGCAGTTCATCAGTTAAAGCAACTGGAAGTAGTTCATCATCTTCCAGTTAATCCTCATCATAAAATTCTGAATCTTCAGAATACAAACCTCCTAGATATGGAGATGATGCAAGCGAAGAAGATATTTTTGAATAAGTGGAAGTTGATGAACCAGATGGAAAAGGAGGTGTGAGAAAAGTTAAAAAAATGGTAAGAAGAAGAGTTAAAAAAACAAAAAAAACTAGTGGAGCTTCAGGATCGTCAACTTAAGCTAAAACAATAGCCTCAAGTTCATCTAGTTCATCAAGCTCATCTAGTTCATCAAGTTCTTCTAGTTCATCAAGCTCTTCCAGTTCTTCAAGGGGGTCTAGTTCATCTGGAAGTACTGAATAAGAAAATGCTTAAAACACTTCTATCAGAAGTACCCAAAAATAAGGAGAGCAAGAAGCTCAAAGTAAATCAAAGGTTAATCAATCTGTAGCAGATAGACTAAGTTCAAAATATTCAGAAGCTGAATCAAAATAATCATCAAGTTCTAATTAAGATTCAAGGGCAATATCAAGCAGCAGTTCAAGTAAATAATAATAGTAAGTTGTATCTAAAGAATCAAGCAGCAGTCAAGGCATTAGTCAAAAAAGTGTTTCTAGCTCTAGTAGTAGTTCAAGTAGTGGTTCAAGTAGTAGTAGTTCAAGTAGTAGTTCTAGTATTTCTAAGGGGTCTAGTTCAAGTTCAAAATCTTCATCAGGAGCCTCCTAAAGTTCAAATAGTAAATAATCTTCATCTTCAGGAGGAAATAAATAATCTTCTTCAAAAGGCTCTTAGGGATCAGCATCAGGTAGCGGTAAATCAAACAAAAAGGTTGTGAATACTGAGGATGGAGAAGAAGTTTGGGAAGAATTTTCTGTTGAGGAAGTCACAGAATATACTATAGATTCTGAAGGAAATATGAAAGTTATTTCATAATCAAGTACGTAAATACCAAAAACAAAAGCTTACTTCTTAAACTCAATCGGAGAATAATAAATTGATCTTGATATAGAATAAAACAATAATGATATTTCAAACAATTTTGAAGAAGATCAAAATGAATAAATTGCAAATGATGATACTAATGATTATCTTTATGAGAAAGATGGAGATTAGTAAGAAAATGAATAAGTTTTGGAAAGTGATCTTAATAATTATGAAAATTTAAGTGGAGAAAAAAATTATGATACAGAATAAGAGAATGATTAGGAATATGTCTATTATGAAATAGATGGAGATTAAATAATTTATTATGAATATGATCCTGAAAGTAATGCTTATCAAAAAGTAAATATGATGAATCCAGAGTAAAAAAAATCCCTAATAAATCAAGATTCTTAATTTGATGATTTATTAGATAGTGTAATAGATGAGAAAAAAGATGATAAAGAATTACCAACTGAATCAATAAATGGTAAGGATGCAACAAATAAATAAGAATAAAAACTCTAAGAGAATGAATAAAAAGAAGTGGCTTAAACGAACTAGATATTAGAAAATTAAAATAATAAAGAAAAATCTATAGTTGGTTAAGGCTAAACAAGTGTTTAAAATGAATAAAGTGAAATTAAAAGTTCAGTAGGTTAAATTAAACAATAGGATTAGAATAATGAAAAAATAGAATAAAACTAAAGTGATGTACCAAAAGAAAATATTAGAAATGCTGTCAATGAACTTTTTAAAGAAGAAAAAGTAAAAATTGATAGTATCAGTTTCGAGAAAAAGGAAGTTGAAGTGAAGGATGAGAGAGAAAAATCTTTAAAAATATAATCTTTGAAAGAAGAATTCAATCCTAATGAACCAACCTAGTATGAACCACCAAAACACAAAATTAACACAAGGCCAAAAACTGAAAAGGTCAATGTTCCAGTATCAACTAAATATGTCAAATCAGCATATGATGGAGAAGTAGCTGAATAATATGAATTTGCAGATAGAGAGCTTCTTTAAGATTCCGACGAATATGGATATGGATTTTGGATAAGATACACTTCAAATGCACCAAAATAGCATATCAGGAAACCCGAAACCTTCTACTTTTTATCGCGATTGACTTCAAATTAGGAATACAAAGACTTAACATATTATGGGGATAGAACATTAGCAATATTTATGATAGAAAACTCTTTTGTTTTTTCCACATATGATCATTAAGAAAAGAAAAAAGTTAAAGATTAGCTTGTGGCTTTAAATGAAGATTTAGACAGTATGTGGTACTTTATCACATTCTCTTACAGCACTGCTAAAAAAGCGGCTGTTGGGTTTGTAATTGGTTATGGAGATAATAACAGAGTTTTAAAAGCTGAAATTCAATGCAGACATGTTCCTCCTTAATACTTTAAATTAATTGTTGGAGGAAAACATATGTCATATGAAGGAATAAATGGACAATTTGCAAATATCTTTTACGATATTGATGCTCCAGCATTTGTAGATACAGAAGCTAAAGCTAGAGAAATAATTAAGACTATTTCAAATGTTCCTTAACAAGTTACTAATCTTATAGATTTAGAAGTGTTAACTATTCCAAAATTATTTAATGCTAATACTGCAAGTGATTCTGTTATCTTAGATCCATAAGAGTCTTAATTAATAATAGAAGAATACAGTGTTGCAGCATGGTTTAGATGGATTGATGATTTGAAGGTAGATAGTGAAAATACTTTCTAAATTTTTAATTTAAGATCAAATGAGAAGAAGTCATAAGGAAAAGGAATATTAGGAGACAGATCGCTAGAAATGCATTATGTTTATGGAGGAGGGTCTAAGAGTTCTGTATACTTTAATACATATACTATTGAAGGCAACAAGGCAAAAGGATCCATTTATTTATCAAAAACAGTATAATCTCCTAATTATATATGGCATTACGGCTTCATGGCTTATGACAATGATAAAATGAAAGTTTATGGAGCATTGTTAAGACCAGGAAAATCTGATGAGATCTTATTTGATCCAATTCAACATAAATTGATAACTAAGTTATTCTTTACTTTAGGAGGAGATGATTAGATATCCCCTTTTAATGGTAAAATTGGGTATGTTGGAGTATACTTAGGACCTGGAGCATATAGATAAGCACTTAATTTTGGTTAATAGTTTTTATATGGAGATGGTGCTATGGCAGTCTTTCAATTAGTGAAACCAATTTCATTTAAAGATGATGCATTAGAACCTAACATAGTAAGAGATTGTGCCTATGATGCTGAAAATTCATTAGTAGATAAGATTATGATTCATGACGACTCAAAATTAAAAATAAATGGTTAAAGTGAATATTCATTTGGAATGTGGACAAGATGGTTGAGTACAATGCCTAAATATCTAGTCTAACGAGGAGCAGTTCACAATATTGGTAGATTTGGTACATAGCCTTATTTGATTGAATAAGTAGATGGTAAATTAAAACGAGCAAATACAAGATAATAAACACCAAAAGATTAAACTTTAGCTGTGACTCTAAACAAAGAAGCATATGAATTCTATACTTATAATGCTAAAGATGATATACCTTTCACAAATTTAGAAGGTTGGTGGAATTACATTTACTTTGGATATAAGAGATTTGGAGATAAAGGCACAGCAAGAGGATATGTTTAATTTGGAGTAGATGGAGAGATTAAAGAAGTTTCTTTTGATATTTTCCATGACTTCATTTTGGAATATGTTGAATTTGTAGTGGGTAAATCTTAGGCTCCCTTCTTTAATGGTCAAATGACTAAAATATAATGTTCAATAGGACCTGGAGCATTTATTTAAAGTGCTGATACTCTAAGATTATATACATAAAATACACTTCCAGAAAAGGCTTAAATTCATCCAGTTTCAAGATAAACTTTACAATTAATTGGAACACCAGTGAATGAGCCATCTAACAAATTTTAATTTGATAAATATTAAGGAGCTTTAGAATATGCTATTTCTGGTTGGGTTAAATGGAGTGGCTAATAAAAAGTTGGAAAAGTTTTCCATATTATCACTATGGCTTAAAAGAGATTGGATGATTTGAATGGAAAAAATGAGGAAACTTTAAAGATTGTTAGATCTGATTTATCATATATTTACTCAACTTATTCTTGCAAAGGTGAGGATTGTTCATAAATAATAAATAAAGAATAGCAATTTGGTGAATATTGGGATTAATGGACATATGCATATTTTGGTTATTCTAGTTCATTAAAAAAGGCATTTGGCTACATTAAATATACTTTTAGTGATGATAAATTCTTGTTGAATGATGTGAGTCATTTTTATATGGCTGTTTTTAGTATAATAATTGGAAGTGAGTAAGAAAAGTTTTTGGGACAAATGAAAACATGGGTAATTAATATTGGATAAGGATCTTTTAGAGAAGGTGGATTTGAGAGTGATGAGAATATAAAAGTACACTTTGGATTTATAAGTGGAACTGATCACTTAAAATTGTAATAAGCAGGATAGGAAGCTCATCATGATGAATAAGTTCTTGAATGTTCAGCAAATGGTAAGGAAGTTCCTTTGCATGTTTAATTTGAGTAAAGTGAGAAATTAAATCTATAAGGTGTAAGTGAATATGGTTATGGATTTTGGGCGAGATTTTAACATTTTGCAAATAAAGGTGTACTTTACTAATAACCATAGTGGATGGGTATGGCAAGATTGACCAGTCAAAAAGATTATAAGGATTTTGATTAACCAGGAGACAGAGTTCTATTAGTCTTGATGGGCAAGAATGTTTACCATTTCTCTACATATAATGTGCAACCAGCATCAAATAATGTAAATGGAAATATCCCTTGTTCAATCGAATCAGAGAGTGAATGGACTTATATCTACTTTAGTTATAAGAGAATATCTTAAACCCTTGGACATGCTGTGGCATTCACTTCCTTTGGTGAAATAACGCCTGGAATACAAATGGATGTTTTACATAATCTACTTTAAAATTATTTACAACTGACAATCGGACATGCTGGAAAGTACTATCCAAACTTTAATGGTTAAATTACTACAGTCCGATTTAATTTGGGACCTGGAGCTTTTATTGAAAACACAGCAGGCATTTTGGCTAGAATTAAGAACAAGGATCCAAAGCCAGATATTTTATCATTCCCTAAGACTTATGAGGTGTTTGTTGGTAAGTAGGATGCTTAAAAACTCAAGATTGATAATCCTTTAATAATTGAGTAAGAAGCAAGAGAGTACTCTATTTAGCTCTGGTTCAGATGGTTTAAGACACCAGTAAAAGCAAATTAGGTTATTTATAGATTTTCTGCAAATAGAGCTGAAAATGATGCATAAAATATCGGGGATAAAGTATTAATGTTAGCCCACATTGGAACTGCTTTATTCAGTACTTATACTTTGTAAGAATCAGTAATGAGTGTACCTTTTGAATGTAATATTCCAAAATAATAACTGGAAATTTGGAGTTTTGCTTATTTTGGTTATTCAAAGAAGGAAAGAAAAGTATAATATTACTTAAAAGCTGATAATCATGAGAATAAAGGATTGGAGCCTATACTTCATGCAGTTTCTTCTAAATTTTGGTTATATGTTGGAAAAGATGGTTTATTGGAGAATTTTAATAGTAGAGTGGCATAATTAACATTAAATTTAGGTGAGGGTAGTTTTAGGAAGGAGAACTTTTTGTAATTGCCAGTTTATTTATTATCATCAAAATTATTCTCTTAGGAGAAAAAGAATAGTTGGGAAAATAGAGGAAAGATAGTTCTTGGTTAAGGATAGACAGTAAAATTTATAGATGAAGGAGATAAACCAATAGAATCAATGTAGGAATATAGTATTGGATTTTGGTGTAGATTTTTATAAACATGGCCAGAGAGATTGTATAGATTATCTTAAGAGATGTAATTAGTAAGATTGACATCAAATGAATAGATAGAAGTTGGTAAAGTAGCTATGGGAGATAGAATATTGGCTGCCCATGTAGTATAAGGTAATTATTAATTTTCAACTTATGATTTGAATGATGATGCTCCAAATGAATTAAGAACAATAGCTTATAAAAGATTAGAGGGATAGTGGAATTATATATATATGGGTTATTAAAGATAAAGTTAATTGGCTTCATATTTTGTATATGATGGAAAAGATATCTAGTAAATTAAGAATTAAGATTTGTTACATAAACCTTTGGGAGACTTTGTAATTTTGCATATAGGAGGTGAAGCAGAGATTCCTGGGTTTTAAGGATTGATGAGTAAATTGGCAGTAAATTTTGGGGTTGGTTCATTTTATGGATTGATAGAGGAAGTAAAAAAGACTATTGAGAATTCATTTGCTTTAGAATAGTAATTGAGTGTAGAATATATTCATAAAGAGAAACATGGATAATAAGATTTAATAGGTAAATTAGAAACAGTGACAGATGAAGGAGGAGGTACAGAATTGAGAGGCGATACTTGGTCAACTGTTGGTGAATATTCAGTGAGTGGATGGTTTAAAATAGCAGAAGTAACAGGATTGAATGCAAATGATTGTTAGATATTATTAAGAGTAACTAATAATGATAAAGAACACTTAAATGATAAAAGAACATAAGGAGATAGAACTCTACATGTATCAGTATGTGTAGATTCTTTGAAGTTGTCAACTTATACATTAAATGGATTGAAAGATTGGAATGAAGCTAAATTCTTAGAAGAAAAGGTAGATCTTGGTCATAATAGAAAAGCTTGGATTTATATTTATATGGGTTATAATGAAGATATTTAAGAAGTACATGCATTATTGCATTTATTCGATGAAGATAAACCACTTATTTTTAAGGGAGTTTAACATTATGTACCACATTATACCGGAATTTATATAGCAAAAGATCCTTTCTCTAAAAGATTCTAAGGAGATCTATAAAAATGGGTTGCTTAATATGGATCAGGGGCATTTATTAGCATTTAAAAGAGAGGTTATGAAGATGCTTTGCCTAATTATAGAGCTTTAGCAACAAATTAAAAATATATGTGGTTTTATAAAGAAGAAACAGTTGTCTAAACAGAAAAACCAATTATTTAAATATTCACTACTGAAGTTGAATCTGTTGATGAATATTCAATTGGAGTGTGGACAAGATGGTTAATTTCATTCCCAACAACTCTTATAGAAAGATAGGATAGACATAATATTTTTAGATTTTCATCTAATAAAGAAGATTAAGATAAAAGTGAGTTAGGAGATAGAGTTTTAACAGCATTTCTTACTCTTGGTAATTATGAATTCAGTACATATGATGTTATTAAACCATCAAATGCTCTAGATGCAAAATTACCATATACTGAATTAGAAGGTGTTTGGACATATGTTTATGCTGCTTATAAAACTGGATAATTTTATGGAATGGTTTTATTTAGAGAATAATCTAAAGCATAACATATTGAACTCTAAGTATAACATAGAGCATTAACTGGATATGCTAAATTTGTTTTAGGAGCTAAAGAATTTGGATTCTAAGGATTTCATGGATGGTTATTTGATCCGAGAATCTTCCTTGGTCAAGGATCATTTATTAGTGAAAGCTAAAAAGTTGTAGATATGGTACTTAAATTACATCGCAAATTACCTGTTTAATTACTTGATTCTGAAGATTTTAAATGGCCTGTTTAAATGATTGATACTACAATCTAAGATAATATAAATGATAAAAAAGATAAATTTTAATACTCTTTTCTTGATAAACAAGGTTTACTTGAATATTCATATGGATTTTGGATGTAAAATGCTGTTCTTACTCCTGATTTAACTGATTAATATAGAGGTCTTGTAAGATTATCTACAAATAATGAAGGATCTGATGAAAGATATATCGGAGATAGAACTCTTGCTTTATTTACTAAAACTGATGAAATTATTGCCAGTACATATACTCTTAAAGATCCTACTTTTGAACCTGTTACACATACTTTCACACTCATTCCTTATTAATGGACATTTGTCTATTTTGCTTACACTCCTGGTAAAGCTAGAGCATATATTTTATCAATCAAAGGATCTGATGAATAAATTATGGCAGTCAAACATGCCATTCCTAATTCCTTCTATCTCAATCTAATTAAAGATTAGTCTCATCCTTTATTCTATGTATTTTCTTTTATATATATTCTAGGGTAAATTCTATGGATTCAAACTCTTGTTCGGCTAAGGTAGCTACTTGGATAATCCTTAAGAAATCATTGAAAAATGGCCTTATGATCCTAAAGCTCTTCCTCCTTCTCCTTAAAAAGAAGAGAAAATCTTATCACTTAACTCTGCCAAAGTTGACAGAGCTTAAAATAAAAATCATGAATAATTTCAAGAATGATTTTTTTTGAACTTAACATTAAATACAATTTATAACATCATCAATCTTATTTTATATCCTTTATATTTCCTATATTCTTATTCTCTTGTTTTCTATTCTCTCTTAACTCCCACAATGTAATCAAACATATCAATAAAAAACTACTTCCCAGTAAAATACCTAAAGGTGTTTATATTATTAAAGTCATTAATCTTTTTGAAAATTCTAATAATTTTATCTCCATTATTTAGATCCTTTTATCCTCTTAATCCTCATTCTAATCCCTATCCTTTTAATTTTCTTTCACTTCTTATTCTACTATTTTCAAACTTTCATCTGATAATTTCTTTAATCCATCTATTCCTTTTATTGGATTTCTTCGAATTTTTCTCTCTTCAACATCACTTTAATTATTTTACTTTCCTCCAAACTTCAATATTATACCAGCTATCGATGCTTAATTTTTAATTGCTTTTAACCGAATTATCAATTCATTTTTTTTATTTATTGCACCTAATAATAATTCATCTTTATAAAACGCCTCTTAACCTTATATTTAAAAATGAATTTCTATTGTTAAAGCAGTTTCCCTTCCAACTTCTTTATAAATATCTAAATTCGCTATTATCAATTTATTTCCTAAATATACTTCGAATATTCTTTCATTACTATTCGAGTATTGTAACTATTTTAAATGATTAAAAATACTTCAGCAAAATCGAGCATCAATATGAAATTTTAAATTTCAGATGAATTCATATTTAATGGAAGTTAATAAAAAAAATTGAATCCTTATCTCTAAGTTTGAAATATATCTTAATCAAGTGTTTCTTTTATTTATATAATTTCTATCTTATTATTATAATCAATAAATTATGAAGAACCTTAAAAGAATCTATCCTTTAAACATAATTAAATATATTTACACTCTTATATTTAATACCATTAAAAGAATGATATCTCATATAATTTCCACAATCAATAGCATGTATTATGTCTTGGTCTGATGTTTTTTTCATAATAATTGAAATAGGGAGCAAAAGAAATATTGGAAACATAAAATGATATAAATAAATTTGTTAATATATAGAAGAATAATGATTTTAATTGCTTAATGTTCTTAATGTAAAAAAGAAGAAATTAGTTAAAATCTGAGTGCTATTTATAATTTTTAATAAAACTAAAGTTAATGAATAACAATGGGTTAATTGTGTATATTATTGGTACAACAGCAGCAGGAAAAACAAATTTATCTTTGAACTTAGGAATAGACAATTATGAGATTATTTCTTGTGATTCTATGTAAATATATAAGGATGCTAATATTATGACTGCAAAAGCTACAGCTGAAGAATAATAGATTAGAAAGCATCACGGAATTGATTTACTTGATTTAGATTCTGAAGGTTTTAATCGTAAACAATGGAAAAATAGTAAAATCTTTTATAAACTATGTTAGTAACAATCTAAAAAATTGAAGAATTGTAATCTAAAGGGAAAATTCCAGTTTTAGTAGGAGGTACTCATTATTATATAGAATCAATCTTATTTAATTAAGAAAATGAAGAAAATTAAGTAGTTTAAGAAGCTGAATTAAATTTAAATGGCAAAGAACCATATGAATATTTAAAATAGATTGATCCTTTAGCTACTGAAAAATTTCATCCTAATGATCATAGAAGGATCAAAAATTAAATAAAATATTTTTTAAGCACAGGATAATTACCATCTGAATAATTAGATCATCATTCTGAATTTTGTTAATTAAGAAGCAATAATTTCCTTATATTTTGGCCAAAATGGAAAAAAAATGAAGATCTAAAGATAAAAGTAACTTAAAGAATTCATGAAATGCTTGATTAAGGGGGAACTGAAGAAATATTAAGAGTTTTTGAGAGATTATAGAATAATTAAAATAAAGTTGGCGGAGTGTTATAAAGTATTGGATATAGATAATTTGATAAAGTTTATTAATATTATAAAGAATCAGGTTTATAATTTCCAAATGTAGATGAAAAGTTTAATGAATTATTAAAAGAAGGAGCTGAAAAATTAATTAATGATACTATGGGATATACAAAGAAATAAATATAATGGATTAAGAATAGAATTCTATGTAATTCTAAAATTGATCTAATAGCAAATAGGTTATTTTTATTAGAATTTGAATCAATTCAAACATTTAAAGAATAAGTTATAGTTCCTGCTTAAAAAATTTATAGTTTATTTTGTTAATTATTTTAAGAAGATAAATTGGGAGATGAGTTATTTAATATTAGCTAATTAAATTTATAAAATATAACAATAATAACTCCTGATATGATAAAAAAGTATAAATAAACATAAAACTTAAAATCAAGATAAAATTGGAAAAAATAAGTTTGTGAATTATGTAATAAAACAATGAATGGACCATTTGAAATAGAATAACATTTTAAGTCTCGTTTTCATAGAATTAATCTTTTAAAAGATGAATAATATTAAAAAAAGAAATAAAAAATAGATTGAAATTTTTTTATTAAATATAAATTATTAAAAAAATGCTTTTTTATAAGATTGCATAGAAGAGATATGAAATGTTGATTCGATATATTTATAAATAAAAATACTTTAAGATTTCAGATTTCAGATTTCAGATTTCATATTAAAAATTGCAATTTAAATATAGATGTGAAAGTTAATAAAAGAATTATAAATTGCATTTATAAAAAAGTTTAGAATGCATATTATCTTAATTTATAATATCCTTAGAAATAAATTAGGAAACGAAAATTTGGCTATTTATTTAAAGAAGTACTAAGAAATAGATGAAAAATGAATAAGTTTGTTATGAATAGTTGAGAAAGAAGAGATAGGAGTTATAGATGAATTAAGAAATAAAATAAATTAATATTAATGTACCCAAAATTAAGCCGAATCCTTCATTCTTAGGGTAATATGCCTACAAGCTCGACCTAGTCTCCAACTTAAAATATAAATTATAATGATGCAGGGTAAGAGTGCAATAAATAGTATGAGAGAGTTACTGGATCTGAAACTTAATTAAGTTCGTAAAATAAACCGATAGCAAGATGATAACATAAAACTATTGAAGTCTCGATTGAATCATATTTAACACTAAGATATAATTGGTTAAAGAAATATCTCTAGAACAAGTAATGAAATATAATCAATAATTTCTACTAAATCTAGAGTGAATGATGATTAATAGAGAAAGGTATATAAATATAATATAAAAAATATGATTAGTAATTCATAGAGGAGGTAAGATAAAAGAAATTGGATGAATATTCTTAAAGAGCTAATATGTCAAAAATGGAGAGAATGAAAAGAAGTCAGAATGTTGATAATTGTAATGAATATATGTATTTTTTAGAGAAATAAGTATATTCCGAAACTCATTCATTTTTAAATAAAGAATATAAAATGAACGTTTCTCTAGCAAAACTATAAACATAGAATGAAATATATGGGACAAATTGTAAATCTCATAAGTTAATAAGATAAGCTCATCTTAAACATTAATAAGATAAGATTATATAATAGCAAATAGTATAATAATAATTGATAATAGAAATAATAAGAAGGATAATATAATTACAAATAGAAGATTATAAAAGAGGCATAGTAATTTAAAGAAAGATAGATGAGAGTAACAGAATTAGAAGAAGCAGAAGAATAATATTTAATGAAATTGAAAGTAACTTAAAGTAAGAATCGATCTATGAGTGCTAAAAAAGAGGAGATTAAGAGATTACCTGCAGATAGGATAACAATTAACAAAAACAATCTCTTTAGAATAAATTGATTTTATATGGATAAAGAATTTTAATGTTGTTAATGTTAACAAGAGTTTAATTTACAGGATAGAAGTCCACATGTCCTCCCATCCTGTGGTCATTCAATCTGTTAGTTATGTGTAACTCAATATATCTCATCAAAATTAAACTTAGTGTGCAATGAAGACAAGTATATTCCATCAGATATAAATTAAGCATCGAATGTCAAGTTGATAGAGAAATCAAATTCTTTCCTATTAATCAAAGCATTATAGTCTTATTAAAAAAGAAACGAACTGTTCAAAGATGTCATACTTATGTAACTCCAGAAGATGCTATTCCCAGAATTTCAGCAGAAGATGTTAGTGAATTTTCAGGAGATAGTTAATCAAATATCAATCTAAATAAGAATATATCTCAATCACATTCATGTGAAATATTGCCGATTAAAGATGACTAAGGAGATTTATGTCCAATTCATTCAAAACCATTAGAATTAGTATGTTAAGAAGATGGACAATATATATGTGTTAATTGTGCTTTATTTGGAAATCATAAATTTCATAATTACAAACCTATTGAAATCTATGTCAAAGAAATGGAATAAACATTTTATGATATTACTACTATATATGAAGTTGTTAAACAAATGAGTTCCAATATCTAACTAAAAACTTATATTCAAGAATTTTAAAACAAAATACTCTAATCTAAGGATTCTAAATTATAATCTATTGATGCCAAGTTTAATGAACTATTTGATGAATTAAATTTTATTAAAGAAGAATTCAAATCTAAAATCACTAATAATTATAATCAATAATATGAAAATAACAAGAGAAAAATTGAATCAGAATTTATATAACTTAAAGATTAAGCAGATAAATGGTTATCACATACAGGAAATCAATTAAATGAATTTTTTGTTGAAAAAACTTAAAATAAATTAAAAATGGATCCTAAAGAATTAGGAAATAGCAAAGAAAATGGTTCATAATTAATTACTAAAATTTAAAATTAATTTTCTTAAATTGATATTCAAGTTAAATTAATCTCTGATCAATAACACTTTTTTATACCTATTGAGAATATTAAAAATTAATTTCCTCATGAAAATAAACTATAAGATTAATTATTATTAGATAGAGAAGATAAATTAACTGATTCTGATATCATATATTAAGATATCAAAGATGAAAAATTAACATAATCAATGTACATTTCTTAATAACCAACATAACCAGCCTCTCCTCAATATAATGTTGGAAAATCTAATTTTTTTAGTTAATCAACACCAGGATAATTCTAAAGAAAAGATAGAAGTGTCACACTTTTATAAACTGAACCATCTGAAATAATTCCCCCAAATACTAACAGAAATAAGCTATCATCCTCCAAATTTACTAAAGTCTAAAAATTTAATAAAGATCCAAAATTACATGATAAAATTATTAATACACTTGCTATGTTTGAAAAATTTGAAATGATTGACTTCTCTACTCTTGGTAAAAATTATACTATTTTAGATGTAACTGAGCAATTAATTTTAGCCATAGATGAAGCACTAAAAAATAAAAAAATTGTCAAAGTCTTAAAAATGAGTAAATGTAAAATTACTGATGATCTTTTTGCTAAGTTACTATCAGTCATTGAAGAATCTAGGTATTGAGGTTAAGTATATTTTACAGTGTTACAGCATTGCATCTATAATCCAACACATTAACTGAAAAAGCATTAGATTAAATATTAAATATTGCCAAACTTAAAAAACATTTTGAATGCAAACAAATCTATTTGAATGGCAATAATAATATCACCCTCGCTAAAGCTAAAAAAAAGATAGAAGAAATTAAAAAGTATGGTATCTAAGTAACCATTTGAAAACAATTATTTTATTTATTGATATGTTATCTTCCTTCATTCTTTGAACTACCTAAAAATATCTGCCTTTATCAATATCCTCAATCTAGTTATTTAAACAGCTTATTCATACTATATAACTCTTTTAACAATTTTTATTTTATTATTAATCCAGTTTTAAATTGTCTCAAATCTCATGTAGATATTCATAATTTTCATTTAAATATTATCAATAATTGTTATGCTAATTTTAACATTACTCGATTATCATCAAAATCTATTCAGATTATTGAATCAAAGTAGCAAAAACTATCTTCTGGGGAATTTAATTTTCCAAATATATGTATGGTTGGCTATTTTGGTATTTCCCGCGGCTCGACGATGTTGATTTTAAATTCATATTTTCCACAACCATAATTCCATTAAATATACCTAATTTTAAATTATATTTAACTACTCCACTTATAAACTTCCAAATATCTTAAATCAAAACTTTTTCTAATATTTTTTCAAAGATGCGATTAATAAATGAAGACTTTAATGTTAATTAATTAAGAAGTAATTATTTTTAATAAATATTTTAAGAAGCTACAATAACCTTCTAATAATAAAATTAATAAAATTTTAAAACTAGTAATTTCTTTAAGGCAGTATTTTCAAATTTATTTTATTTTTCTAAATAAATTTATAGGATTATTTTGAAAAATTAATATTGCCCAAAAAATCATTTGAAAATAGAAAATTTTAAGAATTTAATTTAATCAAAGATTTCGCTAAAATCTTAAATGAATTATTTAATCCTAAACTTGCAAATAATAACTATCATTTGTGAATGTAAATTAAATTAATATAATAATAATAAAATGTATATATAAATAATTTCTTTCTGAAAAATTCCTGATTTATGGAATTGATGTATTTGTATTTAATAAATTTTTTAATTAATTAAAAATAATATGAATTATAATTTTAATGTTATGATAATGATACTCAATCTTAGATTATGAATTAATATGAAACATTTTATTTCTGTTATAAATTAATTACTATAAAGAATGCTAATTTATCCTGTTTGGAATTTAGAGGATTGAAAAGCGCAATTTTATTGAAATTTTATAATTAAATAAATGGAAATAACTTTTCTAATTATCCTTTCCTTGATAGGATTGATGATTGGTTACTTAATCATAAAACCTATAGTTCTTTTACTCCTATTAAAGTTATAATTAGGAGATAAAGCAATTCTAATGTTTAATCCTATTTCTGGAATATTAGGTGTATTAATGTAATCAATAAAAACTAACAATGATGTAATGCACACAATTTATCAGGCCCTTATAAAAAATCCTAAAGCATAAGTCATTTTATCAAATTATTTAGCTACTCCTTGTATCATATTAACAGGGTCTGAATATCTCAAGGATACATTTCGAGACCATTATGATTTTGAAAAAATCGACCCATTTATGGTACCTTAATTTGCTTAAAGGGGATTATTAATGATAGAAGGTGAAGGTTGGAAAAGATAAAGAGCATTTTTAGGTTCTGCATTTACATTTGAAAAATTAAAATCAAGATTGCCAATGATAAACAAAGTTGTCAATTGTATAACAGAATAAGATGATAAAAAGAATTTAACTGATTTTATGGCTAGAATTACAGGAGAAGTAGTAATAAAAAGCTTTTTTGGTGAACTAGCTGAAGGATTCTAATTAGAAGGTAAAGATGCCTAAGTAGCCCTTACATAATTAACTGGAGAAATGTAGATATTTAAATTGGAAAGCTTATACTATTTTCTTAAATCTTTAATATTTAGAGAAAAGATGTGGGAAGTTTTTCCTTCTAAATAAGAAAAAGATATAATTAAAAGAGTTACAAATGTAAGAATTAAAGTTAAGGAATTGATTCTGAAAAGAATTGAATAATTAAGGGAAAACCCTATCCAAAATTAAGATTCAATGGTATTTTTAGATATATATGTAACTGAATACTTAAAATAATAATAATAATAATAAACATAAAAAGAATAATTGATAGAAATTGAAGAAATATTGCATCAATTCATAACTTTATTCTTTGTTGGTACTGATACAACAGCCACAACTTCTGGAACTTGTTTATATTATTTGGCAAAATATCCTGAGATTTAATCTGAAATTTTACAAGAGGTCTAAGATGTCATTGGAGATAATGAGATTAATGAATCAAATTTGAATAAACTTTTAAAAATTAATGCTTTAATATAAGAAGTTTTAAGATTGAGGAATCCAGTACTTTTTACAGTTTTTAGAAAAGTCAAACATGACAAATAGGTTTAGGATATTAAATTAAAAAAAGGATGGGTAGTAGTATAAATGAAAAACTCCAGTAGTATTAAAGACTCACATTTTGATAATGCTATTGAATTTAATTACAAAAGATGGTTAAAAAAAGGAAACTTAATTAAAAATGATAATGGATTTATTCATATTCCTTTTGCAGCAGGACAAAGAAATTGTATTGGATAGCATATGGCAATGATGGAAGCAAGAATTATCATAGCATTAATTGTTAGAAAATATAAAATTCTATTAAATCCAGCTGTTAAGTAAGTTAGATTTGGAATCAAACTTTTATAATGTATTGAACCAGATAATTGTCTGTTATTTGAAAAAAGAATTTGATCCATTAAATAAATTATTAAAATAAGTTAAACATAACATATATTAATATTTCAAATTATTTATATTAAATAATATCAAAATAAATGATTTGACTTTGAATTATAAAAAATATATTAATGATGTAAATACATATAAATTAAATTAAAATAATAACATGAAAACATGAAATTATTTATAAAGTAAAATAAACAATCATTTACAGATAATATTTGAAAATTAAGATTATAAATTATATATAGTTTAGAGCAAAAATATATGAGAAGGCCTAATATTAAAAATGAAAAATAATTTATCTTTCTATTAGTAAATGAATTGTATTAGATGCAAATAATAACTTAAATTTAATTTGTATGGACACATTATATAATTGAAATTTCTTATATCATAGACAAATTATCATTCAAATAATGCTAAAATTTGGTGATTTTTCTTGTTTTAACCAATTAAAATCTTGAACTTAATCAAATAAATTATTTTCTTTAGTTCCAAGTTTAGTGAAGGATAATTTAGAGCATCTCTCTATAATAGGATTTGATGTGACATAGATTATGAATGAACAATCAATAGTATCATGAATTCTTAATTGATGCATGCTCCCTTAAAATTCACAACCTTCACATTTATCAACCCATACACTTCCCTTCACATCTCCAAATTTAACTTTTACATTCTTTAGACTATGTAAATAAAATGTATCTAATGACCCTTCAACATTGAAAGGGGAATTATCTAAGTTCTTTAATAAGAGTGAACCATTTTCTAATTTAATTGATTCCTAATAATTTTCTTTTGTAATAACAACAGAATCATTTTCGAAAAAGCTTTATTTTTCTTCTGAAATTTAATTTTGTTGTTGATTTCCTTTAGGAAAAGGTTTTGAAAACTTAAATTTTTATCTTGGAATAATTTAGGATCTCAAAGTAAATATTGTACATTCTAATTAATCTAATTACTAGAAATAGATTTAAAATTTTACTTCTTTATATTGCTATTTATCATATGCAATTAAAGCATAATTGATATCAACATAATATTAAAATAAAACTTGAAATTCATCAATCAATTATTGAATTTATTCTTCAGTCTTAATAGTCTTTTAATTGATTGGTTGTATGATATCTTATTATTAAAACTATTTTTACTATCATAAAGTTGGCGAAACTCTTTTTACACATGCAATTATAATTCTTTAGGGTCTTTGGTCTGAAGTTTAATCTCCTATCTCCTGTCTTTTAAAGTCTTTAGTTTATCTGCTTATTTATTAAGGTATGCTTCAAACTATTATTTTCTTAATTGCTGTTGTTAACTGAGCTGAGAAGTCGACATTAAAATATTTTCTTTTATAATAAAATAATTTGTTTAAATTCAAAAAATATCAAATGCTTATGTTTAGAATTCTGGTGTTTCCTTAACCTTCCAATATTCTTATCCATAAAAATATTTTCCATTTTTTTATAGAAACCATCTCGGAACATGATCTTTTTTCTACTCATGAAGTTCTTTTCTGGCTAATCGTTATTTTTATTCTAATCTTGTTTTTTCAATAGCTGCAAAATCAATATTACTATTTTCTAAAGCTCTTTAATCAGGTCTAAATCTAGAATCAGTAGGTGGTAAAGTTTTTAATAGTTATCTATTTAAATGATTTAATTGTAATGCGAATCTAGTAAAGAAATATTACTAATCACATTTTTAAGGTAATTAATTACGAACCCAAATTACTTTATTTATTCCAGCGACAGAAATACTTATTTCTGAATTCCATTTTCCTGAAATTGTACAATATTAAGTTCCTTGTTTATCTTTAACAAAACCTTTTAATTCACATGAGGCTTCTGAAGATCCTTCAATTAATTTAAGAGTTCCTGTATCTCCAGTAATTTCATTTTTAAATTTCATTTCACCATAATGGTCTAGATACTAAGGTCCCATTATTAAATTCTTAAAAGAAGATTTACATCTTTAAAATGCAATTTAATCTAAATATTTTTTTAATTTAATATTGACCCAACCAAGAGGTGTTACAGTAATTGATTTACCCCAAAAAGAAGTAGTTACATTATTATCAGATAAAAATTCAAAATGATCATTTTCTGCATAACCTACAGATATTGGTGGATGATGTGAAACTTATTCTGAAATATATTTAAACTTAGGACAAGTAAATTCATATGTTTCTCCTAAAATTGGATTGAATGGTTTTTTGACCCTATTTATAGTAGCAGATAATCCTGCTGCGGCAAATACCATTACATAGGCTAATCTTTCGCAACTATTAGATAATGAATCTGCTTAATCTAATATTTCTGAATACTCTAAATTTTCACATAAATTTTAGAGCATTGATAAAGGTTCATTAAATGTTACTGGGAATGCAATTTTAGTGAGATCCTTTCCTATCATATCTTTTAATAATGAAACAAACTTTATGCTTTCATTAGGATCTTTAAATGCAGGTAATAATTCTCTTGTCTCATCAATTCCAATAATCATATCTTTAAATGCTTCATTATTAATTAAATTTTTATATTTGATTGGTTAAGGAATTCTTAGCTATTCAAGTATCTAAAATAATGGAGAAACTCCAGCCATAGACATTTTTTTAGAAGAAAGTCTTCTAATTAATTGTCTATCATCATAAAGTTCATTATTAATTGAATAAAATTCTTCTTCATCCATTTTAAAACTCATAAACTATTCAGTTGGTACAAATTCATCTTCTTCAAGATCATCATGATCAGGAGGATTTTAATCGTTAGTTTCTCTTAATTTTTCTTAAAGCTTTTTGCTTATTTCAATCAACTTGTTATACTCTTCATCTAATTCTTATGCACAAGCTGTGGTTGTGTGCTAAATTTGCTAAGCCATTTACTTTTAATTCTTAAATCAATTAGCTTATTCTCTAAGTATTGTTTAGAGAAATCTACTCCTCTAATTGTGCTTACATAACCCAAAATTATGTCAATGTTGTATGGATACGTTTCAAATCTAATTCTGGAGCACCTTCTATAAAATAAAAAGGATTCTTTTTTCTCTAAACAAGCATCTTATTCTAAGATTTAGATGTAAACTATATATAACGATTATATAATACTCTTTATTGTGCATACAAAAGAGCATCTAACCACTTTTATTTCTCTTATACTGATGAAGCTCTTAAGTGCATTTCACTCATTCCAGAATTTATAACAATTCTTTATGGATCCTTAGGAACAGATCTAATTGAACATATACTTAAATGTACTTAACCTAATCATTATAAATGTTTTTTTACCTTTCTTTGGAGATCCTTTTGACTAACAATAGATCAATGAATCTTCATGTAAAATAAAATAACGATTTTACCATTAATACATGAAATTCACCCATTTCTTTAAATACCCTTCCATTATTTATTATTAATTAAACCCAATAATTATTTCATTATCAGTTTTATTTCAACTCATGATACTTATTCGTAATTGATTTATTATTCTCATTAAATGCTCAATAGAATTATCCAATCAAAAAAAGTTTTACTTTAATAATATCCTTATTTCTAGTTTGATTTCATCTCTAAATATCAAAAACTCTAACTTAATCAAACAAATAAACAATAATCCATATCCAACTCAAATTTAACCAATAAACATCATAAAATAAGTTAGCATTACATATACCTCAAAAATCTCAAAACATTATTATCTCATAAACACCTTAATTTTTACATTTTCGCATTAATAATCTTAGTATTATTACAACCAAATTTAACATTTAAATAACCTACTTAAATTTCAAGAGGTTGTGCTTCTTTACACAAAAGAATAATACTTAACAGCTGATTCAAATTGCAGATTATATTGAATTATTGATAATAAATCAGGATCAAACCATCATTACAAATAATTAGATTTTTTAAAGGATTAATCTCTATAGACTTTATCAATTCAATTTAAATTATGAACACCTAGAAAAACAAAGGAAAAGTCAAGATATTATTTTTAATTTCTTTTAAAATGGTATTTTTCCATATCATCTTNAAATCTACTCCTCTAATTGTGCTTACATAACCCAAAATTATGTCAATGTTGTATGGATACGTTTCAAATCTAATTCTGGAGCACCTTCTATAAAATAAAAAGGATTCTTTTTTCTCTAAACAAGCATCTTATTCTAAGATTTAGATGTAAACTATATATAACGATTATATAATACTCTTTATTGTGCATACAAAAGAGCATCTAACCACTTTTATTTCTCTTATACTGATGAAGCTCTTAAGTGCATTTCACTCATTCCAGAATTTATAACAATTCTTTATGGATCCTTAGGAACAGATCTAATTGAACATATACTTAAATGTACTTAACCTAATCATTATAAATGTTTTTTTACCTTTCTTTGGAGATCCTTTTGACTAACAATAGATCAATGAATCTTCATGTAAAATAAAATAACGATTTTACCATTAATACATGAAATTCACCCATTTCTTTAAATACCCTTCCATTATTTATTATTAATTAAACCCAATAATTATTTCATTATCAGTTTTATTTCAACTCATGATACTTATTCGTAATTGATTTATTATTCTCATTAAATGCTCAATAGAATTATCCAATCAAAAAAAGTTTTACTTTAATAATATCCTTATTTCTAGTTTGATTTCATCTCTAAATATCAAAAACTCTAACTTAATCAAACAAATAAACAATAATCCATATCCAACTCAAATTTAACCAATAAACATCATAAAATAAGTTAGCATTACATATACCTCAAAAATCTCAAAACATTATTATCTCATAAACACCTTAATTTTTACATTTTCGCATTAATAATCTTAGTATTATTACAACCAAATTTAACATTTAAATAACCTACTTAAATTTCAAGAGGTTGTGCTTCTTTACACAAAAGAATAATACTTAACAGCTGATTCAAATTGCAGATTATATTGAATTATTGATAATAAATCAGGATCAAACCATCATTACAAATAATTAGATTTTTTAAAGGATTAATCTCTATAGACTTTATCAATTCAATTTAAATTATGAACACCTAGAAAAACAAAGGAAAAGTCAAGATATTATTTTTAATTTCTTTTAAAATGGTATTTTTCCATATCATCTTAGTATTCTAATTGAATTTAGTTTAAATTAATATATTAATGGTTCAATATAATCTAATTTTTATAAGTTAAAATGAGTATTACCATAATTTATCATAAGAAAGTTAAAAGGTTTTTAATATACATTGTTTCAATTATTTAACTTTCTCAAAATCCTAATAATTCAAGAATGTTCGAAATACGAAGGATCATTAGAATATAGAATGAACAACTGAAAACTAAGAAGTGCTATCTTAAATATTTATTTATATAAACTAGATACATATTAAAAAATTAATTTAACAATATTTAAATACTGGTTCATTGTATTTTAAATAAAATGTTTAAAAATTAAAAAATAACTTTACAAGTCTTATTGAAATACTTGCATATGTTATTGAAATACTTGCATATGTTATTGAAAAAGAATAGTTATCTTTAAGGAATGATAGTATAATATGAAATTTTAAAAGATGATTATAAGATGTATTTAAACAAAGAGAATTTGAATAACCAATTATCAATTTTTAGAAGCTTATATGTCAAACTCGCCATAGAATAAAATAACTTAATAATATATAGAGTATTTTAAATTATATTAATTGTTAGGCCTATGCTTATACTTTAATAGGATAATTAATTTGAAATAAATTTAATTGCAATAGGTAGTTGAAAAAAGATGAAACACTAAAAAGCGATTATAATTTTGTTCATGTATTGAATAGTATAGATCTAAATTTAAAATTGATTAAAATATGATAACTAAAAGTGAAATTTTTAAATATATAAAATTCAATTCAATAATTGAATTTCGATTGTGATAATAATATGAAAGTAAAATAAACTTAAGTAAACAATGATTATTGTTTATACTATCAAATAAATTGAGAGAATTTATGTTCATTGTTATGCAGCAGTGTTGAATCAAAAATATTTTAGAAATGATAATAATATAATTAATATTTTTATATGTCTCAACCGTTAAGAGTAGATGAATTTGTTGATGAACTTCGAAAATATGATAGAAAGGAGGATTTTATGGCTGTAATGAGATAATATGAACAAAGGTACTTTAAAATAAGATTTTAGATATTATGATTAATTTGAATAATATGCAAATAACAATTTTCCTCCTGAATTATAGAGATAACAGATACCAAAACAAGAATATTTATTTAAATAATAACCATAATATTAAAAACCTCCAATAGTTCGTTCAAGTTCAGCTAATAAATTGGATTACTAAGAATAATATTAAATATTTCCTTAATAGTAAATACAAGCACCATAAATACCTTAAATACCATAAAGACCATCTTCAAGAGGGGAGATACAAGATCCTTTTAAGAGGCCGCAAGATCAATTTGACTATAGATTGAGTCCTGTTACTTAATAAGATCCCTTTAGAGGTTTAAATAAATAGCAATATAATTCACAATAAAGAAATCCTACTTAAATTCCAAGTCAATAAGTTCCATTTTCACCATTTTAAGCTGTTTAAGGATAAGGTTTAGTAAATAATACTTAATAAATTGGCTTACCCTTTGGTAATCAGGTCGGCCCTATTGTTAATCCACAATTCTAAAATTATGGATAACAATAATAGCAATAATAATTTTACGAACAACCATAATATTCATAGCAAACTGTATAATTCCCTAAAGCACTGCCAAATCAACAATTGTAAATGGATGCCTTTCTTAATGATATAAAATCATAGAGGATTTAAAAATAATAATAATATAAATGACATATAATACTTATATAAATATAATTTATATATCTAAATTAAAAATATAAAAGATGGCTACATCTAAGGATGATAATATTCATTATAATTCCTAAAAATATCATAAGAATTGAATAATAATAATTAAAGAATTTTATTAGTTTAAATAGATAATTTATTTACTATTAAAAATAATCTCAAAAATTATATAAATAATGAAGTACATATAAAATATTCCATCATGAATTATGCACTTCTGTGCTTAATCTTTTTAAAGGTGGTAGTACTTAAGATAATCTTTTAAATGATTGTGTTTCATTTCTCCTTGAAGTTTATGGCAAAATAGCATTGCTTTTAGATTTTAATGATGATCTTGGTTTTTGTATCGACAATGTCATAGGTTTTTTATAATCTTTAAATAGTGGACATCCTTATTCATCATATTCAACTTGCATAACTGGATGATTAAGGACTTCTGAACATGAAATTCTTAAACCTGGATTAGGATTCAACATTTTCATTAATAAATTAATTACTAAATGGTTATATTATATATTTACATTATCGATTTCCAAAACAATCCTCCAACAATTTATTCATACTTATATTACATTCCTTATTTAATGATTTTATATTATTTCCTTAGAATAATGGTTTAGTAGTAGTTCTAATTAAATTTATTTATAATACAATTCATAAAGTAAACAACCTAAACTAAAGACATCACATTTTTCATTATAAGATTTCTATTTGTCATTTTCACATGCAAATACTTCTGGTGCCATATATCCATAAGACCCACAATATTAATAAACATTTAGTTATTTTTAAATTGTAGATGATACACCAAAATCACTTATTAATGGACCATCTTAAACTGATAAACCAAATTATTTCAAAGATACTGGTTGTCTAAATAATATATTTCCTGGTTTTATATCTCTATGCATTAAACCTCTTATTCAATTATTATTATACCTATATCATGCATATATTTGATTCCTTCCACTATTTGTCTAAAAATCACCTTTACAGTTAAAAATGGTAATGGTTCTTCTAATTTTTTAATTGCTTATTCAAGGTTGCCACCTCTACATAATTATGTGATTAAATAAATTTAAGCTTTGTTTTCAAAAACATCATATAATTTCAATATATTCTAATGATTCATATATCTCATCAATTTTACTTCATTGTCTATTTATTCCTAAAATATATCCATATATTAATACTCTCCATTAAGTTGGATCTTTTAACATTAGCATTTTTTTAAGGAATGCTTTTATTGCTACTTTTGTACCATCACATTTTGATTTACCAATATAAACACTAGCAAAACTTCCATTACCAATCAGCTTTTCTATCTCATAATATTTTTAATAATCCATTAATGATAATTTCTATTTTAGAAATATTTCCCACATGCCTGGTTATTCCAAAAACTAATATTCTATAGGTTTAGGTAAAAAGTCAGTTTCTAAGATTAGATAGTTCTATTATTTAGAGTATCTTATTTAAAAGCGTAAATGACTGCTTAAACATACCATTTTCACACCTTTATCAGACTTTAAATAATTTTTAAAAGATTACAATTCGATAGAGTTTGGAATCGGATAGGATTAAAGTAATTTTCCTTCCCTTTTTAGTAATGAATATGGAACTAAGTATTCCAGATGGTGCATCATAAGATTTATTGAAAAGCTTTATAAATTGCATTTATGTAAAATTAATCAATAATATAAATTTTGACTAGATATATATATATCATCAACTACTTTTGATTTCTTTTGATAATCGCAGAATTAAAAAGTTAAATTTTTTACATACAATAATTTGATAAATCATTAATATCCCCTTAAGTATGATAATACTTCTTGAAATAATGGTCTTTTTTAAGGATCTTTATCCCAACATTTAATCATCAACTCTTTTAAAAATAAAGGACAACCAGCCTAAATTAAACTCAAATCAGGTCTTCCATTATCTACTGCAACTAATTTCATGATAGCAGGTGGATTAGTAGATAATTGTTTATATGGTGTTTCTCTGCAACATATTTCCCATAATACTATCTAAATTTGATAGAACTGTTTATTTTACTGCATATGAATAGACATCTGCTTTTATTGTATAAGGAACATTTTAGAATACTTCTGGAGCCATCCAATGCTGATTTAATATTATAATATTTTACAAAAGTTCCTAAAACACCAGTCATTTATTCACCATTATCCGCTTAAACTCTAGCTAATCCAAAATCAGCAATTTTGATATTTAATCTATTCTATTCATATGTTTATTCAAGTAATAAACTATATTTTAATTAAATATTTTTTACTTTAAACTCTTAAGATCTCTATGTATTAATGGAGGATTTAATTTATGTAGATGATGCATCCCATCTGCTATTTAAATTGCCATTTTTACCCTTTATTACCAATTTATTTCTAAATGTTTTTTTTTGTGTAATAAATCAAAAAGTGTTCCTCCAGCACAATATTCTGTTACAATATATAATTCATCATCTTTTTATGAAATTCCTAATAATTATACTAAATTTGGATGTCTTTATATCGTCACTAAAGCAGAAATTTCTCTTTTAAATTCTTTTAAATGATTCTCATTTAATGATTTAATTTTCATCTTTTTAATTGCTACTTCTCCTCCTCTCCAATATCCTTTATAAACTTCACAACTACTACCTGTTCCTATCAATTTTTCTAATTTTAATTAATCATGATTAATCATCCATTCAGAAACATCTAAATTATATATGTCAATTAAATACTTTTTCCTTGTTTATTAAAGAAATCAACAACTTAAAAACTACTTTGTTAATTCTATTATGGTTATTCAATTTAATTAAACACTTATGGTGTCTAATTTTAATTTAAATTAAACTAATCAAAAATATTATTTGGTTAAGGATTAGCTGATTTAATCCTTTATTCTTATACATTAGATTTATTTATATTATTTTATTTGAGTCCCCATTTTAAGAATTCATCATCATTTAATAATTCTTTTATTGACTATGTATTTTAATTAGACAAAGTAGCTCTTATTTTAGTTTCTTCAGGTTTTTTTGGTACTTATTCATAATCATCATCGTCATTCTACTAATCATCATCAGATAAATCTAATCCATTGTACTCTCCTTATTACTATTATTTTGATTGTTTTTTCTTTAATTAAACATTTTTAATACTTTTAGATTCTCTTTGATTTTCAATCTCTTAATTTTACTATTATTATTAAATAGAATAATTAATTTAATCATCTTAATTAATATTTATCTGAGAATTATTATTATTAATTTTTGGTAATACTTAGAATTCAAAATTAAACTAATTTGATTTCTCTGATTATACTTAACAAGATTGTACTGCTTTTATTGGATGAGAGTTTTATTTTTCAAATTTTGATTCTAATTAAACTACATCTTCATCATATTCCACAACTTAATTTATCATTATTTCTCCATAACTTTAAGGTAATTTAATTCCATCAATTGACATTTAATAACTTAAAAAATCATTTATATAAAATTCTCCTATTTTAGATTAAAACAATGGCACTTTTTTTAAAGTTTCAACAACATTCTTAGAAGGATCTGGTATTAATTATTAAAATTGAGGTATTCTTTTACATACAGAAAAGAAATTAATAGTTGATTAAAAATTAATTTAATATTCTTCTTATAATGCAAGAAAAGCTTATTTAACTTCATTATTATTTGTTGGTTATCCGCTTATATAATTAGTGCTTTATTTTAAAGCATAAAATATATGAGTAAATGTGCAAAGAATATTATACAATTCATCTGCCATTGTAATAGCAAGACCCAGTTATAAATTAATTAAATTTTATTCCTGAAAGGATATATCAGATGCAAAAATTATTAATTATTTCCATAAATTCATCATATTATTCAATATTGCTACACTTAATTTTTATTTTTAAGCTCCATTCATACTATTAAAGAATGGAATCATAGAATAATTACCTTCGAAAAATTTTAAATAGAATGTATGAAATTAAACCTTTTCCAAAAGTATAATAGAATAATTATACAATAATTTTGTGAAAAATTAAGTTCTATATTTATCTTTACAAATCCGCATTTAGATTTATTCTTAAAAATTTTTGATTCTTTCTAAAATTGCGTTTGGGGAATATGTTTAATGTTATACAAGAATTGTCTCTTAAGGACCTTTTTTGACATAGTTATGTAATAATTACAAAGCTTTAAATGTTATTATCACAGAATTTAATTAAAGTCTATTAGACAATTTTTCATAAAATTTAGGAATTTTTTGTTTCTTTTACCATGCTTTACAATGAAGAAATCTAAAATATTTTTAACATGGAGCAGCATCAACTTCTTCTAAACATGCAGCTATCCAAAAATCAGTTTTTTATGCAACTTTACTTACTAATTTAACTAATTTAGTTGTTAAAGAGGATTAAGGTTATTCTAAATCTTTAAATTCAAAAGAATGACACTTCTCAATTCCATTATATTAATTAATTATATGTTTATTTTATGTGTCATTAGTTGATTAACTTCTTAAATGAATTTATTATGATATTCCACTGAAAATAAATTATAAAAATTACTTATATTAAATGATGAAGGAATTAATTTATTTTTCTATTTATTCAGCTGTAATCCTCTCTTTTGGATTACTGATAAGTAATTATTTTATTAGGTTTTATAATTTAGAACTATAGACTCCCCATTATGCACTTATATAATAAATTTATATACTTTCCTTCCCAATTAGGGTTTTAATCATATCGAACTTTAAATATTATATAATACATTAATTATCCTAGAGCATAGATGTCTACTTTGGTAGTAATTGGTAATCTTTAAGAAAAATCTTTTTATTCTGGGGCTCTTACATGTTCAAAAGTATTCATTTCAATTTCTTCTTTGATTTTCCCGAAATATTCATTTGGTATTTGAACATATTACTAATTAGAATTTAAAATACTTAAAAAAAGCACCTTTAAAAATTCCATAATTTGGCTTACTTATCTAACCCTATTAAAATATTTTCTGGTCTGATATCTCGATGTGTTACACCTAATGAATGACAATGCTTTAATGCTTTGCTTAAATCTAATAAGATCTACGCTTATTTTTCTGCTTACTTTAAGGACTTGAGGTTCTACTAAACCTTATTAAGAATCCTTCAAAATATTTTGTAGGACTTCAGCTTTTTCAAAAACTATTACTTTTTAATTTGATTATAATTCTCCTTCATATGATTTTGCAATGTTGTTACATCCTTTTTCCTTAAAAAGATGAACAGCTTATAACTCTGTATTCAAATACTATAAAAATTAGTACATAATTCAATACTCTCTCTTATCCAACTTCATATATTTTGACTACATAATTGCATTCTGAAGTCAAAAATAATTTATATTTGGTGCCTTAAAAATAAGTTTATGTGGTTTGAAATAGATATTGCTAATTACCAAAAATAACTTTTTGTTATTGCATTAATCAGTTTTATAATAAAATAATTACATTTTTATTCAACAATTTAAATTTCTCTGATTTTCAAAGCAGTTATTGCTAATTAGTTAATAAGCAACTCCCTACATATAGAATAATGCATCAAATAGATATATATTGAGATAGTTAATTTAAATGTATAGGATAAGATAAATCTGTATGATTATTTTAGATAAATATTTTTTATTAGTTAATAATAAAAAGATAAAACTATAAATTGAATAAAGTTTAAAAAGAAAGAAATTGTTATTAAAGCATTTGGGCAATCAAAAGGTATATTAAATCTAATTAGATAGATGGATGATGATATAGTTTTTAGTAAAGGAGTATAAATTGGAGATAAGAAGATGAGATATATAGATTTGATATATAGATTTGATATAATATTAAAAATAATGATATAAAATAAAGAAATTAATTAGAAAAAGTGCGTAAATATTTTAATAAATGATGAGATTGATAGATATGATAATAGTAAATGCTAGAGAAATTAGTTATAAGTGTGAATATAGTTAGATATAAATAATAATTTATTAAATAAAATTTATAAAAATGGATGAAATTCTTTATTTTTATGATGAGGAAGAGGTATATAATATTAGTAATAGAAAAGAATACTTTTTAAGGTGTTGATGGAGTGAAGTAGATGGGGAATATAAGATAGGTGTGTAAGGGATTCGTAAAAAATTAGTATTAAATATTATCAGGTATTTTTGTTGATTAGAGATTGTAGAGAATGGATGTGTTTACTATTTGGAACTAGGGAAATCATTTTATAGAATTCCTACTTGGAATAGTAAAGTAAAACAATTGGCAACGAATGAATCAGTTACTTTATTGTTATGCTACTCAGGATAGTTATTTGGATTTGGAGAGGATAAATAATAATTAGGTATGATGTATAATATATTTAGGTTTATTGGGTAATGAGAAATGTTATAGTTCATAAAGTGTGATAAAGATTGGTAACGATTTTAAGAGTGTGTCATTATCATAAAATATAGGATGTGGTTTAGATTATAGAGGCTAAGCATGGATATGGGGTAATTCTCCTATAGGAAGAAGTGATGTTCCAGTAAGAATAGAGGGAAAGTTCATAAAGATTTGTGCAGCTAAAGATTATGTTATATTTACTGATCAGTAAGCATAAGTGAAAGTCTTGAGTGAAATATTTAGATTATCAAATGAATACTTCACTTGCTAAAATTTATGGACGATAACTAAAGCTGAATAAATAGATTCAAATTATTTGATTGTAAATGAGATTATACCAAATGACAGATATTCAATTTTATTATCAAGTATCATTCTTATTCATATAAATAGATAAAAACCGAATGTTTATATTAATTAATAATAATGGAAGATATATAGTTAGGAGATTAGCTATCAACATTAGAATTCATCATTTATAATAAACTGATTATTATATCTATTGTTTTACTGAAGAAGCAAGATTTATTAAAATTGATAAAGCTAATCTTTATAGTAATGAAACTAATGAATTACAACAAATTTATGAATAAATAAGATTCCAAATACCAGAATACGAATAAAAACATTTAAGTTCTATCTAACCAATCTTATCAATTAAATATCCTTTTAATTTACCAGCATTTATTGTTGATAAAAGAAGATTCAATGAAGGAATATCAGTTATAAGATAATAACATATTGAAGTAGATATTAAAGCACATATTTAATCTACTGAAAATAAGTTATCAATCATTAAATAAATGTCTCCTATGAAAAGTTCATAATAATTATTTTCATCAAGAGTTATGAGCAAATCTAGAACATCATTAACATCTCATATGTCTAGATTTTATTATTCACCTTAATAAAATGATAAAATTCAACATTTTTAAACTCCTAAAAAATAAAATCCTACTACTCCTTCTAAATATATATAAAGTTTTCTTAATTCAAATTCACCAAGTCCTATTACTAAATCTTTTATATAAGAATAAAAAATAAATTAAATTTCTACTATTAAAAAAGCTAATTTAATAAGATTACTTATTTAAGATATATAAAAATCAATTAATAAACTTAATAATTTATAATAAGTTCCTGTTGATATGAGAGATCGTACTCATTCAAGAAGAAGTAGTTCTGTTCATTTAGATTAAGTTTAATCTATGATTATAGAATTAGGAAATGCATAATAAAGAAATAATAGTCAAGAAAAAATTAATAAACTAAATAATTCATTTAATAGTAAATTATCATAACATGATAATAAAAATACTAATGCAAGTTCTCTCTTTTAATCTGAATAAGATTTAATTGATGAATTAAGAGCATCAGAACCACTTGATATGATTGAAGAAGAATATTTAGAATATGATGACGAAACTGATCAAGTTAAAAGAATCTTAATAAGAAGACCTATTGATTAAGATTATGAATATGGACATAATCTTAAATAAGATATGGGAGATGGCAAAATATTAGTATCTAGAAAATTAGTTAATGTTACTGATGAAGATGGATGGAATAGATAAGATAATGGATAACTTAAAAAGGTTATTAGTTAATAAGAACCTTAAAAATATATTGAAGAAGAAATTCTTATAGAAAATCCTAAGACTGGTTAAATTACTAGAAAGATTGTTAGAATTCCTTATAATGATTAAAATCTTACATTAGGTGAAGGATTAAATGAAATCAATACTCAAGGATAAAAAATTATAGGACGTAGAATTGTTGCTAATGAATATTCTACTGAATAATTAGAATAAGAAGGATGGATTTCCAAAGAATCTAAATTAGAAAGAATACTTGGAAATAGAGAACCTAATAAATATGTTGAAGAAGAAATATTAGAAGTTAATCCATTAACAGGTTAAGTTGAAAGAAAAATCATACGTAGAAAATATGATAAAAATAGAAAATTAGAAGATGGATAAAAATTAGTATCAAGTAGAATTGTAGATAATATTTAATCATCTAAATAATTAGCATAAGATGGATGGAATTGTAATTTCAATCTTGGAACTGCATAAAAAATTATATCAAATTAAGATGAAATTTTTTATGTTGAAGAAGAAATCTTACAAGTATCATAAAAAAAATAAGATAGAAAATTAATTAGGAAAATCTATTTTGATGAATAATCTATTAATAAAATAGAATAAGAATTTGGAGAAAACTTATATGAAATTCAAATCTAAGGAGTCAGAATTATTGCAAGAAGAGTAATTAAAGAAGAAAAGTAAATTGATAAAGATTGGAAATATTATTCAGATAAAAAATATTGGGAAAAAGTAATTAAATAAGGGGAATCTTGTAAATATATTTAGGAAACTATTATTGAAATAGATTTTGACAAATACGAATAAACTAAAAAATAAATTAGATATGATTTAAAAGTTGATGAAAAAACTTTAATCCTTGGAGATAATATAGATGAATTATAATTTGATGGAAGTTAAATTATTTCTAGAGAAATTGGAGATAATATTGAATCAACTGTGTATCTTAGAGAATAAGGATGGATTAAAAATAAAATTGAATAATTAGAAAAAATTATCTCTATTGATAAAATTGAAAATTTTTATGAGGAAGAAATATTAATTCAAAATTTATAAGCAGGAAAATAATAACGTAAATTAATTCGAAGACCTATTCTTGAAGTAGGAGAAAAATGTAAATTGGGAGATAATCTCGAAGAAAGAATATCTGATGATCAAGTTGTAATTAGTAGAAAAATAATTAAAAATGATGGCAATCAAGAAAATTGGAAAAAAAATGAGATTACAAGAAATTTAGAAAAAGTTTTAATATAAAGTGAACCAATTGAATTTATATAAGAAGAATTACTGACATTTAATTAACAAACAGGAACAATGATTAGATAGTTAGTCAAAAGACCATCTGTTAATAAAGATAAAATGTAATTTGGATAATTAAAGGAAGTTGATAAGGATGGTAACATAATTGTAAACCGTACACTTGTACCTAATTTAAAATTGCTTGGTTCAGATTGGACAAGAGGGACTATGGGATCATATCGTTAAACAATAGCTGAAGAGCCAGAGGAATATATTGAAGAAGAGATAATTGTAGTGAAAAATGGTAAATAGGAAAGAAAATTAATTAGAAGACCATTTAATTAAGAAGATCTTTAAAGAAATTATGGTGATGATATTAATGATGTTAATGAAAATGGAGAAAAAGTAGTTGCAAGAAGAGTTATTGGAAATGATCAATCAAAAGCACAATTAGAAAAAGAAGGATGGAAATTGAATGAAAATGGAGATTTAGAAATAAAATAGATTGAGCCTTCTTAATATATAGTTGAAGAAATTCTCTGTTTTAATAAAGAAACTGGAAATTATGAAAGAAAAATGATAAAAAGATAGATGACAAAATAAGATGAAAAATTAAATTTTGGTGAAAATTTATCTGAAGTAGATAAGAATGGTAATAAAATATTATCTAGATAAATAATTTAAAATGTTTAATCATTAAATAAATAAAAGGAAGAGGGATGGATTTAATAAAATGGAAATTATGAGAAGATTATTAATATCTAAGAACCAGAAAAATATATAGAAGAAGAAGTGCTTATTTTAAAAAATGGAGTTCAAGAGAGAAAACTCATAAGAAGACCTTATAATAATCAATAAGTGAATGTAGGAGAGAATTTAAATGAGGATAATAATGGACTTAAAATTGTATCTAGAAAGATAGTTTCAAATGATTAATCTTCATCTCAATTATAAAATGAAAAATGGTTCAGAAATAATAAAGGTCAATTAGAATTATTAATATCAAAATCTGAACCATAATAATTTGTAGAGGAGGAAGTATTAGCTTATAATGAAGAGACTGGTTTAATGGAAAGAAAATTAATTCGAAGATAATATAATCCGAATAAAGATAGTAAATTAAAAACAGGAGTAGAATTAGATGAAGTTGATTCTAATGGTTATAAAATATTATCAAGATAAATTGTTGATAATACAAAATCATCTAAGTCAAATAATTAGGAAGGATGGGCAATGTAAAACAATGGAACTTAAATTAAGGTGATTTCCTCTCAAGAACCTGAAGCATATATAGAAGAAGAAATTTTAATTATAAATCCAAAAACAGGTAAATAAGAAAGGAAACTTATAAGAAAGCCTTATAATTAAGAAGATTTAGATGTAGGAGAATCAATCAATGAAATTAATAATGGATAAAGAGTTGTTGCAAGAAGAATTATATAGAATGATCAATCAATTTATGCATTAAAGAATTGGTAATAATAAAAAGGATAAGAAATCTAAGAAATTGTTTTAAATGAAGAACCAACTTAGTATATAGAAGAAGAAATATTAATTAAGGATAAAAATGGTTAGATTATTCGATAAAAAGTTAGAAAGCCCTATGAGGCAAACAAAAATATATAAATGGGAAATATTCATGAATAGCTTTAAGATGGAAGTATTGTGGTTAATAGAAAGATAGTAGATAATAATTTTTCATAAGCAGAAATGAAGAATTGGAAAACTGATTAAAAGGGATAATTAGTTTAAGTTATTAATCAAAATGAACCAGAACGTTATATTGAATAAGAAGTATTAATAATAAATCCAAAGACTGGAAAATAAGAAAGAAAATTGATAAGAATACCTTATACAAATTAGAATGAAGCTTTTGGTGATGATTTGAATGAATCAATAGGTCCTAATGCAAAAGTAATTTCAAGAAAAATAGTTTAAAATGATCATTGTTCAGATGATTGGTAATTTAATAATGGTTAATTTGAGTAAATAATAAGTGCAAATGAACCAGCATAATATTTGGAAGAGGAAGTTTTAGTTAGGAATAAATAAACTGGATAATTGGAAAGAAAATTAGTAAGAAAACCATATTAAAAAGACTAAAAATTAGGTGATAATTTAAATGAATAAAAAGATGGTGTGACTATATTAAGTAGAAAGGTAGTTGATAATAGATCAAAATAAGGATGGGAAGAGAAAGGATAGAATTTAGAGAAGATTTTGAATGATAATGAAGTTGAAGAGTACATTGAGGATGAAATAATTATATAAAATAAGAAAACTGGTAAATAAGAGAGAAAATTGGTAAGAAGAAATGTAAATGATCCTCCTCCTTAAGAAGGTATTGTTGTATCAAGTAAAAGAGTTTAAAATATAGAAACTAATGAGTAATAAAAATAAGCTGGTTGGATTAAATAAGATGGTTAATTAGTTAAGGTTATTGCTAAGAATGAACCAACAAAAATGATAATAGAGGAAGTATTATAATATAATGATGAAACTGGTTAAATGGAAAGAAAATTAATAAAGAGACCATATGATCCAAGCAATAAAAAATATGAGATATAAAATGGAACTGTTTTATCAAGAAAAATTGTTGACAATATGGAAACTTTAGATTAAGGATAATAATGGGTTTTTAAGAATGGATAATATGAATAAATTATATGTGATGATGAACCTGAATAATTTATAGAGGAAGAAATAATCATTATTAATTAAAAAACTGGGAAATAAGAAAGAAAATTAATTAGAAGACCTTTAAAACATGATGAAGATCCAGATATTGGAGAATGTTTAAATGAATCAATAGGGAATGGGAAAAAAGTAGTAGCAAGAAGAATTATTTAGAATAATTAACCTAGCGAAGAATTGTAATCTTGGAAGAAAAATGGTGATGTCATGGAAAAATAAATAGCAGCAGATGAACCTACTAAATATATAGAAGAAGAAATTTTAGTTTTAAATCCAGAAACTAAATAATTAGAAAGAGTTTTAGTAAGAAGACAATATGAACCATGTTAGGTAGGATAAGTTAATGAAACTGATAAAAATGGTAATAAAATAGTTTCAAGAAGAGTTGTAGATAATGTTGAATCATCATAAAATGGATGGTAGAAAGTAAAAGGAATTTTGAAAAAAGTTGTAGCTGTTGAACCTACTAAATATATTGAAGAAGAAGTTTTGATAATAAATTAAAAAACAGGAAAACAAGAAAGAAAATTAATTAGAAGACCATTAAATGAAGGATAAGATCCTGGAGAATTGGGAGATTCTTTAAATATTTCTACAGAAGAGGGTTATAAAGTTGTCTCAAGAAAAATTGTTGATAATAATTAAGCCAAATAAGCTATGTAAGATTGGATTGAAGCTGATGGTGTTTAAATTAAAAAAATTGGAGTTGAACCAATTAAATTTATTGAAGAAGAAGTTCTTATCTTAAATCCAGAAACTGGTATGATGGAAAGAAAAATAATTAAAAAACCATATAATCCTTCAGTTAAAGTTGGAAATAATTTAAATATTCAGGATAATTAAGGAAATCTTGTATTATCAAGAAAAATTGTTGAAAATAATTAATCAACCTCAAAATCATAATGGAAATAAGGATAAACAGAAATTTTAATATAGGAAGAACCTGCATAATATATCGAAGAAGAAATTATTGTTGTGAATCCTAAAAATGGATAGTAGGAAAGAAAAGTAGTCAGAAAACCATATTATGGTTAAGATATTGATTTGGGTGATGAATTAGATGAAGAAATTTCTAAAAATTAACATGTTGTGGCAAGAAGAATTGTAAATAATGAATAATCATTAGATTAACTAAAATAATGGAAAAAATAAGGAGATGAATTAGTGATGACTCTTAATTCTAATGAACCTGCTTAATAAATAGAAGAAGAAGTTTTAGTTCGTAATCCAGAAACTGGAATGATGGAAAGAAAAATTATTAGAAGAGATTAAAATTCATAACCTTAATATGATAAAGTAATTTCAAGAAAGGTTGTTGATAATAGAAAATCTTCTATTGTTCTAAGTAAATAGGGTTGGAAATAAACTAATCCTGGAGCTATTGAAGTTGTTTTAGGAGAAGAACCAGAATAATATATTGAAGAAGAAATTATTTAAATTAATCCAAAAACAGGAAAATAAGAAAGAAAATTAATAAGAAAACCATATTATGGATAAGATATTGAGGTTAGTGATGAATTAAATGAATCAATTGGTGGAGGTTAGAGAGTTGTTGCACGTAGAATAGTTGATAATGATGCTTAGGTTGATTGGGAAAAAAAGAATGATTAATTTGAAATGAAAATTGGAAATGCAGAACCAACTAAATTTATCGAGGAAGAAATAGTTTATTTTAATCCATAAACAGGTATGGTGGAAACTAAAATAATTAGAAAACCTTTTTAGAAAAATGCTAAATTAGGAAATGAACTAAATGAAGAAACTAATGATGGTGTAGTTTTGTCAAGAAAAGTAGTTGATAATTTAGAATCGATAAAAAAATAAGAATAATGGTAAAAGGGTTAAGATGGTAATTTGATGAAAATTATCTCAACAAAAAAACCTGATTAATTTATTGAAGAAGAAGTTATAATTGTAAAGAATGGTAAATAAGAAAGGAAAATTATAAGAAAACCAATACTTTTTGACCAGTAAGTAGAAGAATCTAATGATCTCAATTAAGATATTGGAAATGGATAAAGAGTTATTTCTAGAAAAATTGTAAACGGACAGGAAGGTAAAGATTTTGAATTAAAAAATGGAGTTTTCGAAAAGTAAATAACTAAGAATGAACCTACTAAATTTATTGAAGAAGAGATTCTTGTTTATAATGAAGAAACAGGAATGATGGATAGAAAATTAATAAGAAGACCATTCACAGATGGTCAAAGATAGTTTGATGAAAATGGTAATAAGATATTATCATCAAAGGTTATAGATAATAATAAATCATTGAATTAAATGTAGGATTGGAATACTGGTTAGAATGGATAAAAAGAAATAATTTTATCAGCAGAACCAGAACAGTATTATGAAGAAGAAGTTCTTATATTTAAGAATGGAAAAGCTGAAAGAAAAGTTATAAGAAAACCTTATAATGGATAATAATTGAAATTAGGAGAAGATTTAGATGAAACAAATGGATAGATGAAAGTATTATCAAGAAAAATAGTGAATAATGATTTAACAAGTACCTAAAAGAAGGAGTGGAATGAACAATAAAATGGGTGTTTAGAAAAGATAATATCATAAAGTGAACCTATAAAGTTTATTGAAGAAGAGATATTAGTATGTAATGAAGAAACAGGAATGATGGAAAGAAAAATTATAAGAAGACCTTTAACATAAAAAGATTCCTAATTAAAATAAGGAAATAATTTAAGTGAAGTTAATTAATAAGGAGATAGAGTTGTTTCTAGGAAGATTGTTGAAAATAGTTTAACTGAAGTAAAGAAATAAGAATGGGTGATAGACAAGAATGGAAAAATGGAGAAAACAATCTCATAAGAACCACTTCAATATATTGAAGAAGAAGTTATTGTAGTGAATAAGAATGGGAAATAGGAAAGAAAATTAATAAGAAAACCTTATATTGGATAAGAGTTACAAATGGGAGAAGAATTAAATGAAGGTAAAGGAAATATGAAGGTAGTAGCAAGAAGATTAATTGATAATCAATAATCAAGTGAAGAATTATAAAAATGGTAAAAGAAGGGAGAATAAATGGAGTTAATATTGGTAAAAGAAGAACCAACTCAAGTTGTAGTTGAAGAAGTACTTGTTTATAATGCAGAAAAAGGAGTAATGGAAAGAAAAGTGATTACGAGACCAGTAAATTCTAAAGAGGTTGATGATCCAAATGTGAAAGTTTTATCTAGAAAGGTAGTTGATAATTTAAAGAGCTAATAATTGGGAGAATAAATAATTGCTGAAGAACCTGAATAATATATTGAAGAAGAAATTATAACAATAAATGCAAGGACAGGTAAATAGGAAAGAAAGTTAATAAGAAGACCATATTATGGAGAAGAAGTAGAGTTGGGTGAAGAAATGGATGAAGCTGGATAAAAAGGAGAGAGAATAATTTCAAGAAGAATAGTAGAAAATGAGGAGACTGCAGAAGGATTAAAAGAATGGAAATAATAATCTGATGGTACGATGGTGAAAATAATAGCTTAGAATGAACCTATAAAATATATAGAAGAAGAGATATTGGTGTTGAATCCTGAAACATAATAAATGGAAAGAAAATTAATTCGTAAACCTTTTAATCCTAATGCTAAGTTGGGTAATGTTAAAGAAACAGATTAAGATGGAAATGTTATTGTATCAAGGAAAGTTGTAGAGAATAAATAATCATAAAGGAGATGGACAGTTAAGTAAGATGGAAAATTAGAATAAGTAATTAGTAAGGCAGAACCAATTCAATTTATAGAAGAGGAGGTATTGGTACTCAATCCTAAGACAAATTAAATAGAAAGAAAAATTATTAGAAGACCTATGTAAGCAGGAGATTCAGAATTAGACACAGGTGATTCTTTAAATGAATCAAGAGGTAACTCTAAAGTAGTTGCTAGAAGAGTTGTATAAAATGAATAATCTTAAGATTAATTATAAAAAGAAGGATGGATAATAGATAATAAATCAGGATAGATGGAGTTAGTTTCAAAAGAGCCTGTTAAATTTATAGAGGAAGAAATTCTTGTTTAGACAGAGGATGGATAATTAGTAAGGAAATTGGTTAGAAAACCATATAATCCAAAAGTAAAAATAGGAAACAATTTATAAGAGACTGATAATGATGGTAATAGAATTTTATCGAGGACAGTTGTGGAAAATAATTAGTCATTAGCTAGTTTATAAGCAGATGGATGGAATGTATAAAAATAAGAGAAAGTTATATCTTAAGAACCTTTATAATATATTGAAGAAGAAGTAATTATAGTGAATCCGAAGACTGGTAAGTAGGAAAGAAAAATAATTAGAAAACCTTATTATAATGAAGATGTTGCTTTAGGAGATGAATTGAATGAAGTTAATGGTGGATAGAGAGTATTAGCAAGAAGAATTGTAGATAATGAATAATCATTAAATAAATTGAATGAAGAAGGATGGAAGATGAAAGATGGAAATTTAGAAATAACTATGACAGAGCCATCATAAATGATAGAAGAAGAAATATTAGTTTATAATGAAGAAAGTGGATTATATGAACGTAAATTAGTAAGAAGATAATATGATGCAAAAAGGGATTCAACTTTATAACTTGGTTAATTAAAAGAATTTGATTAGAATGGTAATAAAATACTATCTAGAAAAATAGTAGAGAATTTAGAATCTAGTTAATAATTGTAAAAGGGTGGATGGGTTAATAATTAAGGAATATTGGAAAAAGTGATAAATGTGCAAGAACCTGATAAATTTATAGAGGAAGAAGTATTGATAATAAATCCTAGAACAGGGAAATAGGAAAGAAGATTGACAAGAAGGCCATATTAACCAGGAGATGAGAAAATGGAGATGGGTGATGATATTCTCGATTAATAAGGTGGACGTAAGGTTGTTTCTAGAAGAATAGTAGAGAATGATAGTTCATCTGAGTTTTAATTATAATAAGGATGGAAATAGATATCTGCTGGAATGTTTGAAGTATAATTATGTGCTGCTGAACCTGTTAAATATGTTGAAGAAGAAATCTTAATTGTAAATAAACAAACAAAATAAATGCAAAGAAAACTTATTAGAAGATAATATACTGTTAAAGATTAAAATCTAAAATTTGGAGATGACATTAAAGAGAAGGATTCTTAAGGAAATAGAATATTGGCAAGACGTTTAATTGAAAATGTTTAATCATTAACATAATTGAAAAAAGAAGGATGGACAAAATTAGCTGATGGAACATTAGAAAAAGTATTATCAGCTATAGCATAAAAATTTATAGAGGAAGAGATTTTAGTTTATAATCCAAGAACAGGAAAGTAAGAAAGAAGATTAACAAGAAGACCAGTAATGATGGAGGATGATAAATTTAAGATTGGTGATTAAATTAATGAATAATTAAATGATGGAACTAAAGTAGTTGCAAGAAGAATAGTTGATGGAGATTTTGCATTTACTAGTTGGTAATAAAATGATTAAGGAGTTTTGATTCATTAAATTAGTGAAGCTGAACCAATGAAATATATTGAAGAAGAAGTATTATAAGTGAATCCAGAAACAGGAATGATGGAGAGAAAATTAATTAGAAGACCATATAATGATTAAAAAGTAAATTTCGGAAAGAATATTAATGAAAATAAAGATGATGGTACAATTGTATTATCAAGAAAGCTTGTAGAAAATAATGAATCATTAGCATAATGGAGAAGAGAATCAGATGGTAAATTGGTTAAAATAATTAATTATGAAGAACCAGAATAATATGTTGAAGAAGAAATTATAACTATAAATCCTAAAACAGGTAAATAGGAAAGAAAATTAATAAGAAGACCATTTACTGAAGATGATAGAAATGCAATAATTGGTGATTAAATAATAGATGAAATAAATAATGGTTAAAAAGTGATATCAAGAAAGATTGTTTCAAATTTATGTTCAAGTGATAATTGGAAATAAAATGAAGATGGTCATTTTGAGATTGTTGTTGCTTAATAGGAACCAATAAAATTTATTGAAGAAGAAGTATTATAATATAATGAAGAGACTGGAATGATGGAAAGAAAACTGATAAGAAGAGTATTTTCAGCATCAGCATAATTAGGTAATAATTTATAAGAAACAGATGAAAAAGGAAATGTTGTTATATCTAGAAGAGTTGTTGAGAATTTATTATCATCCGAGTAATAAAAGAAAGATGGATGGAAATAAAATTAAGGAAATCTAGAATTACTTTTGAATGCATAAGAAACTTTATAAATGGTTGAAGAACAAATATTAATAAAAAATTAAGAAACAGGTAAATAAGAATTAGTTTTAAGACGCCGTCCATATGTAGAAGGAGAAGAACAAATAAATCCAAGTGATGGATTATTATTATCTAGAAAGATAATAAAAAATAATTAATCATAAGGATAATTATTTAATGATGGTTGGAGTAGAACTAATGGACAATTAGAAAAAAAGATTCATAATGTAATAAATCCAATATTATCAAATAAATTAATTACTGATGATCCAACATCATTATATTATCTTGAAGAAGATCATATTTTAACAAACCCAAATACTTAAGAGCAAGAAATTCATGAATTAAAATTTCCATATCGTGGAAATTAACATTAAAAAATAGGAGAGAATTTGAGAGAGAGAGATGAGGCTGGTATTTAAATTATTGCAAGAAAGATTGTTACTAATATAGATCCTGATTATAATCCTTATTAAGATGTAGAGGAAATAACAGAGATTATTGGTAGTGGAAAAGATAATGAATTTTATGCTATTCAAAAATTAGTTAATATAACTGAAGTAATTATTAGTAAGAATCTAAATGAAAAATAACCAAATGGATTTATAATTAGATCAAGAGTTGTAATTAATGAGTATTAAAAAACTTAATAATAAGGATGGAGAAAATTGAGTGAATCTGAAATTCCTCCAGGAATTAGATAATGGAATTAAAATAAAAGATCTATGTATTAAATTGATGAAGATAGTTAAGAACATAGAGATTCTTAATATAGATCTGTAGATGAATAAAATTAAATAAGAATTATGGATTAAAAATTAAGTGTTAATGGAAAATATGTAGAAGAAGAAATCTTAATAAAAAATTAACATACAAATAAATATGAAAGAAGATTATAACGTAGATATACTAATGAAAATACATTTGGAGAAGATTTAGATGAATTTATATAAGAAATTAAATATCTTGCAAGAGTTGAAGTGGCATATTAATTAGAATTAACTAAATAAGGTTGGATTGAAATAGGTAATCATGTATTTTAAAGAGTAATTGCTAAAAATGAAACATTATAAATGATTGAGGAAGAATTTAATAATAAAGAAAAACATATTTAAATGTTTATACTTAAACCATATAAAAATGAGTAAATTTAGATAGGAGAAATGGATGAATTATAAGAAAATGGATTACATTTAGTCAAAAGATAGATTGTTAATAATAGATCTTTAGCATATTATAAAAATAATGATTTTATTAAGAATAAAGATGGAACTTATATTAAATAAATAAAAGGAGGTATTACAATGAAAATACCAAAATATTAAGAATAAAATTTTGTTAGAAGACCTACATAAAGACTATCTTAAATTTAATTAATTGAATAACGTGGTAATAATGATATTATAAAAATTGGAATTACAGAAAATGGATAAGATGAACCTGCTATTGTTAATAGAACTACTAATTCTGATATATCAGAAACAGACAAAATGTTTATTAATTAATTAGAAAGAGGTAATAAAAAAGATAGATCAAAAATATATTAAAATATTTTAAATGATGAATAATTTAGAGGTAGAATTAACTCAGATAAAAATAATAAGAGTCCATCTACTCCATTTAGTGAATGTGCCATTCCAAATAGAGGTAAAATTTTATCAAAAATTTTGAATAAATTTGTTAAAACTTCATTATCTTAAGCAATGAATTAACTTTAATTAATTTACTTAGCTTACAGATAAAAAAAGAGATAAACTTATCAAAGAAACTCTACTAATTTAACAAATATATTAGCTAATATCTTTTATCGTCAATCATTTGATACATTAATAGAACATATGTAAAAGAATGTTATTGAATTTGATGAAGATGATGTTATTAAATATAATGAAATGTTAGATGAAAATAAAATAATTGCAATGGAAATATAACCAGGTGGAAATGAAGGATAAGCAGCAGAACCAGTTGAATTAAATCTTACACCTCCAGAAAAAAAGAGAATTCTTAAAATTAAACCTAAGGGTTCTCCAGAAACTAAAATGTTTGGAAGTAGTTCATAACATGAAAATGCTTAACCATTTTAACGTAAAAGTGTTGCCCATAATACTATGAAAGTTACAAATCCTCATTAAAGATCTACTGGAAGAGCATCCACTATTATCAAACCAAATACTTTCTAAAGTTCTTAAAGTCTCAAACCAACTAATGCACTTGCGTAATTATATTTATTCTATCATTCCTAGACGTGGATCACTATAAAATATTTCAGTTCCATTTGGATTATAATAACCTAAAAATAATATAAAAAAATAAACTACCAAAATTAAAGAAACTCAAGATAAATCCAATTCATAGAGTAACAAACATAGTTAAACTCCTTTGTCTTAATCCTATGTATCTATTACTATTATATTATTAGGCTACCATAAGTTAAAATTAATCTTAAGCGTCTATCTAAAAACAAATGTCCTAAGAACAATTAGCATAAATTTAAAAAAACAAAATTGCATCTTAATTTAAAAGAATGGGATCAGTCTAATTATCTGGAGTATTCAAAAAACCATGATATTAAATTTATATTAGTATATCATTCATCCTTAAATTAAATTTACTCTTTATATAAAATGTAAACTGAATTACTTNAAGAGGTAATAAAAAAGATAGATCAAAAATATATTAAAATATTTTAAATGATGAATAATTTAGAGGTAGAATTAACTCAGATAAAAATAATAAGAGTCCATCTACTCCATTTAGTGAATGTGCCATTCCAAATAGAGGTAAAATTTTATCAAAAATTTTGAATAAATTTGTTAAAACTTCATTATCTTAAGCAATGAATTAACTTTAATTAATTTACTTAGCTTACAGATAAAAAAAGAGATAAACTTATCAAAGAAACTCTACTAATTTAACAAATATATTAGCTAATATCTTTTATCGTCAATCATTTGATACATTAATAGAACATATGTAAAAGAATGTTATTGAATTTGATGAAGATGATGTTATTAAATATAATGAAATGTTAGATGAAAATAAAATAATTGCAATGGAAATATAACCAGGTGGAAATGAAGGATAAGCAGCAGAACCAGTTGAATTAAATCTTACACCTCCAGAAAAAAAGAGAATTCTTAAAATTAAACCTAAGGGTTCTCCAGAAACTAAAATGTTTGGAAGTAGTTCATAACATGAAAATGCTTAACCATTTTAACGTAAAAGTGTTGCCCATAATACTATGAAAGTTACAAATCCTCATTAAAGATCTACTGGAAGAGCATCCACTATTATCAAACCAAATACTTTCTAAAGTTCTTAAAGTCTCAAACCAACTAATGCACTTGCGTAATTATATTTATTCTATCATTCCTAGACGTGGATCACTATAAAATATTTCAGTTCCATTTGGATTATAATAACCTAAAAATAATATAAAAAAATAAACTACCAAAATTAAAGAAACTCAAGATAAATCCAATTCATAGAGTAACAAACATAGTTAAACTCCTTTGTCTTAATCCTATGTATCTATTACTATTATATTATTAGGCTACCATAAGTTAAAATTAATCTTAAGCGTCTATCTAAAAACAAATGTCCTAAGAACAATTAGCATAAATTTAAAAAAACAAAATTGCATCTTAATTTAAAAGAATGGGATCAGTCTAATTATCTGGAGTATTCAAAAAACCATGATATTAAATTTATATTAGTATATCATTCATCCTTAAATTAAATTTACTCTTTATATAAAATGTAAACTGAATTACTTAAATATAATTAAATAATAAATAAAAGATTTATTTATATCCTTTTTGTAAATTTTCTTTATATTTATCATACATAAAAACTGTTAAAATTTTTAATTTAGTATGTCTAAGATAATCTTACTGAAATTATAATATATTTTATAAATACCTTACATCAAAATATAGAAGAATTCTATCATTAAATAAATCTTGACATACATCTTTCTGTAATCATTCAAATAATAATAATATTAGAGTGTATAAAATAACTTTATTAATTAATTATCCTCATAATTACATTAGTTGATAAATAAAAACTATAGAAATAGTATTTATGGAGTTTCGTTTAAAAACAATCACATAGGTTCTAGAATAAGCAAATTAAAAATATTTTAAAGATAATCTACTTATATTAATTGCTGTTTGAAATATGATTTAATTTTGAGTATGTAATTAGTATCAATATATCTTTTTGTTACATATTTAAATAAGTGCTATAAACATAATTTAGTTCATAATTTATTAATTTCTAATAGTATTAATAAAAAATATTCTTGTAGTATAATTAATAGTTATTATCTGGAAAAATTGAATTATTTATGAGATTTTTTTTAAAAACAAGTTATTTTAAAATTGCAAATAATAATTAGAAATATAAATAAGTAAGATATTTATAAATGAATACTCACTGAGTTATAATTAGTGATCTGCGAAATTTTATTTTTAGAAAGAGATTGAATATTGTTTTCTGTTGTTGAATTGACACAATAATTTCTAAATTTTTTTTAATAAATAAAAAATAAAAAGTATATTTATTCATTTATTATCTATCTTATAAATAAGATTTTCATTAGCTTTAATTAATTCTTCCTGCAATTAAGATGTTTATTTTAGATTTTCTTTAAGAGAATTGAATCCACTATTGATTTCTTCTAATTAACTTCCTAAAGCTCTGGCTGCAACATATTTACGGGTTGTAAGTTTTAATTATATAGCATATTTTTTCATTTTTTTACTCATATCTATGAATTCTACTTCAGTAAGATCAAGATGTCTATATTAAATGATAATATATATATAATACCTTTTAGCATAATACATACGTCCAAAAATGGTAATAATCATAGCTGCCTCTTATTACATTTATTTTTTTAGACTCAAACGATCAATTAAAATAACAACTTTATTCTCCAAAGTGGTTAAATATGATTCATTAGTAATAATAACAATCATTGATGAAACAACAAAATTACCCAAAATACATACTACACTCATTACTATTCTACCTAATAATGTTCTAGTATAATAATCACCATATCCTAACTAAAATTTAGTTTATAAATTACAGTAGTGCTTGTAACAATAACACACCACATAGAATTAGCATAACTACTAAAATCATTGCTACTAATATCAATTCTATTAAGAGGACTTTCACAAATTCTTAAACAATATCCAAATACAAATATAAGTAATATCATAGCACTATAATTAACAGTGAATGGTTAGTTTCTATTTAAATATAAATATATATAAATTTACCTCATTAAAGATTTAATAGTAAACATATAATCAGCTTAACTAGCATATAAACTACATACACGATCTGTTCTATTAGAATGCCAATAAGAATTCAATAAAGTAGTTCGAATGAAAAATATTACTCGAAATGCTAAAGTCAAACATAAAAGTTCATTTGCATAATAGTATACCTGTCTATTATAATAATCCTTACATCACCATCAACAAAATCATTTGAAAAGTAAAAACTGATATCATCCAAAAAAGGTAAAGGAGATGCAGCTATTATTATAATTTCCATTATTAATTCTACATGCTCCTTTGTAAATCCACTAAATACATCTCCTTTACTCTCTCTCCATTTAAGTTTTGCTTAATTACGTACTAAAGCTAATCCCATCATTATTAAATTTGATATAAAAATCACCCATAAAATTACCAAGCGTGCTTCTGGTTATTCATCATAATGAATTAATTCTAAAGTAATCACAGTCAATCCTGTCCCAATAAAATTAAATACAAAAAAACTTAAGTCCATCATTCTAAATCTAATATGTTCATATTATTAATCAAATACCGTTGATAATATAGATTAGTCACTCTTCCATCTTCCAAAGAATCTCCTGAAGACTCTAAATCCAAAAAAGGAGCCTTGTTCTATATAGGTTCTTATGCTTAGTTTGCTTAGGTATTAAGACGTTCTTGATCTGGCTACGTATGCATTTTTATTTTAAATAATTAATATAAGCTCATTATAATACTTTTTTAACATTCTTTTCAATATCATTTACTTTTCATTTTTTATTTAATATATTTTCTTCTTATTTAATCGTTATTTACACTATCATCCTATTATTCATAACTTTTGCTATTTAAAATCATACTTTTACTGATTAAATTAATCTATAAACAATTCATATCTATCAAAAATATTTACTCTAATATAAATAAATCTTTTTTAATCTAATCAATTTATGAATTATATGGAGCAAACCCTTAAATATATTTTGACTATTTATTATTTTAAATAAATTGTAAAAATCAAATTAAATTGAATTTATATAAGTTTATAGAAATATTTTACATAGTCTTAATTCATTCTTATAATTATTTATATAAATAAACAAAAAAAAAAATTAAGATAATTATACAAACTTTAAATTATATTTAAAGTTGTAAAAATATGTATAGTAAGATGTATAGTATGCTTTTAAGAAAATCCTTTCAAAATAATTTAATTAATGTTACCAAAATTATTTTATTCTTATTCTAAATAGTAGTCATTTTATCCAATTCTCTATTAAAAAATATATTTCTGATTAAATTTTAGAACAGTAAAAGATATAACAAGAACTTTCTTATAACATTTCATAAAATCAAGCAGAAAAATTATTTTCTAAATAAGAAAATATTTACTATTTAAGAAATTATCCCTTTTTACTTTTAATATTTAAGTTTACTTTGTTCAACAAAAAATTATAAATTTTCAAAAAAGGTTTCTCAAATTGTAAATGAATGTTTATAAATTACATTATTTCTAAAACTAATATTATTATTTTACTTTTTACTTTTTTCTAATAATCTCATTAAGTGTAAGTTGTTCTTATAAATCTTCTTTCTTAAATTTTCATAATTATCTTGAAATATATGAGCATCAACAATTCATTTTAAAATATTTCAAAAATATAAATATTACACTTAAAGGAATTATTATCCTTGAAATAATAAATATCAATTTTTATTGATTTTAAAATTGCTCTGTAAGTTCTGTTAATTTTTATTAAAGTTTCTTCATTATCTTAATAATTTTCATAAATTTGAGTTAAAATCTTTAATTTTTTATTAAGGATATACATTGATAGGCTGGCTCTATATGTTAAATGATAAAAATTCCATTATGAGATTGAATTTAGAGATTATCAAAATTGGTTATCTTTAATAATTTGATTTTTACGTTCTTAATTTACATACTTCAATGGATCGATTTGTATAAATATGATTTTTTCTTATTTAATAAATGATTCTTGATCAATCTTCATAACTAAAAAGCTTTAAGAAATTATTTCTTATAAATAATAGAGTCTAGAGTTTATTACTCATTACTAATTTGTTGCCTCTACCCATAAATTTAATATAAATTTAGTTTTTCTATTTGTTCAAATTAAGTTATTTAATTATTTGATTATGTATGTATGGAAGATTTGGAAATGGAATAAATTATTATATTTTTTAAAACATCAAAATATATTAATATAAATAAGGATTAGGAAAAATATCTATGAAATTTTTAATACTCAAATTAAATTTAAATTTTGAAGGAAAGGGATAATAATGGAGCTAAATGGTTAATCAGGTCTTTCTAAGAATTTCAAAAGCATTTCTTCAACATTCAAATGTTCTTAATCAAGTAATGTATAATCCCTTCTGCCAACTTATTGAAGTTTAATTCTTATTAAATCATTTTACTTCATTTCTAATTCAATAATAATTCCATGTTCTTATAGTTTAATAATAATTAAATCTTTATCTTCATCATAATAAAGATCTTTAATAACTCTAGTTAATGAATTAGTTAGAGCTAGAGTGATTTTATTTAGTTAATCATTTTGAATTTTGATATTTAATTTCTAAGTTTTTTATTATTGTTCATCAGGATAGAGTTTTTATTATTTGATATTACAAGTTTGTTCATCATCAATAAATTATTAGATTCTAAATTCTGCTTCATATACTTATTATCTTAAAGTATTGAATTCTTCTATCATTTCTTAAATGACTTACATTAGAATTATATTATTAAATTTGAATACTATAATAATAAAATTGATATGAATAATATAAAATGTCAATCATGTGTCTAATTAATAGCAATAGTAGAATGTAAAGAATGTAATTTATGTATTTGTTTTAAATGTGATGAAAATCTTCATTAAGAAAAAGATGAAAATCATAACAGAACAACAATAACATTCCAACCTCGATCATTAAAATAGTAAGATGATGAAAGTTTGATTGAATAAATAAAATAAAGAAAAAAAGAATTATAAGAATTGAAAGATAAGGAATCTTAATTGACTAAGCGTTATCAAGATAGAATGTTATTAGCTAAAAAAAAATATGAATAATAAATATCAGGTTTAGAGAATAGATGTATAATCATTATAATATTTAGTGTAATAGGCTTAGAAATATATGAATGAAGTTAGTTAAGAAAATGGGGAAGTAGACGTTGCGAATCTTTAAAATGATTTAGAAAACTTAGAAAAAACTTTAAAGACAGAAATTAAATTAGCAGAAGAAGAATAATAAAAATTAAATGAGAAAACTTAAAAAGTTGATACATTATTAGATAGAGTTAAAAAAGCTACAGATATAGAACAATAATAAATTAGTAAAATGAATGAAGTTATATAAATCTTTAAGGTTTGTTCAGAGTAATTGTAGAAAGAGAAAGTAATATAACATATACATTAAAAGGATCTATTAATGCTTGACAATGAGAAATTAATTGCTGAAGTAGAGATCTTTGCTAAATTCTTTGATGAAAATGGACCTTTGATGGAAGAATTAAATGCATAAAAAAATAATGATTAATAATGAAAATTTATTTTTGTTAATATGAGTAAAAGTGATAAGTCTCAAAATATTTTTGATTATAAGACTGAAACTCTTGACTATTGGAAATAAACATTAGAAACTTTATAGTTATCAGTTGAATTCGATGTATGTTTCATCTTTTAGTATAATAATTAGGAAAAAAATAAATTCATTGCTCCAACTCTTGTTGAATATGTTTTAGCAACTCTTCAATTAATGATTCAAGTTAAGGGTTAATATAGTGAAGATAGCTTCATTATTGCACTCTCTAAATTTGCTGTATCAACATCTATTTTATTTAAGGAATTCTAATAAAAAAATGTTAAGAAATTTATGACTACATTTCTTAATTCATTTTAGTTTTTATTAAAAGGAAATCAAGAAATTTGTTATTTTACTATAATGTTGAGTCCTAATGAACTTATTAAAGCTAATTCTGAATAATTCTCATTTTATCTTAAATTAAGAAAATATATTTATGCAAATTTTATCAATGAAAGAGAAACTAAAATTAAACCATTAACTTTTGGTATACTATTTAATTATTTTTAGATTAATGGGTTTCTGTTGTTTCTAAATAAATGGATAATTCTGCTATCAGTCTCATTGGAAATAGAATAAGAGAAGAAGCTGAAGAAAAATCTAAAGATAAAATACTTAAAAATAGGTAAATTACTTTTTATTATTTTTTAGTGTTAAACCTTATGATTTATTAATTTATTGCTATGAATTATATTCAAAAAGACTTTAATAATAACCTTAATAAAGATAAGTAGCTACTTTTTCACCTTAATAATAAAAAGATGAAGAAATACCCTTAAAATCATCTGTTTAACCAATACCACAATAATAATAATAATAATAATAATAATAATAAAAACAAAAATAATAAAAATAATCAAAATAAAGTGATCTCTCAGCTAAAATGAAAGAAGTTATTCTCATTCATGAAGATCTTGCTTCTAATTATAATAAATTAGTAACTTTTGCATAATCAACTTAAGCATAACTTTCTAAAGTTTTAACATAAGTAATTATTTAATCTAAGTTTATATTTAGATTAAATAAGGTTAATAGTTGGATGAATCTTAAATAAAAGAATTATAAAATATTCTAAAATTTAAAGATTTTCTAGAAAATGATCCAGAATTAACATTAAGAAATAGTGGAATTTATGAGTTTTTTTGATAGTTACATTCTTAGATGTGATTTAATAATATTTTATTTTTAGAGAATACTTTAAAAGTTATTTATTCTTGTATTAACTATTGTTTTAATAAAAATTTTCATTTTAAAATATTTTATTTGAAACTTTGTCCTTGAGAATAATTATAACTAGGCAAAATATTAGAAGGATTTCATAAATATGATATATATACTTCTATATCCAAATATACTCTATAAATAAATGGAATCAAAATCATAAAAGAATGTAATAAAAGATAAAATTCTAAAGGATTTAGGAGAAAATCCAACTGAGATAGATATCAGATATATAAGTTATGTAACAAATATTCCAACATCTGAAATTAAATAATGGGTAGAAGAATCATAGATTATTGATTTTAAAATAGATATTGGATCAAAAGAATGTTTAATAGTGGGAAGTAGAAAACCTAAAGGAATTAAAAGTGTTAAAGTCAAAATTGAAACTCCATTAAGCAATAATAATTAAACTAAAATATAGTAAGAAGAATAAAAATAACTCAATGAGTCAATGATTTAAGAAAATGTTAATATATCTATCTCAAAGAACTTAAAAATAAATTAAAAAAATCAATAAGTTATCTAAAAATAAATGTTAAATAAAAAAATTATAGAAGATTTATTAAATGAACCTAGTCCTGTACCTAAAATAATTTAATAAAACTAAGATTAAAATAATAAAAAATAAGAAAAAACAACATTATAAAATGACACTAATAGAGATTTTAAATGCTAAGAGAATATAAATCAATTAAAAAATTAAAGTGATTTTCAAACTTAATTTGAAGGAAAATTAATATCAGAATAAGATTAATAAGAATAAAATTAAAAAGTTTCTAAATCTAAAAATTTACTCTAAATAGCCCTTAAATAATAATAAAATACTTAAAGCACAATTTTAAAGCCTGTAGAGATCTCATCCTAGGAATAATAATTTGATAATATTTAAGCTTTAAATAAAAATAATTCTATAGATAATACTGATATACCACTTTTTGAATTAAATCAAAAATAAAATGAATAAGATGAAGATAAAGATAAGGATCATCTTGATAAAAAGAATAATAATAATAAATATATTTATTAAGCAAGCAAAGAAAACTAATATTAAAATAATGAATTGATTACATAAAATGATTAAGAAAGTAAAAATCAGATAGAAGAACGTAAATAGATGGCAAGAGATTTAGAAAAAAAAATTGCATATTTTCTTGAGTAAGATGAAATAAGAAATAATGGTTGTAGCAAAGATTCTAATTTAAATTAATTATCTTAAATAGATGACAATAATAAAAACCCTGTGAGTGAAAAAAAATCCAATAATCAATTAGATTAAGATTATTAACCAATATCAATAAGTAGTAGTCCAAGTCCAAAGGCAACTTATAATTAATAATAATAATAAATAGGATAATAATAATCTTAATAATAATAATCATAATAATAATCATAATAATAATCATAATAATAATCATAATAATAATAATAATAATAATAATAATAATAATCATAATAATAATCATAATAATAATAATAATAATAATCATAATAATAATTATAATAATAATAATAACAATTACAATAATTTTAAAAAAAACAATCGAAAAAAGGGTAAAATTAACCTTAATAGCCTTAATAAAATTTTTTTTAATAATTTCCAAATTTACCTACAAATTAAGAAAATAGATCAAATAATAATTAAATTTTGTTAAATCCTCCTAATGTTTAAAATACAACCTCATAATAATAATTATTATATTAACAATAAAACTAGAACCTAATAAGATAATAAAATGAATTAAATAAATAAAATTTAGATTAATAGTAGACCTAATATTAAAATTTAAAGCAAGATCCCAGACCTCTAATACAATAGTAATCTTATTAATAAAATTAATAACATTTAATTTAATTACCAGTTCTTACTTAAACTTACCAACCCTGTTAATAATATTTGTAAGCACCTTTGGTTAATTAATTATAATCTCCTTACAATTAATCATTATTTTAAATGCCTACCTAACTTCCAGATTCAAATTACTGCTAGTAAAATGCTTATTCTGATACAAATGTCTTGTAAAAATTGCAATAACGATTAGATATATTTTTTTTGTCATAAAATACATTTTAGTTGACTCTATTATAAAAGCTCGATTAAATAATTAATTTAATCTAGAAACAATAAAACAAAAAATGATTTATAATTAAATAGGAAAAATAAAATTTCTAATGATTTTAAAACTATCTTATTTTATTCTTTTTAAATCTACAGATATTTTTATACTAAATCAAAATAATTATACCTCGAAATTTGTATTATAAAAGATATATTTATAGTAAAATATGTTATCCATCATCCAATAGATTTTTCTACACAGTAATCAATTTGGGTTACTCAATAGTCACTAGGCGAAATAATAATGTTAATTAATAAATTTTTATTTTCATAAAAAAAATATTAATGAGAAATATGGCTATTTCCCTTTAAAGACTTACTTATTTTTTAGATATTATAGATTTTTATTTTGAAGTTCAATAAGAGCTATTGATTAAAGCATTTGCATTTTAATAATCAATTAATTCATAAAAGATATTTTAATAAGCATTTGGTATTTGAGAAATGCAATTTTTTGTTTTAATTCACATCATCTAATAACAATAAAGTCTTAACTAACTTTGAAAAAAATAAATAAATCATAAAATAAATTTTATTAATAATGATTCGCAATTTATGAAATCTTTTAGAAATTTAATAAAATTATAATGATAATTAATGAAAGTAAGGAATGAGAGAAAAATAAACTATATCTTTTGGATAATTTATTTAAATACTTATCAGAATTCAAATTTAGAACCTGAAAACTCTAATTCTTATGAAATTTGAGGAAATAAGATATATTCCTAAAATAAATCAATTTTTCCAAAAGGTGTTGGAGAAAATAACAATTAATTACTTTATTCTTCTATTTCGCTTATTATAGAAGTTGACTAAGGTTCTTCTTAAAGGTATTCTTGGAATAATTGTTTGAATAATAATTGAAAAGCATTTTCTATATAATATTAGTTTTGATAATTACATGACTCAGATTTCATACCTTTTACTAAATTCCTAACACTTTCAATAAAAAATTTGCAATTTTATTCACCTTCTTATGCTAAAGAAAGTTTAGTCTATAAAAAATTTAAGTAAAATTTACTTGAAGAAATAGTTTAATACTATTTTTAATTTTGATTTAATAATCTATTGAAGATAAGAGTTTTTATTGAATTTTAATTTATTCACATTAAAGGGCCTTAATTTAATTGTTTAATTCAGATTAATCAATTCCATAAATGCTCTGATCACTTTAATTTTATTTTTAATGTTTTTTTTTAATTATACTTTTCATAAGAACCTTTTATTTTGTAAAAAATGGATGATAATATGTTAAAGTTCCATATTAATCTTTATTACTAGTAAAACCATACATATTAAGTTATCTAAAAAATAAAAGAATTCTAGAACCTCAAGAAACTTGAGTAATTGGCATGCTTAAAATATTTAGGCAGAACTAAATCTTTTAATAGTTCTCGATTAAAAATTTAAATTTTAAGTCCATCTTCATCCCATCTGATAATTTTATTATATTCATTTTGCTAGTTTAATTTATCTCAAATTTACATTTAAGATTTCATGTGTAACCTCAATGAATTTGATTATTTTGTGTTCTTTATTTCTTCTTTTCATCTTTCTATCGTGTTATAATTTCAGAGAAATTGGAATTCCTAAATACCTAAAAATATTATATAAAAAGAATTTTTAATTCTGGTATTTCTATAAAAATGAACATTATAAAAAAAAGAAAGGAACAGAATTATCATTATTATACTTAGGTTTTAATACTTTTTAACTTTAATTGCCTTTAATAAAACTAATATTACATGATATTATGATAAAACACATAAAATAAAACAATAAAGAAAATAATATATTTTAAAAGCTTTAAATGATGAAAAGAGAAGATTCTAATAATTTATTCAATCTTCAATTCTTAATAGTTATTGAGTTTAAAATCAAAAATCTTTTTAATTAAGACAGAAATTCTCTATTTATGCTTTATTATATTTTAAAAATTAACAGAATAAAAATGATGTTGTCTGGAAATAAGATTATAAAGGATTTTTTTAAATTATATAGGTTTGATTTTCTAAAATTATTTATTTTTTACCTTGAGAAACTTGTAAATTTTGAATATCAAAAGTATTTTTGTAGTATCTTTTTATATAAAAGTAGATTTATCTAGAATGTAAAAATTTTTATCCATCTGTTTATATTATATTATTCATTAAATAATCTTCAGAATTTAATATATTTTAGAACTTTAATATAATATAGATCTATAATAATGAATACTTGTGTTTTACTTAATTTTTTTATTCTTACATTAAATAAATAATTAAAAATTCCTTTTTTGTTATATAGAAATATCCATCTTATTTATGTAATGCATTAAAAGATTTATATATTTAATTATAATTATTTTATTTTCTTGAACTTAATATAGAATCATGAATAAATTTTAGGAGAAGGCGTATTCTAGTTTTTCTTTTATTCCAATTCAAATTTATAATCATTCAAATACTCTTATGCAGCACTTTAATAATTCCAATTATTCATATCTAAATAAAAACTAAATTTAGATTATATATTACAAAGCAACTTTTCGATTTTTATCTTCTGGTTGACAAATATGATCTAAGAAAAGTCCAATTTTTAATTCTTGCATATATTTTTCAATATCACTATTTAAATACAGTATATTTACATTTCTTATTTTTTATGATCACTAATTGGATCTGGAATAATTAATTTCTTTAAGTAAAATATATCATTAGTTTATAAATTATTAAAAGTCCGTATTCTACATGCAGGCACTCCATATTATAATTCTAATCCTTCTATTGTATCATCTGGAGAAATAATATGAATTATTTCTTTTTTTCCATTAGGAGTTGATGTTTCTTAAGATTATAATATAGTATTCTTCTGATTATCAAACCAACTTTCATCATACAGATCATAATGATCTTTCAATTCAGTTGGTTTATATTCCTATTCTTTTTATTATGGTTTAGATTTAGACATTCCAAATATTCTTGCCAAACATCCTACAGCTTCTTATTATGTTTATTTAATTGGTTATTTTAATTACTCTTGAGAAATAAAAGGTTCATTCATTTTTTCATTTTCTTCTTCGTTATTTTTTAAATTCATCTCTTCCATTTCAACCATACGATGAACTTAGTATCTTCTATTATAGACTTCATTTGGAATATCACCCACTTTCATTATATATTAAATAAATGATTAATTTAAATGAAGAAGAAAAATAGCAATAAAGCAAACTCATCAATATATTTTTTCAACATGCCAAATAAGGACTAATTATTTTACTCATGAATAATTTAATAAACGAAGAATATTTTTTTTTACAAATTACTCTCTATTTAACTATCATTATGCTTACTTTTAATTTTATTGCAGCTATATTTTTACTTTGTGTAAAAACAGATTTTCATAGATTGGAATACTTTCTCATTTATACTTTGAATTTATTTCTATTTTTCACTTTATTAGTGTATTCATTAAAATTCTTTATTGAACTTAATAATACAAACTAATAACTATCCATATATGTTAAAACTTATATATTGATTTTACTTCAAAAAGTATTAAGTTTTGATATTATTTATTAGGAAATAGAGATTCTTACTATTAAACTATTTCCATATGAAATTGCTAATAGATAAGTAAACTGTTTCACATCATTTATTTTTGTTTTTTTGATTCTATTAGATGAAGATCCTATGCTATGTAAATAATAATTCTCAGTTTTGCTTCTCTTTCATTTAATCAATCACACTTTCCAATTGATTTTTAATACACTTTTTAATCTTCTAATTTTAAATCAAAAAAAATCTCAAAATGAATTAAGAACATTTTCAAAGTAAATTTACTCATAATAAATATTAGTATAATTTTAATTGTTTTCTTTTTGATTCACATCACTTTATTTATTTTTACTATTATAAAAACTATAGAAATTAAAGATTAAGAATGCCCTTGTTTACATTTTACATTTAAATTTTACTAATTTTTTGCTCCAATCAATTTTAGTGCATTTTCATTTGTCATTTTATTTGAATATTAGTGGTTCAAAGGAACCCTAAATTAATAAGAAACAATAGATAAAAACAGTTAAAATCAAAGTTCTTGTATAATAATAATTTTATTGTTAAGATGCCGCTTCCCTTTAGAAAAATAATGTAATTTAAAAAGATAGATAATCTTTTAAGAGTATGAGTTCAGTGATTAACAATCCTATGGATAATAGTGAATGCAACTCTTAAGCACCAAATTTTGGAAAGTATATTAACAATTGTTATTTATTTAGAGATGAAAATAAATAATTATAAAAATTAGGGACGAGTTAATTTGGTGCTTCATAATATAATTAAGGGATGGAGCACTCTTGGGCAAATGTCTATCACTAAAATCCTTTTAATTAATAAGAAAGTAAAGAAATCAACAACAACTAAAAGAGGGAAAGCAAATCAGTTGATGATAGTTTTATCAGATAAGAAGAATCCTAATTACCAGAGAATTTATCTTAATTAAATAACCCAATGGACTCAGACAGTTAAATTCTAAAATGATTTACATAAATATATATGACTATATATCATCATTTTTAGCTCGAAATCTAGAAAAAATTTCTAGCTTTTTTTACATCACAAAAGAAGATACATTTAGGAAAAGTCAAATTTTTCTTTTCTTTGTTTGGACTTGATTCCTTAGATTCTACGAAGGTTGGTAAACAAACCGAATTAAGTTAAAAATCAATTAGTGTTGATTAATTTTCAATTTCTAATGTTTTACTCAATAATCCATTTTTATTTCTAAAAGTTGGAGTATTGAGTGATTATTCAAGGACTTGACTTTAATAAAGATTAAATTTAATACCTGTGTTAAAGAAATCCTTTCAATGGTGGAAATTCAGGTTACTTTTTATATCTTTTTTATTCCACCTGAATGGACAATTTTAAGCTTCTTTCATCCACATTATTTAGCAACTAATTAAATCTTTTATTTTAAGAAGTTGCTTTATAAGCTTAGTAATTTGGTGGCTCTGTCTTAATTCTGATACCTCTTTATTCTGGATGATTAAAAATAACCGAATCCACAGGCTCATTACCTTAAGTGTCAGAAATTAAAAATACTTTTTAATGATGCTCTGAATTGATTGACCTTTTAAGCAGATCTTAATTTTACAGATTTTTGGACAATTCTGTTTGCTCTATAATTGTGGAAATCGTTCATAAATAAATATTATAAAAAAATGAATCAAATCTTTAAGACCTAATAATATGTCATCAACTATTACTCAAATCATAAAAAATATTATTTTTGCATTTTTAATTGCATTAATTAAATTATAAAAGAATATATAAAATGCTATCAGAATCAAATTACTAATTGTAATTAAAATCAATGTTAAATCTATAAAATGTATTTATGATCAAACCAATCAATAAAAATGGACATGATCTTAAAATATTAATTGATTATAATCTTTAATATAGTCATTAAATTTTAAATAAATATATATTCAAAACTTTACCATGCATGTTAAATACCATTCCAATATTTAACAAAGATAATGATCCTACCTAACATGGTTTTATTCTATAAATAGATCAAGTACTAAAAATTTAAATATTCTAAGCAATCTACACAATCCATTTATCCAATAGTAGCCATTATAGAAATCAATATGAAAAGAAACTTGCAGAAGCAGAAGTTAAAGAAAAAATAGGAATCTAGTATATTATTAGTATACCCAAACCAAGGCAACCAACATTTTCTGTAATGTTTGCAAGGAATATATAGGAGATTATCTTCAAGTGAGTTATTACAATATATAGCATACTGAATTAGGAAACCAAATAATAAACTTTAGGAAAAATAAAATTGTCAATCTATGGTTGACGAATTTTAGAAAACTCAAAGTATATCTCATAATAAACTGAATCATTCTTCCAATTTTAATAATATTGTTTATTACTAACTCATCTAAATCTAAGATGAAAGCACTGAACATTGTGATATAATCAATAATAAGAACCACAATCTAAAAAAAAATTAAATTGAATGATGGTGTCAGCGCTTACAACAAGTTGGGCAACTCGTAAGTATTTCTATTTATTTTTATAATCTTCTCAATAGCTCTGAATAATCATTCAATGATAAATTCGTAAAGCAGTGTTTTTTTGAAGCATATATTATGAGCAGCATATATATATAAATTAATTAAGAAATACAAATCATACATTATCAAATGTTACCTTTTCTCTTTCTTTAGTGTTTGCTGATCCTATTTTTTAAGCTATTATTTTTATATATATATAAATTTAAAAAATCTATTTCATCCTATGAACTAATTCTAAAATAATTGATTCATATTTTACATCATAAAAATATATTTTTATCAATATAATTAAATATTTCTAGATTAAATTATCTAAAAATAGTTAAGAAAATCTTATTGATTTAAATTCATAGAAGTAACCAATAAATTCATATCAGTAAAAAATAGCTTAATTATAATAAATCAAAATTCCTATTAAGTTATTATGGTAACTTATAAAAAATCTTAAATATTATTCAATACAGATATTATTTTCAATTGAATGAGCCTACAAATAATTTTTTAATGATTAAATTATTATTAGGTAATTTTTTTTTTATTTTTGACAAATGGAATGAACAATTTTAAAATATTATCATACTTGCTTAATTGCTATTATAATAAATTGGATAAAATATCTAAAAATTTACTTTAAAAAAAAGTTCAAAATTTTAATTACACAAAGTTTTCAAACAAAGGAGGTAATTAGTAATTATGATGAATTTAGTTTTGAATGAAATTAATGATAAGAGGAAGTTTAAAATTTCCAAAATAATCATTGTAAAATTATACTCTTGTTATATATTCATTTATATTCTATTTTTTTATTACTTAAAATTTAATGAATTAAGAATCATTATAGATAAAGAGGATTTCTTTAAAGGACTTTTAGGTGTTTTACTGCAATTAGATTTATTAATGCTTTTATAGCCTCATTTTAAATGGGTTTTTAATTAGTAGCAATTATTCTATATTCTATCTTTTTATATAAGTTTGAATTATGCTTTAACTAAAGAATATTGAATTTTTATTTTTTTTTTGATGTTTTAGTATTTGACCTAATTAGAAAAATATTTGTTTATAATTATACATTTGAAATTTCAATATAATTTTGTAAACCATTTCTTTTAATTTTTTAACAACCTTATAAAGTGGATTGCTAATTACTAATTTCTCACCAACTGATAAAAGTTTCAGATAAATTTACTATTATTTATTGTTTACTTTCCTTTGTTAATTCGCTTAAACAGAATGGGACAGCATCTAAATTAGATTTAAATAGAACATGTTATTCAAAAAATAGCATTTTGATAATGATCTACCTAAATGGATTTCTAATACATTTTAAATCTATTTAGCTGCTTAATCAATTATATTAATATTTCCATTGAAAATTAGCAATTATTATTCGTTAGCATGAAATTCTTATGATTATAGAATCATACATACATATAACATGAAATATATTATTTAACTGAGATAAACTAAGATAGAAAAAAACCCATAACATTTCTTTTTAAATTATTTTTCTTATTATATCATGATAAAATTCAGACTAATAATTATATCATGATAAAATTAAGATTAATAGATAATGAAAATAATTTATATTATAAGTTTAACTATTTTATTAATCAATTATATAAAAATAAACTAATTTCTATTAATTCAAGATGTCCAAAAACTCTAATACGCAACAAAATGAACAAAAGCCATATTTTAAAATAATTTTTGATAGTGAGCAATCGGAATATGTAAATAGTACTTTGGTTTTTAAAGAAATGGTTAAAAAATATGTGTATTAACTTAACTATTATCAATCATAAATTATGATTAGTGATTTGATTTTATTATGGGAATCTGGGTAATTAAAAGATAAATTAAACATTTCAGGGTACATTGAATTAAAGTCTCTGTTTTAAGATTTTTTTTAAATTTAAGCAAGCAAGAATACATCAACCATTTTACCCATTTGTTTTATAAATAAAGAAGGAAATAAACGATAAATAATTACCAAATATTAAGTTGATACCAAATTAAAGAGTTTGGAAAAATAATTTGATGAATTGTTACCTAAACTTTCTTAATATATTGATTTTAATGGTAAAGAATTGAATGTTGTTATTGATACAGCTTTAAATATTTAACAATAATAGCTTCAACTAATCTAATCCAAATATTCCTAGCCGAATTTAGATAGTTATATTCAGAAAAGATATTTTTTCAAATTATATTTTACAAACCCTAAAAAAGACTATGAATAATTATCCGAGGGGTATTTTAACGAAATTTTTCAATCCATAAAAAACGTAAAAAGCTCTCTATATAAAATTTCTGTCTATGATTTATTGATTGAAGCTGATTTTAACACTTTGAAATCTGTTTATTTTTAAGTTAAAAATTAATCAGCGTTAGAACATTTTCAGATACAATAGAGTATTATTGGCGATTTATAATTAAATAATTATTTCCTAACTTAGTTGTTTATATCAGAATAAAATATATAAAATAAAAATATTTAAAATAAATTTCTGACAGAAAAGAATTAAGAAGAATATATCTAAGTATAAATTAACGAAGAATTAAATTCTTTTGATCTTTTTTAAAAGGCCTTTCAAACTAATAATGCATAAATAGATTTGAAATTTCTGAAATTTAAAGAAGAATTAATAAATTAATTAAAAATAAAATTTTGGGTTTTCGAAAATGAAATACCTTAAAATAATGATGAATTTGATAATAAAATAAAAGAAATTTTTAACAATTATTCTAAAGCTATTTCAATAAAGATTCCATTTAACCGTCAATTTTAAAGTCTCATTTAAAGTATTATAGATAATGATAAAATGGAAGAATTAATTGAATAAATTTTAAATAACAAAATAAACCAAATAGACAAATATGTTTTAGATAAATTTCAAAATTAAAATTTTCCTGAGTTAAAAACAGAATTAGGTAAGATATACGAAGGAAATAAGTAAATGTACTTAATATAGTTAAGAAATAATCCCTTAATTATTTAATAAGTTGATATTATTATGGATTATTGTACCAGAATCAATATAATCATTTAAATTTTGCGTCCTTAAACGTAAATGACTATTGATTTTACTAATTCTGATTAATAAGATTACTTAAAATAACTATTTTAATAAAATTTTGAAAATTGTCAAGACCTGGGTTTTGATGGATAATTTTTTTTAGAATCATTATAGCAGACAAATAAATTTTGTCCTCTTTTAAGTATTGATAAATCCACTTCATTTAAGAAATATAAGAAAAAGTTTTTGGTAGAAAGATAAAGGAAATAAGCATTAGAAAAAAAAATTGAGAACTAAAAAAAATAAAAAGTTGCTGTAAAACTTTAATTTTTAAATTATGAAAAAGTTAACATTTTTAACTTTCTAAAAAATTAAGATTATGATTAATAATAGCTTTCGCTATATGAAAATAATACATGGAATTAATTTTAAGACTCATTAATTAAAGAGTGTGGTATATATCTAGAGACTTAAGGAAAAAGGTTGAGGGAATTAAAATTTAATGAAGAAAAAATTAAAGCATAAGAATTGTGTAAGGTAATGTAGATACCTTTTTAATTTATAGAAAGAATATTTAATAATAGTTATGAATAAATGAAAGAGGATGATGTTATTCAAGATTTTGCCTCATTATTTCTTGAGATTAGAAAAGAAGATATATAGTGTCTTAAAGAATTATAAAAATATGTAGAAATAGATGGTGGAATTATAGATAATAGAAAATAAGAACTAAAAGAATTTTTTGAATAAAAGGGTTAAATAGATTATGAATCATTAGACGATTTAAGAAGAGGTGTTGAATCTATGTTTTAATAAAACAGGTTAGATAGATTTGGAAAATATTTTAATGCAAAAGACTCAATATTAAAAATATAATAAGAATTTAATAAAGAATGCAATGAATTACTGTAAAGTCCTCTTCAATTTAATTAATTTAAATTAGAGTAATCTTAATTAGGACTTGAAATAAAGGAAATCAATAAAATAATAATAAATTTTTATGAAAAGCAATTAATTGATTATTTGAGATAGGTATTATTATAATGAGACATGAAATATAAAATTAAATTTATTAATGATTAAATATCTAATACTTTCATTTTCTATATTATAGATTTTGGGCAGAACGAAAGATGAATGGAAATCTAGAACAGTTTATTAATTGTTGACTGATCGTTTTGCAACAAGTACAGGTAAATCTAGTTCATGCAATTTGAGTAAATATTGTGGTGGAGATTACAAAGGAATAATCAACAATTTAGATTATATCACAAGTAAACAATATAATAATATATTTAGATATGGGATTTGATGCTATTTGGATTTCACCTGTGAATGATAATTATGATGGTGGTTATCATGGATATTGGTATAGAAATATGTATGACGTCAATAAAAATTTTGGAAGTGCATAAGATTTAAAAAACTTGGTGACTGCTTGTCATAACAAAGGTGTATGGGTAATGGTTGATGTAGTTGCTAATCATGTAAATTAGTATAATAATATTAGATGGGTAATACAAACCAAGATTATTCATAAAATTATCCATTCAATCAATCTTCTCATTATCATGATTATTGTATTATAAGTGATAATGATTTCAATACACACAATTTAGCAAACATTTAAAGATGTAGATTGGCAGGTTTAGCAGATTTAAATTAAGATAACACTTTTGTTTCAAATGAATTAATAAAATGGATTAAATGGTTAATAACTGAATATTAATTTGATGGTATTAGAATTGATACTGTTATGATGGTCAAAACTGATTTTTGGACTAAATTTACTAATTCGGCTGGTGTTTATTCAGTTGGAGAAGTCTTTGATGGAGATATGGGTTTCTTAAAGTAATTCCTTGGTCCTATTAATGGATTACTCAATTATCCATTGTTTTACACATTAAGAGATGTATTCTTACATAATAAAGGAATGAACACATTTGAATCCTTCTTTAACAATATGGCTAATTCATTTGGTAAAGCTAATCTTCCTTATATGGGCAATTTTAATGATAATCATGATAATGCTAGATTTTTAAATGATGCTGTTAATGGTTATATTCCTGAAGATTTTGAGTTCTATGGAGAAAATTCTAATTTCACTGTTACTGCACTTAAAAAATTATAATTTAAAGCTATCACTGCATTTACTTTAACATCTATTGGTATCCCTATGATCTATTATGGATCTGAATAATTTTATGCTGGTGGTAATGACCCAAATAATAGAGAAGTTTTATGGAATCATTTAGATTAGTAATATATATATATATTATAGAACATCTGAAATGTATAAGTTTATTAAAACTATTAATGAAGCCAGAAAAACTACAAAAGCAGGTTCCTAAGATTAAATACAAAGATATGCTGATGCTGATATCTATGCATTTACCAGAGGAACTTTATTTGCAGCCTTTTCTAATAAATATGATAAGTAAGTTACTAAAAGTATTACTTATCATCCTTATGCTGAAGGTATCTATCATTTTTATTCTAGGAACAACCCTTTGTAATATCTTTTATGCTACTGATTGTGTGAAAGTTGCCAATGGTGCTTTTCCTTTATATTTAAATTATGGAGAGGTTAAAATATTCATTCCTAAATGATTCAATATAAATTAAAAATAATTGAACATCATTTCATTTCTCATCCACTACTGACATTTAAAAATAATCACATTAATTTTATCTTCAAAAGAACACATATATCTTGTATATTCATTATCTACAAACATATTTGTGTTCTTACTATCATTATCATTATCATGTCTTATATAATTAACAATATTCTAATCTAAAAAATATAAAAATCTTTTTTCCTTTTTACTTCTATTTACTAAACTATTAATAAATTTAATATCCTATTAGCAAAGATTTTAAATATTACTTTAATTATATTATCAAAACAGATGTAAATATTATAGTTTTTCTTAATATTCATTTTTATTAGTAAATTAAATTCTTCGTTTTCTAATCAACATTATTAATTAATTTTTATATAAGTTATCAAAAGGTATTATTGAAAATATTTAAATGGAGGGACGGGTGTAGTTTTGCAAAAATTGAAAAAATTCTTGAAAATATAATAAATTTCTGAGTTTTATAAATAATTTAACATACTTTAGTAGTTTTTGTAATAGGAATTTAGGTGATAATTAATGAAATTAATTATAAGTTTAAAATATTTTAGAAAAATAATGTGAAGAATTAGAAAGAAAGTGATTATTTAGGATAAGGATTAGTGAAATGAGGAGTATTAATAAGAATTAGATGATCTATATGTTCAGATGATTATGATATAAAGTTAATTGTAAAATGATGATCATACATTATTAACCGTTTTTTGAGAAATTAAATATTTTTAGAAGCATTTATGGTTGATAATAATATAAATAAATGAAAGCAACTCTTGCAATAATTTTGTTAGTGAGCATAGCTTCTGCAACATCAACACATGATTAAATAATGGCCTTTCTTTAAACAGGAACAAAGGCAATGGATGCAATAGACACAGTTTTTGGTTTATTGAATGATCTTGTGCAATCAAATAAAGATGCTTAATTTGCAGCTGATTAAAAGAATGAAACAGATGAATGGATTGGTGCATAGTAATATTAATTAATAAATATAGAACAATTGAATAATTCACAAAAATAAAATCACTCAACTAAAAGCTTTTCTAATAATCAATAGAAAACAGAGCATAATTTGAATAAGAATTATAAGACACAAAGAATTATCTTGCTTGGAATGAATAAAGATAAGATGAAATTAATAGAAAGATTGAAGTTC